CTTTAACAGCATCTAAGCTTAATTTTCCAGGTTCTAATTTAGATATCATAACATTTGAAGTAGAAATTTATCCACAAACACAATACTTAAATCTTCCTCCTACACTATAAATAACTGATTTAAATAAATAAACAAAGAAGCCAGGAACTGAGAATATCGATTGTAAATTACCAATTTTATATGCATTCAAGAATGCTACAAAAGATTTTAGTGTCATCTTAACTTTAAAAAATAAATTTGATATTAGAAGATACAAATTATCAGCTATAGTATTACCTAAAATTGTTAAAGCTATGTTAGAATTTAGAGTTCCTGCAAGATAATCTGTAACACAAGAAATACCTATAGTAAATCAAACAGATAGGGATTGGTAAATAAAAGTTTAATTAACAGAATCTAAAGGGCTATTCTCCTGTCCTTAAAGAGATTTCTTTGTTAAAAGAAAAGGCACTAGCAATTTCCCTATTTCCTTTAGTCCATCTTGGTTATAAGAGAGTGAAGCTAAATTAGTTTTAACAAATCCAATAACTAATGATGTTTTTGAATATGATCTAAAAGGTTATGGAGAAGAACCAGTAGCAGAAGAACATATAATATTGAATTGTTAGGCAAGGAAAGTAACTAAGAAAGAAATTGAATTGAAGAATCCAACAGATAAAGTGATTACTTATGCTGTAGAAACTGATTTAATCTATGCAACAGGACCATCATAAATAGTTGTTTAACCATAAAAGAAAGCCACTTATGTTTTATAAGTATAACCAGTCTTAAGTGGTTAATATACAGGATCAATAACATTTACAGATGAATAAGGACATTATTTATGGTACACAGTATTCATGAATACTGAATCTCCAAAATCAGTTTAAACTCTTGAAGTTTCTTGTTTAATTAGATAAGCTACAGTTATTCAATTAACACTTGCTAATCCTCTTTCAGAAACTGCAATTTATGAAGTTATGATAAATGGGGAAGGTTTAATTGGTGAAGAATAATTTGCTATTGGAGCTAGAAAAGAAGCAGCATATGAATTAACCTTTGCTCCATTAAAAATTGGTAGATGGAGAGGTAGTGTTGCATTTGTTAATAGATTATTGGGTGAAGTATGGTATGAATTCATTCTCACAAGTGAAGATCAACCAATTGTTAGATTAAATGTATTAAAAGCTTCATTAGGTAAAGTTGAATAATAAGTTGTTGTTCTTGAAAATCCTTCAGATTAAAAAATCCAAGTCTAATGTAGAATTACTAATCCTACTAATTTTGATATATATCCTGATTAACTTTAAATATAACCTTATGATTCTTTAAAAGTTGCTTTGAGATACACTCCATCTTCATTAGATATCATTGAATAATCAGATATCATTTTTACTTCCCCCATAGGTAAATGGCATTATTTAGTTTTTGGAAGTGGATTACCTCCTACTAAATTCCCAGCAACTACTGTAAGTATTGGATTAAATAAAGACTATAGTTCAGTTATTCATTTTAAAAATCCATTTAAAGAACCTATTTAGGTTTCTATTTCATTAGATGCAGAAGGTCACAATCAAGAAGTTTTTAAGTTATTGCTTGTTAGAAATCAAAAGAATGATAAAACTCTAGTTCCAGGAATGAATGTCCTTTAAGTACCTTTCTCATTTGTTCCAAGAGAAATTACAAGTTATTATTGTGAAGTTGTAATTTCAATGAATGAGAAGATTTAATGGCATTTCCCTGTTAAAGGAGTTACTGAATCTGTTTCTACTTAAACTCTATTCCACTTCAAAGCTAAATGCAGAGAAAAATGGGAAGATGAAATAAAAGTTGGTTTATAAGGAATTGCATAGAGTTTGTAAGCAGATGATAAATTTGATTATGAGTTAGGTGGAATGCCTTTAGATTTATAAACCATGATTTAGAAATGCTTTACTATTAAGTGTTTAAAAAATCATCTTGATAGTCCTCATGATAATTTACTCTATTTTGTAAGATTTCAACCCATGAAGCCATTTAAAACTTCAATGGAATTTATAGTACTGAGATAATCAGGAGGAAGATGGAAATATAAAATATAGCTTGAAGCTACTGAACCAGAAGAAGATGATACAATTTTAATTAGTTCTCCTCTAAATAAAACAACTAGTGTCTCATTTAAATTAACTAATAAAACAAAAAACTATAGTAAATTCACAGCAGCCTTTTCTCCTGAGTCAGATGCTGAATTTTCAGTTATCCCAAAAATTGGAGATCTAGAGCCTTATGGAAGAGAAGGGACAACATTTATTATTAGTTTTACACCAGTTGAATATGGTAAGATTAGAAAAGGTAAATTGATAATTTAGACTGAAGATATGTATTGGTAATTAATTTAAATAAAATTTTAGGTCATATTCTATTAAAGGTGTCTTACCAAGATACATTCCTCCTTAGATTAAGTAATCATTAGTTGATAATAAATAATAATAATCTTAAGTTCAAATGTCAATGACTTTGAGTAGAAACTTTGTTGTGGATAATATAAAGAAGGCAAGACAATTATCACCAAAAAGTGCTCGTAATTAATTGAGTTTACCATTAATTGAAAAAAAGTGATAAGTCATGTAATTTATTATAATTTATAATTATTTATAATAAATTATATAAAATTATCTTAAATAAATTTATATTTAAAATACTAAATAAATTAGATATTAAAAATTATTTCATACAAAATCTTTGAAGATTTTAAAGAAAACATATATTTAATAATATATATAATTATTTAAAGAAGTTAATATGATTTATAAATAATATAGTTATATAAACTTAAAATGATCTAATTAAGTTATATAAAATAGATAAAATCATTTAAGTTTTATTTGGTTCGGGAGAAAATGTCTAATATAATAAGAATATATTTACACAAAAATTCCCAATTTAATTTTATTATATTTGTTATATAAACTTGAGTCTGCCTTATAATTTTCACTTATTTCAACACTATCAAAATCATAATAATGATTCTCCTCTTAAAGAGGTTCTTCACATATTGATTTTTAGTAATTTGGATTGAGAGATTAGCAATAATTTATACTACTTTATTGTGTAAGACTAGAATTCTTTCTGATATCATCTCTTTAAAAAGTTCCTCGAGCAGAACCTAAAGGAGGAGGTGCCAATAAATTATTAGAGCTAATATTTAATCAAAAATAATATACCTATGTTAAATAATACCTGAAAGTTGTTTTTCAATTGATTTTTTCATTTCAATAGAATTCATAGGAATATTGTTTCTGCTTTAATTTTGATTAGAATCTGTCTAATAATGAGTAGATTATTTAATCTCCGTCCAATCAAAATTACCATCTATTGTTATATTTGAAGATTCAGCTGCTCTTCTAAATTCTTATACTATCATTTTGTAATTTGGTTCTTATTTGAATTAAAGTTTTCTGATGTAACTTAAATGTGAAATTTGATGAGTACTCAAAATTGCGTTATAGCTCACTTGGCTAATCTTTAAAAACTTCACGTTCCATAGATAATTTCATCTCTCCAACTTTCTTTGTTCTTTCTTCATCTGTAACATTAACCATATTTTACCAAGGTAACTATCTTATTTAATAAATAATTTACTACCCTCTTAAAAAATACAACAGAATATACATTAAAGATTCTAAATCATCTTTACGTCCTAATTCATGTCCTAAATGTGCCGCTATTGAGGCATATCGAGTTGTACCTAAGAAGGATTTTTGATCTTTAAATGATCTTAAATTATAAATTAAATAAATGCTCTATACATGTGCTTTCCATTTGAATCTCTATATACTTTACTAATACCAAAATCAATTAGATATAGTTTTGATATCTCTCTACCTGTTCCTAATATAATATTTTCAGGTTTCAGATCTCTATGAATTACACCCTTTTAATGAGATCTCTCTAAAATCTATACAGCTTAAATCCCTAAAGTGAGAACAGTTTTAAGAGAGAATTTTTTTAATTGCTTAAAATGATAGGACAAATCCTTTCCCAATAATTAAATAACCAGAATGTTATAGCCTTGATCTTCCCCTGACCAAAAATATTTTGGGAACCCTTCAGCACCATCTAATTTCTTAAGTATCTAAACTTCTCTCTCTAATGAACGCACTTCTTCATTTTCTTCTTTTTCAACCTTAATTGCTACCTCTTATTTAGTTAAAAGGTCAACTCCTAAAAAAACTACTCCAAAGGAACCTGAAGATAGTTTTTTGATTATTTAGTATTAGTTATTAAAGATTTTTTAGCTAGTTGATGTCCTTTACTGCATTTTGATGATTATCTTTATAATTATTAATATTTTATTTATTCTAATCTTTAAATATTTTCCCACTCTAAATAAGAATTAGTATATCATATTCATCATCAAAACATAAATAGACATATAAAATTTACTATATAATTCAAGTTCTATGTCTATCAATTACTGAAGTTGATAAGTTTCATTATAAATTCAAGAAGAAATCAGAAAATACCCTATATACTTTGTATGATTATTTTAGAGTAAAGCAATAAAAAATAAAAAACTATATTTGATTAATTAAAAAAATAAATCAGGATAATTAATTCAAAAATAATCAAATGTTAAGAGTCAGAATTTTCTAAATAACTATAACTTTTAGCTTATTTGTCCTTGAGTTTGGTTCTTTTTATTATCTTTTGTTATTTTTTACTATACTTTTATTATTTTTTATCATGCTTGTTATTATAATATTTATTAAATTAAAATAGATTAATTCTAATTTAATAATGAGGATATCAATGTTAATTGTTTAAATATTTATTGGATTGGTTGATAAATAAATTCTAGAAATTCAAAATAGATCTATATTTATAAATTTCAGTAGAGCAAAGGAAGATATTTAAAGATTATAATATTTTGACATTAAATTGCAATATAATGTAAAAAGATTTAAGATGAAAAAGTATTTAGATGGATTTCAATAATTAAATAATTAATGAATACAAATTAAATTATTATTATTATTATATCAGGATTCTAAAGACAGTTCTGATTAATATTTTTTCTTTTAATTTTTTGCATTATCCATTAATTAAAGATTTCTTGTTTACATTGTGTAAATATTTCTGTTAGATATAATAGATTTATAAAATGATGGATGATATCTCTTTAGGTAGATTCTTTCTTGAGCATCAATAATATCACTTACTGAACATAAACATTAATTTTCAATCTCATATTTTATTTACTAAATTAAATAATATTTTTTTACTTTTTACAAGTCTGTTTGATTTGTGATAAAAACTTTTAATATATTTAATAATTCAAATTGAGGTAAATCTGGAATTCTATAATTAGATAATAAAATAAAAAAGAACTCTATTATATAAATGAAGTAATGTACTTGTTTAACTATCATATTCTATTAAATATGAAGCAAATTAAGTAGTAATAGAAATTATAGAAGTATTTTATTAAAATCCATTCATAATAAGTTTTTCTATCCTAACTCTTTCTTCAATCCAAATTTAATCATTGTTAAATCCTTTTCTTATCAGCATTAGAAAGTATCGTTTTTTCTAATCATACATCATGAATCCTTTAAAAGGTTTTTAAATATAATGATCTATAGGTTATAATCTTTGTTATTCATCATTTTCATCAGTTAGACATGTATACATTTTCGAATTTGAATTATCTTCTTCATTAATGTTATATTAAGTAAAACTACTCATTATGATTAATTTTTATTCATAAATGTTAATGATTTTTTAGATTTCAAATTTCTAATAAAGTTCAAGTTCAGTGATATTAATCTATTAAATTAATGTTAAACAATACGTTCTAATAATATGTAATTTCAAAAAGATGAGAGTAAATTTATAGTAGAAGTTCAGCTTAGAATATTTCCTTAATTTTTTAGCTAGAAATTAATACTAGTAATCTATCTATATGGGAATATAATTTATATTACTTGTAAAAATATCAAATTTGCCTCTAATTGATCCAAAGTTCGACCTCATTTAGAATACTTTTTCCTCAAAAACATTTTATATATTGATTTGTAATTTGATTTCTTCCAAAGTGGCTTTCCATTCATCATCGAATTCAATATCTCTTCTTATTTCTAAATAAAATTTAGACATTTTAAAATCAAAGATTAAAAATGCACGAAACCATTGCATAGTTTACAAAAAATAATTTAATACTTTTAAAGGAGTTTATTTACCTTAAAATTAGATTTAGATATAAAATAATGGTAATATAATTTTGATTATAATTTAATTAATATATATAAAATTCTAATTGATTTTTTTGATTAAAATATCTCTTTAATATTATAATCTTCCTAAATTCATCCTAAAAATTAATAAAATTATTAGATATCTCATAAAATAGTATTCAAAAATAACATTAAAATTTATAATTCTTATTATATTTATATTAAAATATTTTGTGAATAGTAAAATACTATTAATATTTAATTTTAAGAACAATTATTATATGAAGTAATATTTAGATAATTAAATTTTGAAATATAAGAACTGGAATACCTGAATATATACTGAATTAATATATTATATTAAACAAAACAAATGCTATAATTCTTTCCTTAAAACATAAAAATTCTATCAATATAAGATATTTTTACATAAAATATAATTACTTAAAAACAATAATTAAAATCATAGATAACACTGAGTATTAAATTAATGAAAATTAGAAAATATATATATTAAAATACCTTATCTTAACAATAACTGCATAAAATATAATTATTGAATATATAATTATATATTTGAATCAATAAAAGTACAAAAAATTAGTTTTGACTTAATAAATATCATAATACACAATATAGATGATAATAATGTGATTTCTTTTTGAAAATGAATTATTCTTATTTAAAATAATTAAAATAACATTCTCTCCTATTTAGTGCTATTTGATTATTAAACTATTTAAATTATTACTTTTCATGGAAGCTAGAAATAATTGTAATCAAAAAGCTTTGCAGCCATCATTACATACTAAAATTTTGAGCAAATAATATTCTATCAAATCAGAAAACAGAATAAAGACATCTCAAACTGATCTAATAAAATCAGTTGACACATAAAAAATAATGAATGACTTTTATGATTAATGCAAAAAAAGATTAAGTAAATATCATTATACTAAGAAGGAACTTAAAATTTTATGCATGAAAGAAATAAGTCTTAATAATTATAAAGTGATTCTTTATTATAATCTATTGATAGTTGCCCATCTTTTAGAAATTAAATTAAGACAGCATAGAATTCACCTCCTGATAAGTACTTCTTATTTAATACTTGTGAGAAGGTTTTACTTCAAAAAAGCAATGGATCTAAACGTACATAAACTAAATAAGCAGAAAAACTTCTTTTACAATAAATAAATTAAAATAATAGAGCAGAATTATTATAGAAAATAGAGTAATATATAAGAAATTTTTTCACTGAAGAATGCAAAGAAATGGCTAATTTATTTGACACATTTATGAGAGAGTTAAATTAATAAATATCAGATCAAAAATATTAATTAACATTACATGAAAAACAGTTAGAAATATAAAAAATAGATGATATAATTAGAATGAACACTAATCATGTTTGGGCACATGAAGATATGGAAAAATAATTGATTTCATTAAAGTCTTAAAATACAAATCAATAAATGCAAATTTAAAAAAATGAAAATGATATGAAAGACTTAAGAGCTAAAATTAATTAGTAAAAATAATAATTAGATTAAAAACAAAATGAAATTCTTATAAAAAACAGAAAAATCAAAGAATTAGGATTTGAAATTCTTTAATTATAAAGAAAAATTGAATATTTAGAAAATAAAGCACACAAAGATCATAGATAATCAACCTAATAAGTTAGGTATTCAATATTTTAAAGTTAATAAGTTGGATCCAATTCTAATTTAAGTTAATAAGGTAATACAATATCAAATAAAGAAAATAAATTTACTTCTTTAATTGAAGAGCAGTAAGAAGATTCTTCTCCTTCAATTACAGAAGAAGAAGATGAAGAAGAAAAAGAATTAAATTAAATTGAATTTAATGCTGAAAGAATTGTAGAAACAAGAGAAAAAGAATCATAAGTAGGTTTAGATCTTATTGTTAATTATACAACAACTAAAGAAGTTTAAACACATTTAAATTTGATAGATAAAAAATTTGATGATCTAACCTCAGATATATGCGATCAAGCTATTAATTTTATAGAATTCTTTAATATTCCAAAAGATAAAACAGAAAGTGAGTTTTCTTAACAAAATATTTCATTTTTGAACATCAACACAATCGATTAATTAAGTGAAGAAGAAATTACTAAATTTGTAGATTAATAGATATCTCAATCTGGAATATAATAAAATAAACCCTAAATTGTGAGGTAATCTTCCATAAGGACAAATATGAAAAGGGCTTCTATTATTATGGAAAAATAACCTATTCAAACTTAATAAATATAAATTAATAATATTAAAGTTAAATCTATGATCACCTTTATTAAATTATAAGGAACTAAATTATTATAATTAGAAAATACTATTAAAGATAGTAATTCAACAATGGAAGAATTAAAAACTATTAATGATAAATTAGAGCATTAAAATAAGGAACTAAAAGAACAGAATTCTAAATTAATTGATTAAATAACTAATTTACATATTAAAGTATCAGATTTTGAAAATTAAATTATGTCAGATGCTATGGATTTAAATTAAGTACTTGCTTAATAAGAGAAGAAACCATTAAATTAAAAAGTAAATACATTAGCTTAGAGGAAAAATAGAAAGGTTGCACCATAATTAGGATAAAAAGTAATATAAATTAATAAAATAATAGGTTACAATTAGTTATGATTTCTAAAAAAATTAATCAAAATTACTTATTGAAAAAATTAAATCTAAGACAATAGGTAAATTTAATAATTATTTACCACTTAAGTTAGTACTGAAAATGATATCTACTTTCTATTTAGAAAAAATAGCTAATTAAAAAGAAAATAAACTATTAAGAGATTAAGATATGTCAGCTTATATTTATAATTATTATTTACAATAATTTGGATATACTAAAGTTACTGAATAAAGATTTATGATTCTTGTATTATCAATTAAAAAATATGTACAAATTGTAAGAGTTAATATGTTTGCTAAATTTATGAATTTATTAGAGGAAAAATCAAATTATAGAGTTGAAGAATTATAAAGATATTTGGAAGCATTAGAATATGTACATAATATTTAAAATCTTGGAATTGCTATTAAAGATAATGAATAAGAATAAAAACATTATATTCCTTATGTTAGAGCTTTAGCTTATTTAGGATAGTTATAAAATTTTAATTTTACTTAAGAAGAATTAAATTATTTAAAATAAGATTTAGAAAATTAAAAAGAACATGATCCAAAAAATATCAATAAAGCAGGAATTATTGATTTTGATTTACTTATGATAAGAGTTTTAACCATATTTAGAAATAATGTAGAAAAAACTAAATTATATGTTATTAATGCATTTTCAGCATGTGATCTTGATGGAAATGGAATGTGTAATTTAGATGAATGGCTTCTTTTAATTAGACATATTGAACCTGATAAATTTGAAGAAGAAAAATTTGAAGATATTTTTGAAGAATATGCTGATTTAGTAGAGGATGATGAAAAAAATCTTTCTTTTGACAGATTCTCTATCTTATGTATGGAACATGAACTTTTTAGTGATGCTTAATAAAATAAGTTTTTAAAAGTGAAAAGTATATATATATATAAAAATTAATTAGGTAATGCAGATGCTGAATATCAATATGAATAATTAAAGGAAAATTGGATATCAGTATATACTGAATAATTGAAGAGATTAAATGAAATCAAAATGGATGAAATTGATAAATAAAAATGGTAAAAAATACTCAATGTTTTGAACAGAAAAATAGCTTCTGAATATAGTAGTAAAAAACCCCTTCTTATAGCCTTTAAAATCTTTCTAGAAGAGTCTAAATGAATAATATTCTGTATATTAAGAAGGTATTTATTTGAATATATAAATTAAATTGATAAATTTTAATCTAAGATCATAATTTTTTCCTATAGGTAAACTCAATATCTTTTTGAATAATAGTTTAAGAAAAACTATTTCAAAAATAATAGATAAAAAAAACCTAAATTAAAAGATTAAAGAGATTGCTTTGAAACTTTATAAGACATTAATTCATTATTAGTTATGGTTATGTTTGATAAATGAAATCATAGCTTAATTATCCATAAAAATAAAACATTTATAATTGTTTCATATAGAATCTTAAGTATAAAATAAAACGATTCAGAGATTATTTTAAAAATAACATAAATAAAAATTGAATGTTTTTTTAGAAATTTGATTTTAGTTAAATTTTTAAAATATTAACATTATGGCTAATGTTAATTGTTCTCTGAATTAAATTTAAACCTTCTCTAACATAATTTTATCTGAATATTTCAATGATATGTGAATAAATTTTATAATAAATTTCTTAAATATCGTTTATTATTATTGCTCATTTAATAGATACATTATTCCAGCATTAATTATAAAAATGAAAATAATACAAAAATGTTTCATGGTTTTTGAGAATTCAGAACTTGAGAGATAGTATTAATTAGAAAGATCTCTATCTATTAAAAAACCTGTGTTCATTTGTTTACTCTTTTTGTCCTTCATCAGCAATTTATTTGCAATTATAGTTGAATCAACTTACCTTCCAGTATAAAGCTTATCCATATATTTGATCTTGATTTTATTCACAATAATAGAATTTATAACTATAGTTGTGATGAAAAAAATTTAATTCTTATAGTATGGAATAACATTTTCAAATATTATGTTAGGATTTTTATAATTCAATGTAGATACTTCATCAGAAACAAAAAGTGAATTTTATGCATATGGAAATGCAATTATGTAATTATAGGCAGTTTTATACATTATATCAAGCTTTAATCATGCGATAATTTAAGTTACCATTCATTTAATTTTACGAATATTAATTACTATTTATTAATCAAAAAAAGTTGATTCTTTATTAATTGGAATAGGATTTTTTGGAGGATTAATCATTCTGATTACTGTGCATTATTATGAATCTAGATCAAGAGTAAATTTTATTTAAAATTTGAAAGAAAATTAACTCTAGGATACTTATTCATTTATTATATAGAGACCATTTTTTAAAATATCATTTTCAGAAGGAACTTTGATGTTTAATTTAAATACAAAATATTAAATTGATTAATTTCCTGGTTTTGATGAATATTATTGTGATGGATGTAATGCAAGAAATTTAATGAGATCATATACAAACGAATAAAAATAAACTATCGAATCTCTACTATTATCTTAAAAATTAGAAAATAATGGATAATTGATGATTACTTTTAAAAAATAAACTTTTTAAATTAAATATTGCAAGGTTGATCTTTAATAATAGAATTATTTAATTATTTTATAAGATATAGATATTTAAGATAAAAAATAAATAAATATAGAAAAAGAATAATTGAAACTTTAATTATTTTTAAAGTTTAATTAAGATTTTAAACATAAAAAGTTGTTCAATTGGGGGGTTCTTTCCATTTTGTAGTTAAATAATAAAATAATTTAGAAAATAGATTTAAAATAAATTATAGCTAAATTAATGCATATTTATAAAAAATATTTATTTCCTAATTTAAATATAGAAATATAATATGATGAATAGAATTTATAAATTTACACGTTTAAAAATCAACTGAAGATTTTTTTAATTTAGATTTTTGAGATTATTTCAAAAATTTAACATTATGAAAGAAGAAAGGTATTAATAATATTAAAAAGAAAAGGATGTGATGCTTTAATAAAAGTTTAGAATATCAATTAAACTTAATTTAATTTTAATTATTGTTAAAACTTTTTTATTTAGCATGTTTAAAGTCTTGTAATTAATAATATATAGATCTCTGATTGTATTGGTTTACAAATTCGTAATCATCCAATAGGTTCTTTTTATAGAAAATGATATATTCTTGATTATTTTAAATCTATATCTTTGTCAATAATTAATTTAAACTTAATTTATAAACTATTTTTAATGATAAAAGTCACATAATCATATTTTTTGACCAAATGCTAGAAATAACTTTGTTACCTGATTTAAATGTACCAGGTCCATTAATCATATTGTCTTTAAATTGTCCTTCAAATCTAAAAATTAAATAAAAAGATTTACCTGTCTCCATTTGTAAAAATTAATACACCTTTACCTTATTTTTTATCAAGGACAAAGTCACCTGAATAACTAATCCAGCAATCACTAATAGAAGTAAAATCTTCAAAATTAATATCTTAACAATCTTTAGGATTTTCATTAAAAAGCATTCCTTTACCTTAAAATTTTCCATTAACCCAACATCCTTGATATGCTAATTTACCTGAAGGATAATATAATGAACCATATCCATTCATAACATCATTTTACCATTATCCAATATAAAAGCCTCCATCGCTATAATAAAGACTTCCTTATCCATTTTTTTTTTAATTCTTTTTAAAACCTTCATAAATAGAACCATCTAAATAGGTTTCACATATATATTCTTCATTTTAGAAATTAAATTGTTTAGATAAAGTATTAACATCTGATTCTCTTTCTCTACAAAATGGATCAGATTATAAATCTATTTACAATCCATTAGAAAAGGATTTAAGATCTTCAGATCCTGTTGAAGATGTTTCTGATTATTTTTCTGGACTTTTACGATACAAATACATTTATGAAGTTTATTATTAATGTTTATGATTAAAATAGGTTGCTCTGATTTATTCAATTTTTTCTTATAATACACTTTAATTATTAGATCTAGTCGTAGAAATAGGAGTAATATTTTCTTTTTTTTAAGATATGGTATTTGAATTGATAATTAAATTAGATTATGTTAATGGAATAAGAGGAAGTGGTTAGCTAGATTGTGTTTTGATTATTTATTATTATTATTATTATTATTATTAAGAGATAGCTTCATAATATTTTGATTGTTCTTGAATAGAGAAATTAGTAGGATGTTGCATATTTTCTGGTTATAATTGGAATGCAGGTACTAATCTTATAATTTATCCATTTAACTCATCTCTTAATTGAATATAATCAGGTCTTTAGATTCCTCCAAAGATATATAATAAACATTATTTAAGATAAGGTTCATTGATTTAATCTAATAAATTAGTAAATAGGTAAGTATTTAAAGTTCCATCAATATTAACTAAGTTTGTCATTAAATTGAGTGTAATCATTTCTAATAATATAATACCTATTGGCCATGAAGAAAATATAGAACCAGTTTAATCTTTGTAATGTGGTAATTGGGGTAATTTAAGATCAAATATGTATGGATCCATGATTTTGATTATTGTATCAAATAGTAAGGTGTTTGAAGATAAATTATAATGAATGTTGTAGTTTTAATAGATTGCCATGGCTTCAATTAATTGTTTTAAGTTGTATACAAGTTCTTGATTAGTAAAATGTTGAGAAGCAATACGTCTTCTTCTTATTTCATTTGATAAGTCAATCTCACTAAATTCTGTATAGATTTTAATTGTATTATTGGAATTGCAAAAGATTCCAGAGTCATCTTTTTATACAGCATGAATTTTAAGGAAAATTGGTTCTCTCATATTCTTTTCTTTGAGTCTAATAAAATTGGTCAGTGTGCTGACTTGTTCATCTGTTAACTATATTTTTCTCTCTAAAATGCCTCCAGGGTAATGTGTTCCTACTTTGGTTTACTTAAGAGGCTAACCCAACATCATTGTTGATTGTGAGGTTCCCATAATTAATATGTTTCAGTTAAATTTAATAAATGAACAAAGCTCGAAGACACAGTTTCAATGAAGGGGATGGTTAAAAACTTAAGACACTCAATGTTCTATATCCAAATACTTTTGTTAAATAACATCAGTTGGACAAGATAAGAGAGCATGAAAGAAAAAAGATGGAAAGATTAGCTCTTTAACTTAGAAAGTAATTTGCAATAACTTTGAAATAGAAAGAATACAATTTTATCCTCCTGTTAGAAATAACCAGAAGCTAACTTTAGGCCTTGCTAAAGACAATTGATACTACATAATCATGAAATTAAAATCTAATCATTATCATCAAGACATAGTTCTTATGAAGGAATTAAATAAATATTTTAGAGAAAGTAATTTGTAGAATCCAAATATAAAATTGATAAATTAATAACAAGTCCTTAACCAAATGCAGAAAAAGAAAATCTATGCAATATTTACAATTTAAGGCCTAATTTAGTTATAAATAAATTGATTGATAGTGAATTTTAGAGAAAGAGTATTATGTAATAATTTAAGAGACTTTCTAAAATTGGAAAATCCAATTCAACTCATTACAGTGTGAAATCTATATTAATATGAACACATATAATATTAATTTACTTGTCTCCACGTCATAACTTTTATTAAAAAATTATTGTATTTTCTCTTTGATTTTAAATAATTTTTCAGATATTAGCAATATAATAATGAGTTTTATTGATTAAGAAGAATACGATCTACCCTTAGATTGTGATGACATTTTATTCCAAACTAACCTTTTTGATAATCTTTAAACACCATAACATAGTATATCCACAGAGGATTTAGAATAAAAATTTAAGGATGAAAGGAAATAAAGGATACTAAAAAAAAGAATAGAAAAAAAATAAAAAATGAAGACAGATATCATTTAAACTATGTCTAAAGAAGAATTAAGAAAATTAAGAAATAGAAATTCTGCTTAGTTATCAAGAGATAAGAAAAAAATCATCTTTGATAATCTAGTTCAAGAAAATAAGAATTATTCTAATATACTAAAGAAGAAGGATGAGTAAATTGAATCTTTATAAGAAGAAAATAATCATTTAAGATTAAGAGTTCAATATTTGGAAGAAAAAAAGTAAATTATGAATAATAAACATAGTTAACATTATAAATGTATCCATTGTGTATAAGAAGAAGAAGGAGATTAAATATCTAGAGTTAATGTAATAACAAAATCAAAAATGATGAATTATGGATTACTCTCTCTCTTAGCTATAACTTGTATATTGTCAATAATAAATAATGATTATCAATATAATCCTTAACCAATTGCCTTATCATAACTTTCAAATTAAAGGTATGATTTTTTAGCTCCAAAATATTCATAAAGAAATCAAACAGCTTTATTTAGTGAAGAATCTAATTTTGCTATTCCTGCTCATACTTTTTAAAATTAAACTTTATTTTATAATTGTACTGGCAAAGACAAGGAATGCCAAAACTTTTTAAATATAGTCAAAGCTGAAAATGCTGATAATATTTATTTTGTAAATGATGAAACAGATCATATGCCAGCTAGTCGTATTCATAACTTTGAAATGGGAGAAGATGTTTATCTAATGAAAATAAAACAGGATGATGAAGATAACTTTTTAATATTTCGAGCAAGATGTCAAATTACAGAAAATAATTCACTAGCACTTGAAAGAAATACGTATGAAGCATATAATAACAGCCATTAGTATTGATTTACTATTTATTATTATTTTTTAAATATTTTTTTTAATCTAATTTCTATCTACTTATTTCATAACAAACTTTAAAACTAAAAAAATCTTTTGCTTTTAAACTACTAAATGATAATTAAATTAAATAAAGTTTTATTTAACTATGGTCTGATCCATTTAGAGGAACTAGTTTCAGAATTCCATCCTTATTATTCATCATTCCAAATTTTATCTTAAATAACTTAGCTTAGAATACTAAGATTTGATACCTAATTTTGTTTGGAGTAAATATGAAGCCCTTAGATAATCCTCTTAAGATTAGATATCTATTTAACTAAAAGAAACTAGATTAATTATAACTCATATAAAAATATTAGATTTCTGCAATATTTAGGTTTGTGAAATCTTTATTCTTATTTGATAATATCTCAAACTTAAATTTTAGTAAGATATTATCAATTCCAATGACGATTTATCTAAGATAATTAATTCATTAAGGAACAAAAGTTCAAATCATGGGTATATTATGAGAATCATTATCAATTACTAAAATTATTTCTGATTGATGAGTAAAAAATTAATTTTCTCTTACCTCTTTATATATCAAATAGCTATAGCATTAAATTTGATCAAATGCCTACTCATTCAAACTATAATTAGATATACCTTGTTTTGATTATATTTGGTAAAGAAAATTCTTAATGAAGAAAATGATACATTGAATGAGGTTTATGTTCATTCATCATTATGGTTTTTATTCTAAAGAATTTGTTATTATTTTTAAAAGATTGATTAGAGATAAATTCAACAAAATTAGTTTTGTGTAATTCCTAAGCTGTAATATATTATTGATAGACAGAAATCTTAAGATAGCCTAAAAGTTATGTTACATATTTAAAATAATATTATTAATTTAAGGATATAAAGACTTAGTTTATCAATACTTCTCTTAGTTATAATTCCAAAATTCTAATAATCGTATTTTGATATCATAAAGAAGTTACTATTTTTGAATTATAGTTTACCTATTCTTCTTTTCTTATTTCTATCATATTTCACAAATCAATATTAAACATAATTTATCTGTTAATAAATGAAATTACGATCTATTAGCACTATTGATCATCCAAAAGAATTCTTGTTTCCTATTGAACCAGATCTATCAGCCTCAATGACTGTAACCAATTCAAAGATTTATCAAATATATTAAAAAAATAGGCAAACAACTCCAAAAAGAGATCCTTTATAATCTTAATTCAATTTTACTAATACTTTTAGGTTTGAAAATAATGGTTAAATCTCTCCATTAAGATTATATCCTGAAAAAGCAGAATTGATTAATTTATCTTCTAAACGATCCTTAACCCCCTCTTCAAAACCTCAACAAATTAAAGTAAAAGGGTTCACTGATAAATTTAATGAAATTTAACTAAAAAAAACTTTGAGACATCAAGGAGTCGGGATTGTTTATTGCAGATAAAACTATAATAAAATCAATAATAAAGGTGATGGAACTGGAGAAATTATGCTTGAAGACATTTAAAATCTCAATAATGTCAAATAACGACTGAAAACCTTTGGACTAGAATTAGAAAATGAAGGAATACATCATGGAGTTAAACATATAATCTCTGAAAAATTTGCAAGGATATTATAAACTGAAAAAAACAAAACATCCAGAAATTAACACAATTACTTTAGAGCATGATTATTATAAAATATATTCTATATTCATCCTCTTCTACTTATAGTTCCATATTATGATTTAGCTCCTACTTAGGATTTAGCTCCAATTTAAGATTTACCTCCATCTATGGCAGATCTATTTAAAATTTCATCTTATTATTATTATTATTAGNTATTTGGTAAAGAAAATTCTTAATGAAGAAAATGATACATTGAATGAGGTTTATGTTCATTCATCATTATGGTTTTTATTCTAAAGAATTTGTTATTATTTTTAAAAGATTGATTAGAGATAAATTCAACAAAATTAGTTTTGTGTAATTCCTAAGCTGTAATATATTATTGATAGACAGAAATCTTAAGATAGCCTAAAAGTTATGTTACATATTTAAAATAATATTATTAATTTAAGGATATAAAGACTTAGTTTATCAATACTTCTCTTAGTTATAATTCCAAAATTCTAATAATCGTATTTTGATATCATAAAGAAGTTACTATTTTTGAATTATAGTTTACCTATTCTTCTTTTCTTATTTCTATCATATTTCACAAATCAATATTAAACATAATTTATCTGTTAATAAATGAAATTACGATCTATTAGCACTATTGATCATCCAAAAGAATTCTTGTTTCCTATTGAACCAGATCTATCAGCCTCAATGACTGTAACCAATTCAAAGATTTATCAAATATATTAAAAAAATAGGCAAACAACTCCAAAAAGAGATCCTTTATAATCTTAATTCAATTTTACTAATACTTTTAGGTTTGAAAATAATGGTTAAATCTCTCCATTAAGATTATATCCTGAAAAAGCAGAATTGATTAATTTATCTTCTAAACGATCCTTAACCCCCTCTTCAAAACCTCAACAAATTAAAGTAAAAGGGTTCACTGATAAATTTAATGAAATTTAACTAAAAAAAACTTTGAGACATCAAGGAGTCGGGATTGTTTATTGCAGATAAAACTATAATAAAATCAATAATAAAGGTGATGGAACTGGAGAAATTATGCTTGAAGACATTTAAAATCTCAATAATGTCAAATAACGACTGAAAACCTTTGGACTAGAATTAGAAAATGAAGGAATACATCATGGAGTTAAACATATAATCTCTGAAAAATTTGCAAGGATATTATAAACTGAAAAAAACAAAACATCCAGAAATTAACACAATTACTTTAGAGCATGATTATTATAAAATATATTCTATATTCATCCTCTTCTACTTATAGTTCCATATTATGATTTAGCTCCTACTTAGGATTTAGCTCCAATTTAAGATTTACCTCCATCTATGGCAGATCTATTTAAAATTTCATCTTATTATTATTATTATTAGACTTATGGTTTTGTTAAATCTTATTAAATTGGTAGTTATTATTTTAAGGGTTTCAATCTAGCTTAAATTAGTAATTATCTTATTTCATCATGATCTTAGACTGGCATTGAGAACAATAAACTTAAAGCACTCAAAATTGTTATAGGAATGATATATAAATAAGATCTAAATAATAGATGAGTTGGACTGCATTCAGATCTAAGATCAACATCAGCCTAATAAATAAGCGCTAATTATTATAAATATTTTTTAAACCTATTAAACCACTCTAACCTATTATTGTCAACATTAATAAAAATCGAAACAAATTTGGAATAGTTAACTTTTTTGTACAAAATAATCCAATATTTAAAGGTAAACCAATTAAACAAGAAACTAAAGCTACAAATATCAATCCAAATTCGATATTAGGAATATCTCTTGAACACAATTATTATTATGAATTAGCTGTCAATATGAGATAAATAGCATAAAATGAATTTGGTAAATTTGTTATTCTGAAAGCAAACAATATTGGAGACATTAGAGTTAATAAAACCTATTGATCATGTATTCAATAATACTTCTATATGTGTTTTCAAATGGAAAAAAAGAATCAATTTTTAAGATAAGATGACACCTTCACATTCATTTGGCTATGTAGTTACATCTAAATATGTCTAACCAGTCATAATTCCACTCCAACAAATGTTAATTGCATACATTACAAAAAATTCAAGTCTGGTGAATTAATAAATATTATACCTTGCAAATGGTTCTTTAAGCCATATAAATAGAAGTGATATTAAATTTAGAATTAATAGAACAATGTCACCTTTGTAACTTAAAGCAATCAATTTTATTCCCTCATCTTATGAATGATATTTGACTTACTTGAACAAACTTAATTTGTCTAACTTATTATAATTGGTAACAAATTAGAAAAAACAGTTAAGTAGAATTGCATTCTAGCAAACTAAAAGAAAACATTAACAGCTTTTGTTTTTGGAATGTTTATGTCAGTTTCCATTGTTAATATTCAAAATTTCTATAATTTATTTATTTAATAAATAACAACTAAAAATTTAACATAATAGTTATAATGAAAACAATATCAACCTTTGAATTCTTTAATTACTTTTTAAAATTCCACGATTATTGGTATATAAGGATAAATTGTGTAAACTTAAAACAATAATTTTGATTTTATTCATTAGAAGTATTTTATAAAAGTTAATAGAAATGATATCATTCTACAATCGAATTTATTTAAGATAATAATTGATCTTACTTTTTATATAGATTTTAAAACTACTTATCAATTTGAAATAACAATTTTATTCATTATCTCAAAGTTTTACTTAAAATATTTCCTTCAAAATTAGTAATTTAGGAATCAATATTGTATATGTTGATAATCTATGTATTATTGTTAATTAAATTAAAAAAAAAGATAATCTTTTATTATTAAAGATTAATAAATCAATCATACAATCAATATTTTGTTATATTATAAATACAAAAGTCTGTTCATAAACTGTTTCTATACTACTTAGTTTCATTGTTAATTAATTAAACTAAAAAATAAATTCTTTTAAGTTTATAAATCATGCCCAAAATAAATTACAAAATTATAATAAGTGAAAACTTGTTTAAAATTAAGTTAACAAAATATCTAATTAGAATCTAAAATCAACAGAAACTAATTGTTTATATTATTTATGATATTCCTATATCCTCTATTTTTATTATGTCTAAGAGTAAGAATATTATAATTAACAATTATTATTTTTTATTATTTATGAGTAAAGCACTGCAATACAATACTATATCTAAAGGAGATTATCTAACTTAAAAGAGCATACCTAATTCAGCACCAATGATGAGACCATAATCAGAAATGGTTAAATAATCTCAAGTATCTCCTCCAGTTTAAGCTCCTACAGATGTAATAGCAAGTTAACCGATTTATAAAGAAAAGTAAGAAAAACCTTAGAAAGATACTCCATTTGAGAGAAGTATATTTCCATAGAGTGAAATTCCTTAATAAAATGCACCTATAAAAAGCACAATGATAAATACTTAGCAGTAAATTGCTAGTTAAACTAATATTCCCCAATAGCAATCTAATGTATCTAATTAAAATTAGATTTAAATTTTACAATAATTGAAAGGTTTACAATTAGAAAATTAAGAATTGAGGGCTTAATTGATAAATTAAACAAGAGAAATAATGAATGCTGGAGCATTAAAGAGTGAAAATGCAGCTCTTAGAGAGAGAGCTGATGAATTGAAAGTTATTGCAGATCATGTTAAAGAAGCTGATGCATAAAATTAGATTATGAAGAGACAAGTGACTGAATTATAAACTTAATTAAGTTAACTTAAGGCATAAAATGGAGAATTATAGAAAGTAGCTGATGAAGTGGAATAAGTTAGAAAAGAAATAGCCACTTATAAGGCTTTTGAAATGTAGTATAAGGAACTATTAAGATAAACTTTATAATTAAAATCTGATCATGATGCATTAAATAAATAGTTTAATAAATTATTGAGTGTTTAAGATGAAAATAAAAGAGTAAGTTAGTAATATGATTAATAAGTAACAGAAAACGAGTAACTTAAAAAATAATTATCATAATAAGAAAAAGACAATTAATTATTACTTAATGATAATATAAGTATGAAATAATTATTAGATCAACTCAATTTTGATCATAGAAGTTTAAGGTCTTAATTTGCTAAATTGTAATAATAATAATAATCATAATATGAAGAAAATTAAAAATTGAAAGATAAGATATCATAATTGGAATTAGAAATTGTATAATTAAGATCTAGAAATGATGGTCTATAAAAGTTTGTTACTGCAGTTGATACTAGAGAATAAGAAATAGGAACTTTAAAATATCATTTAGGAATGTGTGAAAATAATATGAAAATTGTGTAATAAAATTATGATGCTTCACTTAAGAAACTAGAATTATAAAGAAAAGATATAGAATAATTATTAACTGATAACAATCTATTAAAAGGATAGTTGGAGCATTTAACTTTATAAAATAGATAATTAAATGAATGTAATTTTATATTCCATAAAATTAGTACAATGGAAAAATAAAGAACAAGATCATTAGACCAAATAATTGAATGAAGAAATTAAAAGATTAAATAGTTTAATGTTGATAAAAAATAATGAATGTAATTAATATAAAAATGATGCTTAAAAGTTTCATTCTTAATTAATGAATTTGTAGAATACTGAAAATTTGAATAAAAGAATGAATGAATAAATATAACAAATGGATTAAGATATATAATTTTTAAGGAAAATGAATTAAGATTAATAAATGTAAATTAAACAACTTGAAGAATTCAGATACAATACTATTTATAATATAAAATAACAAGATTTTAGTAGTAAATAAAATCCTTATTGAATAATCTTAATATTTTTATAAAAAAATTATATTTAATTATTTATAAATCATTAAGATTTAGAATGCATTTGCATCATAATTCATACAATCCTGAAAACAAGGTTGGATTAATAACAGGTAATTCTTGATTACTTTAGTTAATTAAATCAGTGTTTGTTTATTGGGAATCTTTAATACTTTTAGAAGCAACAAATGGATCTTCAAGAATTTGATCATAAAATTATCCTTTATAGAAAACTGATAATTCATTTCTATAATAACAAAATATTGCTGCTAATATTGAACTAGGTATTACTGTGAATAATAAACTAATAATTTAAATATAATCCTATACCTTGTTATTTAATATTTACTATTAAGAAAAGTGATAGACAACCAACCAATTAATCCTAAAAATAAACCCAAAAAATAAATTATAAAATAAACATATGATTATGATGCTTTTGCATATCTTACAGTATATGCTATCATTAAACCAGGTAGAAACAAAGTATTAATTTCAATGAATGCACATTTTCTTGTTGGAATATAATTGAACATTGGAGCTTATAGAGAGAAAAATTAAGTTAAATTAAGGATGAGTGATACTTTATTTCCATATTCCCATTTTAAGTAGACTGCATAATTTAAAAGACAATAAAATAAAAGAAATGGAACATAAATTGTTATGCAATCTTTAAATGATTTTACTTTAAAGAGCTTAAAATAAGTTCCCAAATTGAGAACAAATATTACATCATTAATTATCCAACTAAATCCAAATACAAAAAAAGTGATTATTGGGATGCTACCCAAAAACCATCCTAATATATAAAATAAACTATCTTGCAGATGATTCCAATAATGAATTTTTAAAAAGCAGCAAGTGTCAATTAAAAAAAATATGTTAGATAAATAAGATATACAAGCCAATAAATAGACTTCCATATCCATATTTATATAACTAAATCCCACTAAGGCAAATAAAGTAAAGATGAATAATATGAAATACCAGTAGTTGATTAAAATTCCTTAAAACTTTTTATTTGCCTTCTATAACGATGCTATGTGACCAAATCTGGATGTTAGAAACACAAATAAAACGCCTGAGATTACAATTATCAAATAACTGAAATCAAATCTTAACTGTTGTTGATGTAAAGTACTTTTTTGGTTCATATTGATTGCTACATATACTCTCATAGTATATTTTAATCGATTCATCATTTATTTATAGATCTACTCTGATTAGACCCCAGAAATTGTAATTCTCAAGATCTTATGGACATTCATGTGTAATGTAAATAACTTATCGGTTCGAAAGAGTTAAATTCATAATTTCACCTAATGTTGTTATTTAAGTTAATTTATACTTTAATTCAAAGTAAAATCATTATCAATAACATTCTCAATCTAATATTGCAAACTAAATTATTAATCTGCACTTATCACTAATTCTTGGATAAATAAGTTATTTGATTATGGATTGTCATTATATACTTATTGCAATTAAGGTACTCCACAACTATTAATATCATAATTTCCTAATTCAAATTTTGGATTCAATGATTAGTTTTCAAAAATTATGTAATTTTAAGTTAAAGTGTTAAGTGTAATAACCAATCCACTCAAAATCATTAAATAATTATTATATATATAAAATATTCTGATTTCTGATTTTTGATTTCACATTTGATTATCATAACTTAATTACAATTCTAATTAACTTTACTTCTTCTTCATTTTATTTGATTATTCATATCAAATCAAATAATTGAAATCCATTTTTGTTATGTGATTATAATATTAATTTTTTTGAATTTCAAATGTCAGGTATCACTCCATATCTATAATAGAGGAATCACAATATTCTGAACATCCAGGTGGGTGGATTGAATGGTTTTGTCAATTGCCATAAAATCAATATCTGACTGAAGTGGATTCCGAATTCATTCAAGATCCAAACAATTATGGTCACCTTATTAAACAATTCAATCTCTTTTAATAAGCCTTATAAATGATATTATCCTCAGAATAGCCAGATACTTTAGATTTAGAAAATGAGAAGTAATTTATTACACAACATTATAGGTTCCTTGAATTATATACAGAAGCCAGTGATATTTATGGATTATTACATTAAGCATTTATTTAAACACCAAAAGGTTTAGCAATTATGAGAGAGAGATTTTTGAATGGAAGATTTGGTCATTGTCCAAGAGTACTTTGTGAAAAACAAAATACCATTCCTATTGGTTTGAGTGAGAGTCTCAAAACTAGCAGAATTAAAGTATATTGTCCAAGATGTAAAGAAGCATATGCCCCACGAAAAAGTTAAGCTGACTTTGATGGAGCATATTTTGGTCGTAGTTTCCCAATGTTGCTCTTATTGGTATATTTAATTATTTATCTTTAGACTTATCCTGATATCCATCCAAAATTCACTATATAATTAGGCACTGAATTATTTACACCCTTTTAACCCACTCTTTATGGATTTAAAGTAAGAGATGAAAGATAAATCTAATAATCATCTCCATAGTTACAATAATAATAACAATAGTAATAAATTATTACTGAATAAACAAATGGTATAGTAGAAAAAGAAAATCATAATTAATAAGAAAAATAAAATGCAGAATAAGAATCTAAATAGTCTAAAAAGAAAAAGAAAAATAAAAATAAATGAATATGTGAATTTATATCATTATCGATCTAAATAAATATAGATATTGTCCCATTCTCTATATTATAAGTATGATATATTATTCTTTTTAAGTTATGTATTTTATATATTCAAATTATATATCAAAAATTTCTAAACTATTTTATGATTGTCATATTATCTTCAATAGAATTTCTATATAGTTTATTAAAAATATAAATTTGAACATTATTATTTATAATATTATATATTGAAAGTGATATCATGTTTATCATTTCTTAAAAATTTAATGATGATCTTTAAGATAATAAAAAAAGAATTATTTAGAATTTGATTTTTCTTTTTAAGAACATTAACTCCATTAATTTTATCAAATCAAATTTCTAAATAATATTAATTTACTCTTAAAATAATACTTTTAAAATAGTTGAATAAATCATACTAATTTTAATATTATATTTAATGCTTTCTTAAAAAAATTTTGCAACTAAATTGAATTAGTTTATTATAAATGATAATGAGAATAATATTTAATTCATTAAAATTATCTCTATAAAATTAAATATTAAGGAAATTTGTATTTAAATCTAAATAATCTATGATATATATATATTTATAATTATCAAGGTTTATCTCCTAATTTGTTATGTGCCAATTTATCCCAACACTTAAATTAATATTGATAAATAAATTACGTGGTAATAGTCATGGTCTAAGTTTACTTAGTCATCCATGACAAACGAACATGTCTTAAACATATATGAGCTTTCAAACATAAATGCTAAATTTTCATAAGGATATCTGATAGGCTAGAGAATAATGAATTATTTATACTTGTAAATCCATATTTGACCATTTAACAAATGATTCATGATCAGGACCGTGACCTTACAAAAGACTATGTAATGAACCATATCCAGGTTAAAAGCCATCTTCTTTGGCATCATATTAACCAGAAATATTTCCCATGTATTCACTCATAATATTTCTATGATAATAAGGTGGTCTGAAGGTATGTTCTGCAACCATCCATCTTGGTGGAAAAATAGCAAAGTCACAAACTGCAACTCTTTGAGAAATATATATAATAATACCCTGGTTCATCTGTTTAACATGTAATAACTGTGAATATAGATGGATCAGGATGATCAAATGTAACAGTTCCCATTGCATTGAAAAGATCTAAATTATATTTGTAAGGATAATAATTTCCATGCCATCCAACAACATCATAAGGAGATCCTTTCTTTGTACATTTATAGAATTTTCCTAAATATTTATTGATAATTTAGAATTCTTCCTCTGTATTCTCATAAAAAGCAACTGGAACCAAGAAATCTCTTGGATTGGCTAAACCATTTGCTCCAATAGGTCCCAAATCTGGGATTTTAAAATGACCTTTAAAGACTTCGCATATGTATCCTCTTATTGGTTTAGTCATTTCTACACTAAACTTGATTCCACGAGGAATGACGCAAATTTCTCTTGGTTTTACAGTCAATTTACCCATTTCTGTAGTTATTAACATTTCTCCTTCCCAAGGAACTAAATTTAAGAAGAATATATACCTATTAAGAAGTCTCCATCGCTATTAAACATACTAGAGTTAGTCATACTCTTATTGGCAGCATATAAATATATTGCAATTCCTTATTTAATGGAAGGATCACCTGCTCCACAAACAGTGACCAAACCTTCAGCAAATGTTGTAGGCTTTTCAGGTAAGGGTAATCGTTTCCATCTGATAATTATATATTTATATTTACCTTAGTTAATTAGGAGTGATGGTGAGTCCATGATCATTCATAAAATCGTTTTTTACATATTTTCCAAATTCAGGAGCTTCTACAAATGGACTATGAGCAGCACTGGGTCTAATTTTATATAACCAAGTCTTTTGATTGCTTGCTCTAGGTAATGTGAAGGCTGTGCCTGAAAATTATTCAGCTATTAAATTGTAAGCACATTTTTGAGGACTATTCTATCCTTTTGGGACTGCTCCTTTTAAAGCTTCTGTTTCAACATGATTGCCAAATCCTATGGCATAATCAAGGTTTTCATAATTGCGATGTGTATCCATTATAAGATATTTAATTAAATTTATCAAACAATTACGTATTATCAATTTGCTTATATTTCACATGACATACTATTTATAGTTTTTTTAATTTAAATATAACATAGATTATCATTATCATTACATCTTATTTATAAGAAATAAATATAGATTAATTCTCTATTCTCAATTAATACTTGAATTAACATTTATATGATTTTTAAATATGTAAAAATAATAAAATATATAATTAATGTAATTTCATTTTGTTTAAATGTTTTATAATTGAGTTTGAGATGTAATTAAAAATGATCTGTAAGTATACTTAATATTATTTTTTTATAGATTTGCAAATCTTACTAATATCTTATTATTTTGAATGTTTCTTATGGTTGAGACAAAGTTAATATGAAATATTTATATACTTAGACTTCTATATCACTAATCTCATTTGCCTTATATATGAATCTTTTTGCTGGTGTTTCCAACTCTAAAATATAGACATCATATAAGTTTTATGAAAGCACAATTAATCTCTAATAATTGATTTTTCAAAATCAATCTATGTTATAAAAATTTCCCTCTAATTTTCTTCCAATACAACTATATTTAATTTTTTAACTCTTAGATATTTACTAAGTTCTGTATTTAAATTTCTTACTTCAATAAGATTTATTCAAAAATCTAAATTTGAATCTTTTAATCTGTATTAATTTATGATTGTTCAATTATTTTGTTATATAAATTTGGCTCAATATCATGAATATTTTTTTTTAATTAGTTAATTAAGATATTTGCATCATCTAATCCATTGCTGAGTCTACCCAATATAGTTTCTTTATTACTTAATTCTTTCTATAAATTTTTTTATAGATAATAACAAATTAAATTAAATTCTTATTCAATTTATGATATACCTAATTATGCTTAAAAGTTATTTTTCAAAATTTTAATTTTTCTAATATATGCTACAAAACTTACTATTATAATTGCTTATTCATTTTTATAATACTTTATAACTATCAATCTAGAATTCCTTTGCCTTAATTCTTCTACAAGTTCAATATTTTTTTTGTTCATTTTCAATCTCAAATGATATATTATATTTTAATTCTTCTCCTTTAATACCTTATTTAATTCAATTGATAAAGAATAATTTCTAATTATTCTTTTTACTCTAATAATTGAAACATTGTCTTTTTTAATACTTAGATTATTACCTCATCTCTTATATTATTACAGTAATCAGATACACATTCAGATTTTTGATATTTTAGCATTTTTGATATTTTATATTTATAATAATTCAACAATAACATCCAGCAATAAATATGTCTAAAGATGCTACTGTTTTGCAGACACAATTTCTCTCTGCACATTCTTCTCTACCTATTTATATTAAGAATTCTGATATGCATTCTTAAGTAGCATATGCTTATGGAGTACTACATTTATCATTTCCCAATTTTGCTGGTTCCTTACAAGTAATTGGACAAGTGATATCATTTTAACATAAAACTGAATTCATACACATGTTATTCAATGAACACAAAGCCAATTTCTATACAGTTAATGAATTTGAACTGAATAGACATGTTTCGAGGCAATTCTCTTATCCAGATGAACATTCTAAAACTATTAATAAACTATATACTTTCTTCACAAATTGCCAAAGTTTATTGACAAGCATGATCATTTTAACAAGTTTAGTAAGGAACAGCACAAACAGCTTTTGAACATGTTCTATAATAGTTAAAGTTATTTGCAACAACATATGCTGTCATCAATGACAAAATAATAATCTTGTTCATTTCAATTTATTATATAATTAATAATAAAAATTATTCTGATAAAGTAACACTTATATAATATATATGTCAACTATATCAAGATTTCATTTAATATATTAAAATAATACTTCTAATTTTATTATTTAATGAAATTCTGAAAATAATAATGAAATTTTATATAAATTTGAATATATAATCATCTTTAATATACAAATAATAAGTATATTATAGTAATTATGTTTGATTTAGTTTTATATGTTAAAGAAAAGAGTTTAGAAATAGTTTCTAATTAAAAGGGTTAAAAAATAAGAAATTAGAACAAAATAAAGTTTATTTTATATCTAATATAAATTTATCAAATAAAAATGGACATCAAATCGACCGCATTCCATCTCTACAAATAGACATTAATTAGAAAGAACACTTAACCTATTGGACAAATCTATAGTTATGAATAAAAAGATGTAATTATTTTGTTTTAATCTGTGTAGAAAATTGGACAAGGTGCTTATGGTAGTGTATACAAAGCAATTCATAAAGTAAGCAAATAGGTTAGAGCTGTTAAAGTAATAAATAAACTAAACATAAAATATAAAGAAAGACTTTTAAGCGAGATAACAATAATGGAATTATTGGTATAATAATAAATTAATATTTAGGATCATCCTAGTATATTGAGATTATATGAAACATTTGAGGATGCCGAATACTTATACATGGTTTTAGAGTAAATTTATTTATTAATTAAAGAATCTGTCAAGGAGGTGATGTGTTTGACAAAGTTCTAGAAAAGGGATGTCTACCAGTAGAAGATGCTTTTAAAATATATATTTAATATATGCGAGCTGTTAACTATTATCAAGGATTTAAAATAGTGCATAGGTAATATACACCATAATTAATTAGAGATTTAAAACCAGAAAATTTTTTATTTTAGAAAAAAAATGATTTATCATCATTAACATTGATTGATTTTGGTATTGCTAAGAGATGTATTGATAAATTAAAAACCAAAAGTGGCACAGTAATATTTTATATATAATTCAGGCATATTATGTTGCACCTGAAGTTTTAGATGGTTTGTATGATCATAAATGTGATGTGTGGTCTGCTGGTGTTGTTCTTTATGTAATTTTATGTGGCTATCCTCCTTTTTATGGAGAAAATGAAAAAGAAATACTTACTGAAATAAAAACAGGCACATTATAATTTGATGGTAATTATTAATTATTTAAATAAGGTGATGAATGGTAAGGAATATCATAAGAAATTAAAGATTTCATTCGATCTCAAGTCTGTACTGCAGAAAAGAGATTATTACCAAAAGATTTATTAAGTCATAAGATTATTACTTAATACAATCAAAAATTTATTTAAGATAATAAATTATTATCTATGATTACACTCAATTAATGGGTTAAATATCATCCAATTAGAAGATTAGCTCTCTTTTATTTAGCAACTTAACTTGATTCAAGTGAATTAGTGAATTAGAAAAATTGTTTTTTCTTTATAAATACTTCTCAAACTGGATTAATTACTTAATAAGAGTTATCAACTTATTTAAAGGTAAATAAATAGGATGTCCAGAAATTATGGCCATATATTGATTGTAATAGCAATGGCTACTTAGATTATTTTGAATTTGTAGCTATGACACTTACATAATAGGAATATGTAAAATAATTACAATTTATGTTCGATTTTTTGAGTTAATAAGATAAAGTAATTTCCTAAAAGAGTATCAAATCTATTTTCGATTAAAATGCTAATTTTAATAATAAATGGGACAGCATCTCTGATACCAAGAATCAATTGGCTTTAGTAAACCAACATGAATAATAAATTAATGTTAAAAATATTCTTGAAAAAGATATGGATTTTAATGCCTTTAAAGCCTTAATGTAGTGAAATAAACATTCATATATTAATATAAATATATATTATATTTGATATAAACATTATATTCTAATGAATTTCTAAATTTATACATCAAATAAACCATTCTTTTAATATTATTGATTAGTATGTGAAATAAGAATTATAAGTACATTTCTTCATTCAAAATAATTTAATCTCATGAAGATAAATATATATATATCTTAAATTCATTGATATAATTTATTTAGTTATTAAAAAAAAAATTTATTTGAATATAGGTTAGCGTTATAGTAATTAAGTTGCCTAAGTATAATTGTTAATTAAATATGTCAAATTATTTTCATAACTTTCACATTTAGAAAGCAATCTAAAAATATTTTCTAAATGTTATATATTTTAAAAATTTTTAAGAATTTATGAATTTTTAAAGAGGCTTATGATTTGAATTCATTCTATATTATATTTATATAAATAGTTAGAACTAGCATTTAAGTTTTTGGCAACAACATATCATATAAAAATAAAATTATCTTATATATTTTGAAATGAGTAATACTTCATTTGATGATTTACTTGAATCAAGTATTAGTGAAGAAAATCAATCTTAATCATCCGAGTATAAAGTTGAATTGAAAAAATAAAGAGGAAATTATGGTGCCAACGCTGAGGCTAAACGTTACCATAAAATTCCTTTAAAAACGTAAATTTTGTTATTTTAAATGGTGTTTATAAATGGAAGACGTATAAAGCAAGTACAAGAATAATTAATATATTTAGGTTGCCAAATCTTTGAATATGAATTACTCAAGTGCAAAGTCATTAATTCATTATTATAAAAATAATAAAAGACCAATCCCAGCTGCAATTTCAAGTATTCTAAACTAAAACAAGATTTGTAAGATCAAAAAAACAAAAAATGGGAATGATAATATGTTTGTAGCTGTTCAAATCTAAAAGAAGACTATTAACAAATACAATTTTTATTAATTACTAAAAATATAACAATCACTCCAGAATAACTGAAGAATCAAACCATGATTCTAATTATATATTTTATATCCAATAAACATCCTTTCAACTATTTAATTAACTTAAATAATATTAAAAAACATCTAAAATTCTTATTCTTAATGCAATCCTTTTAATAAGTTTATCCTTGTGAATTTTTTAGATTTACATAGTTTAATATTGAATGATCAAGTATTTATGTATAACGTTTTTCTTTAAGAGATAAATTTCTGTTAATGAATATATAATTTAAATCTTAATTTAATTTAAATCAAAAATGTGTGATAAAATAGAAATATAATTCAATATCCCATTACTTAACCTACTAAAAATTTGATTTAAACATAAATCAAAAATATCTTAAAATCCTAAATGATAGTGACAAATATAAATATAATTGTTTTAAATATTAACATTAATTGATAATAATTATTTTTAGTTATTTTCAAATTTGTTTTCTTAAACCTTCTTCAATATGTAAAACACCGATCAGGAATCTTTTATTCATAATTCTATTGCAAAAGATCTAGAATAACAAAATTCTATTTAAAAAAAAAAGAATACAAAAAAGTCATCAAGACAAATCCATAAAATACCAATAAGAACTTAATAATTATTATTCGTTTAAGTTTTTTAGGAAGGTAAATAAATTAAATAAGTAAAAGTAATAAAATATTATATTAGGTTGCTGATGATTTAAAACTCAACTATTCTAGTGCTAAATCCTTAATACATTATTATAAGTATAATAAAAGACCTATTCCTTTCTAAGTAGCTGATGTATTAAATGGGAAAAAACCATGCCTTTACAAAAGCATGCAAAATAATTAGAATACATATAATAATCTAAAAATAGAAGTTTGGCTAAAGCACTCATTTATTAAGGCTTATAACTTCTTTGAAAGAATCAAAAAGCAAGAGTAACTATTTGCAAGAAAATGTCTTTAGTGATATTCATTTATTTAGAAATAATTTTTTGGAAATATATGATTCTTGTTTTTAATTATTTCCATCTTTACTTTTTAAATTGTTCTTTAACCCTAAAAACTAAAACAATGTATTAATTTTCAATTATTTTCATTAAAATGTTCGAGAAAACATACATAATATGTTTGAATATCATCAAAAATTTAGTGTATCTCATTTATACTATTTATAGTATGATTAAATTAAAAATGATTAAATTGATTTAAATATTTATCATATTTTCTTTAAGTAATTATAAATGGATGCATCATAGTAGAGATTAGTTTAAAGTTTAATTAGAGTTCACTATAAATGAATCCTATAATAAGTAAAAATATTAATCTATTTATTATTCTTTCTCTTATTTATTAAAAATTTTAATAAAAAATCTACAATTAATAATCTCTTTTTAAAAGCTAAGATTTTAATTTAATAATATAAAATGTCTAGATTTCTATAAATAAAATATTAATTAAAAAATATCATTTTATATATATCATATGATTTGATTTTAAATTCTTTGTAATTCTATCTAAAAATTCTTTGCATCGAAATTATTATTGATAATATATATTCAATTTTTTAATTTATTTGATAGATTGTAAATTACGTAATTTAATTTATTTAAGAATTATTTTTAATCCATAATGTTAAAGAAAACAATAGAAAATAAAAATTTCTAATTATGATTATTAATAATGTGAATTAATTTTAAAAAGAAGTCATTATTTAAAGATAATGATTTTATACATTAATTGAAATAAAAAATATGAAATATTTATTAATTTTATCAACTTTAATAGTATTAGGGTCGTCTTTGTCAACATAGTTATCATAAAAGCTAACTTGCTTTTTAGTTAATTCACCTGAAGAAAATTCACATTTAACAGTTAATTATATTGTATCAGGATTGGATGAAAATTAGACAGATGTCTTTATTAAAAAAAAAGATGGAGAAATACTAATAAAAGTTTAAAATACAAAGGATGGAAGGATTAGAGAATTATTAAAAGATAAAGATAATTATTATGTTTGCTTTTAAAGTAGAGATTAGAGTTATAAAATGGTGAGTTTTGACTTTGATATTGAAGGAGTTGATAAGGAATATGCATAATCTGAATAATTTGAATTAATGTCAAAAGAGTTATAGAAAACATAGAAGAATTTCTAAAATATTTATAGAAATTAACATTGGATATCTGATAGAGAGAATGCACATGCAATAATATTGGATTAGACAGAGAAATCAGTTTAATGGTGTGCAGTTATTAAAGTTGGAGTACTTATTGTAATCAGTTTATCATAAATATATATTGTTTATAATTATTTTAAAGATAAGGATTTAAGTGGATAAGTGTGAGAAATTATAGTATATATTATAATTAAATTTATAAATATAATTGTAGTTTATAAGATGATCATAAAAAGGAGTCTATAAAACACTCATAATCCAATGGATTAAGTGCTGTACTATTATAATCCACATATGGGTTAGGAGATCCAATTTTAGATTCCTAGAATTCCTCCTCCTTTATTTATTTGTATTCCCCTAAAAACTTGTTAGTTTGTGTTTCGCTTTTATCTAAATATTTGAAATAATGATACTTTCTTATCTTAATTCCTCATTTATGGCATGCAGCATTTAACCTACTTATTTAAATTTGACTTCTATGTCAACACTTTAATTGTAGACAAACTGATAATATTCATAATTCTTTACATGATTTAAGTTCTACATCTAATCAATAAGATAAGAAGATGTTTCTTATAATAATTTCATATCTTCTTTTAACTTATTATTTGTCTCTTTTATATCAATGGCACATTCTTTAAATAAGTTCTATTCTTCCTTAATTTAAATTGCTATCAAATAACGAAAAATTAAATACTTGGTTCTTCCTATATAGCAGGAGTAACAAGATCTTCTTGATTTCTCCTCTTAATAAATTATAACATCGATCTTATAAAGTTAAGAAAAAAGAAAATACTTCATTCCTTTTCTAAAGCATTTGTGTTTAAAAATTTATCCGTCATTTGATCGAACTTTCTTGAAATTATATAAGTTTAACTGTCTAAAATACTATTAATTCAAGACAGTACCTGACAAAACTTGAATAATTGCTGTGTTTAAAGAAATTTTATAAAACCTCTTTCTCCATTTACTATTGATTATATACAATAAAGGCTGTGCCCTAAGCAGTCCAACTGACAATATTAGCATGTTTTTGTTCCTTAAAACTATTAAATAGAGTTTACTTCAAGCATTTAATAAGTTTTCAGAATGAATGTTGGAATAGGAGTTCTTGCACTCATAAATTGTTATTATATAATATATTTTTAAGTAAAAATGAATTAATCGATATTTAAATCCTATCAATTTGATAAAATCTATATTTTTCACCAGAAATAAATCACTCCTTATGATTAGGATATTTAGTAATATATATATAATTTATAAATTTATGAAGCATTTACTATTATTTATTCTAGTCCTCTATATTTTAATTTTTTAGTATAGATATTAATAATAACTAATTTGATCACAATATTAACTAAATTAATTTCATGATTAAGTCAAAGATAATGTTAGACCAAAAGAAATAAGAAAAATAATAAAAATATCAGTAAAATGAATAAATCATCAAGTGCCATTTGAAGAGTGTATATTAGAAAAATAGTATATTTGATGAAATATTTTGAGTAAATGAAGAATAGATATATCAAATAGTATTAAATAAGTTAAAAAGGAAAAAATGAGAAAGTTTAATTTTTGATTATTAAATTTATTAAAAAATGGAACTTATAAAGTGAAAAGGAAAGGTATAATAACCTATAATCAATAGCTTAATATCTATTTATAAAATAAAAACTAAAGAGAAAGTCATATTTATAAGAAATTTATAAAATAACAATTATAGTTGGAATTATTGCATTATCCATATTTTTATGATTATGCTAATATTACCTTTGGATTTAAGTGATTTTTAGAATGTATATTGAGAATAAAAATCAAACATTAAAAAAAAAGTTTAATAGTTTAACTTATATTACTTAAATTAAAGTAGAATTAGCATAACATATATTTGATTTAATGATAATAAGATATAAATCAATATGAAATCAAATAATTAAATTAATATTTGAAATTAAAACAGCATTAGTTTAGTAAATTATATCTAAAAATAATGTTATACATAAAAATTTTGTGAAAGTTCTATATTTTTAGAATAATTTAACATATATATTTTAGTTAATATATATATGAATATCATAATAAAAATATTAGATTATACTTATAATGAACTAGATTTGTTATTTTAAGGATTTATATCAAAAATTAATAGGTCTTGGATTGATAATTTAGTTATTTATTATAGATGAATGTTGATTTATTATTAATTTTAAATTCAAAATGTCTTAAAGCAGTAAATGTTTCATTTTCATTTCCAATAGATATCTCTGTAAATGAGAATGGATGGATTAAATGGTATTGCAATTTGGAAGACCATCACTTTTTTTGTGAAATTGATGAATTTTTTATAGCAGACTAATTTAATCTTTATGGATTGAAACAATTGTTTGATCATTTTGAGTAAATCAATATATAATATATTAGAGAAGCATTATAAATGATATTATCTCCAAATACACCAACAGATGAAGATTTAGAGGATGATTAGTATTAAATGAAAAATTATAATTAAGATTTTTAGAACTCTATAATGAAGCATCAGAATTATATGGTTTATTACATGCTAGATTTATTATAACTCCTTAAGGCTTAACATTAATGAAATCCAAATATTTATAAGGAAGATTTGGTGTATGTCCTAGAGTCTTGTGTGATAGATAGAATGTATTACCAATAGGTTTAAGTCATGATTTAAGAACTTCTCGCGTCAAAGTAAAAAATCCTTGTATTTAATCTAGATATTTTGTCCAAGATGTTAGGATGTTTATTCTCCTAAAAAATAAATGAGTGATGTTGATGGTTCATTTTTTGGTTCTGTATTTCCTCATATATTTTTATCTGTATTTTCTGAATTAAATCCAACATAACCAGCAAATGAATATGTGTCAAAAATATTTGGATTTAAAGTTCATAAAAAGAAAGGTTCAAAATTTTAAATTCAATAAAATTAAACTGAGATGTATTATTATGCAGAGGATCACATAAAGCGACTGTCTTAAATATAGACTTCATAATAATAATAACAATAATAATCATAATAATAATAATAATAATCTTAATAAAAATAATCTCAGAAAAATGATGATGAGGCAGAAAAAAAATAAAAAGAAGCTTTAAATGCAATATAAAAGTTATAGAAATAAAAGTAAAAAAAATGATTTTGGTATAATTAATTATTTTCATTGTCCTCTCATTATTATTCTAAAACTAGTAATTCTAGTTCTAAAAATTGAACATTTTTAACTTCTCTCTTTCAATCCTTAACAACAAGTTTAACATAAACTCATATGTTTGCATGGTAATATTAATTTATTTACTTTATTAATTAAACAAATAACATAATTTTTATTGTAATCTTTTTATCCACCATAAATATCTCTAACAGTATATGCTTTATCATTCTTTTATATTTTAATTTCTAATGTTTCTAATTATATATCATTTTAATTCAATTTGAAAAACAGTATTAAAATAATGATTTTTCCAATTTTTCCTATATTTTTAATATAGATCAATAAAATTTCTATTATTAAAGGATATTATCTTTTTTCTTAATTTTTGTATTCTAAATCTTATAGTTTGATTGATTATATATCAAATTTGAAAATTATCAAATTTATATACTGTAGCAGGTTTAAAATGGTATGTTTCTTATTAAAAAGGCATTTACATTTTAAATTATAAATTCATTATTAATTATTTCAACAGCTAATAAATATATTTTTAGTATCATTGGTTCTAAACATTCGAAAACAAATTCTATTTAATAATTTCTAACATCAATTTTATATCTGAAATCTTATATTCTATATATACCATTTTTATGGAATCCACTTTAATATAGGTATTATTTAGTTTAGGTATAACTTTTTTGACTTTGACATTATATTTAAATCTAGTTGGATGTTGATCTTAATTTTATATTTATTATGGAAGATCCTAATGTATTTACTATGGATTATTTTAATATAAATCTCAAAGTACAATTAGGATCATTGATTAAATGTTATACACTCTAATTATTATCTGTAATATGATTATTTCTCATTTTAATTATAATATATAATACATTTTAATGATATCAATCAATATATCTTTAACATTCTGACATTCTATCTAAGATATGTTTAATATTGTAGAATCCTATCAAGTTGCCTAAAAATTGATCATCTATCTTTTCTCCTTATCTTAAACAATATAAACTTTTAAAAATATTGTCACTTATTGAATAATGCCACTCTGAATTTATTTTCAAATTAGCATTTTAATCAAAATTCTAATAATGATTTTCAATTTTAATATTATCTTGAGGATCTAATTTTTAATTATAGTAAGGTTAAAATCTATCATTGAATTAATCATCATCTCTTCTCTATTCTATTTTAATTCTTTTTTTTGTTTTTCTACCATTACTATCTGATTTGATATTATCATAAATTGGAAAGTTTTTCTTTAGTTTCTCGAAGAATTAAAATAGCTTCTTATTAGCTTAACTAATAAATTCTTCTACTTTAGTATCATCTACTGACCAAGTTGATTCATCATTTCTTTTAAAAACAACTGCTGACAAACATCCTTTCACAGTTCTTGTAGCCATTCCTGTAAAATTTTTTCCATTCTACTTTCTTAAAAATGGTAGATATGGTTCTGTAACATTTATTAGATTATTTAATGTGGCATTCCCATCTTATAATTGTATTGCTTTGATCAAATGTCCTGTCAATGACATTTAATATAATTCATCTTTATCCACCATTTCTTACCATTTATTTATGTCAAAAGCTTTAGCTTACTAAATAACTTTTCTTTAAATATAATACTTATTTAAGTGTTTCTGAATGATATCTACGTTCTTCTTAACGAGGTTAGTTTAATCTAATGTTGATAATTTAACTTAATTGTAAGGGCAAACTCTATTTAAAATATTTATGTTAGTGATCACATTGATCAGCCTGCTTTATTATTTTATTAATGTACTTCTACTTTAGTTTTTTAATCCATAAGGTCTCTTTTTTATATATATAATGTTACCCCCTTTTATAAATTAAAATANTACACTCTAATTATTATCTGTAATATGATTATTTCTCATTTTAATTATAATATATAATACATTTTAATGATATCAATCAATATATCTTTAACATTCTGACATTCTATCTAAGATATGTTTAATATTGTAGAATCCTATCAAGTTGCCTAAAAATTGATCATCTATCTTTTCTCCTTATCTTAAACAATATAAACTTTTAAAAATATTGTCACTTATTGAATAATGCCACTCTGAATTTATTTTCAAATTAGCATTTTAATCAAAATTCTAATAATGATTTTCAATTTTAATATTATCTTGAGGATCTAATTTTTAATTATAGTAAGGTTAAAATCTATCATTGAATTAATCATCATCTCTTCTCTATTCTATTTTAATTCTTTTTTTTGTTTTTCTACCATTACTATCTGATTTGATATTATCATAAATTGGAAAGTTTTTCTTTAGTTTCTCGAAGAATTAAAATAGCTTCTTATTAGCTTAACTAATAAATTCTTCTACTTTAGTATCATCTACTGACCAAGTTGATTCATCATTTCTTTTAAAAACAACTGCTGACAAACATCCTTTCACAGTTCTTGTAGCCATTCCTGTAAAATTTTTTCCATTCTACTTTCTTAAAAATGGTAGATATGGTTCTGTAACATTTATTAGATTATTTAATGTGGCATTCCCATCTTATAATTGTATTGCTTTGATCAAATGTCCTGTCAATGACATTTAATATAATTCATCTTTATCCACCATTTCTTACCATTTATTTATGTCAAAAGCTTTAGCTTACTAAATAACTTTTCTTTAAATATAATACTTATTTAAGTGTTTCTGAATGATATCTACGTTCTTCTTAACGAGGTTAGTTTAATCTAATGTTGATAATTTAACTTAATTGTAAGGGCAAACTCTATTTAAAATATTTATGTTAGTGATCACATTGATCAGCCTGCTTTATTATTTTATTAATGTACTTCTACTTTAGTTTTTTAATCCATAAGGTCTCTTTTTTATATATATAATGTTACCCCCTTTTATAAATTAAAATAACGGGGGATCAAATGCTCACATAAATAGTGATCTCCTCTAATTGTGTTTATATTTATATAATATCAAAACATTGAATCAATAATACTATCAATCTTATTTGGTTATGGTTATGGATAAGCTTTCAATTATGAAGATTCTTTAATTTTATCAATTAACTTGAATATAACATAAAATATCTATACTTCATTTTATATATATCTTGTAGATTTTATTCCACATACTAATTATTATTTTGTTAATGCATTAAATAATTCCATTTAATGATTATTCATCAATGTGTCATTATTAATTACAATAATCTTTTTTTTTAATTTTAAGCATTCTAAAATTGTACCTGCACCACAATGACAAATTATTAAATCTGCATTTTGATAGTCTTCACTTAAAGATGATTTAAATCTAAAAAACTCAGTTTTAGGTTCATAATTACCACTAAAAATATTTATCTAAATCATAAACCTTCCAATTTAACATACTACTTTATTATAACCCAATTATTTCAATTAGTTTTAAGTTTCTTAATTATCAATTGTTTTTATCAATTCATCAAAGTTTGTACTACCAACTGTGACAAATATTGATTATTATTTCATTAAAATATAATATTTAAATAAGTAATTAATTATTCAATATTTTTCTATGTCCTTTCATTCAAATAGCCAAGATTATTATTCTAATCCTTAAATCTTAGCTTCTCCTAAAGGGCCGCAAATATCATTAAAAAATACATTTGGAATAAATTAACCAGATTCTTAGGTTTGTTCTCTTTATTCTGAAGGAAATGAAGCAATAGAAAAAAACTTGAAGAAAAATCATTAATAGTAATCAATAATTTTAAACACTGATACTTAACTAGAAGGTCATAAAACTAAGACTCCATTAAATCCATTACAAAAATTACGTCAGTTGGCTACTAAGAATACTCTTGTTAAGCAATTTAAATAGAGTTTATTTATGAATTCATACATTTTATCGAAGGATTATTAGTAAAATAATATTATCAACAATTAGCGACAAAATAATGTAATTTGAATAATTCCTATCAAATAAAAATCTTGATAATTTTCAAGATAAATCTTAGTAATCAATCATTCCTGTGTTTGAAGCTTTTAGCATTTAGATGAAAATATGGGATTTCTTAATGATATTACAATATCTTTTATAATTATGGTTTCTGCCATTCAGTATAAGTTTTTATAGATTAAATTACAACATCATTTTCTTAAAAGAGATTTTGTCCATATTAACATTACTTAATATTGCTATTACATTAAATCGACAAATTTTTCATAAAGGAGAATATATAGCAAGCAGATAGAAAATTTTTAGATAATATATAAAATCTAATTTAATGGGAGATTTAATTTAATTGATAACTTGGATGAGCCTCATATTTTTAAATTAAAAGTTAGAAGATTAAATCTATATGGTTATTTTAGGGATCTTTTTAGTTTTTTCTTGTATAAATTCTCTTCTAAGAAAAACAGAATATTATATAGATAGTTATTATAATAAAGGGAATCTTAGTAACTTTTTAGATTTATTTATTCTCATCATTTAAATTTATTATGTTGCTCATTATATGGCATGCATTTGGCATTTAGTTGGAGATTTAGGTAGTTATTTAGAAGAATCTACTTGGTTAACAGAATATGGTTTTATAAATGAATCTATTAGTATAAAATATAATTATTCATTTTATTGGGCAACTATGACTATGGTAACTGTTGGTTATGGTGATATAACAGCTAGAAACAAATATGAAATTTTAACATCCAATATTATGATGATATTTTCAAGTTGCATATTTGCTTATTCAATGAATTCAATTGGTATAATATTGAAAAGTATTAATGATAGTAAATTAAACTATAGGTATATTTTTATTAATAAAAATAGGAGAACTATTACAAGTATTAATAGTTATATGTAATAAAATTAAGTAGATTAATCTATATCTGAAAAAGTTAGAAATTATATCAAATATCTACACTAAAGAGAATAAGATACTTTTGATGATTCAGAGAATTCTCTTAAATATTTACCAAAAGGATTAAAAACTGAAATGAAAAGAGATATTGCATAAAAGCTAATTTAAAAAATTAAGATTCTTTAATAAAATTTTTCTCATTCTACTCTAAATGCATTAATTCATCATTTAAAAATTTAAAATTATGCACCAGGTGAATATGTTTATCATCAAAATGAATAATAACATTTTCTTTGTTATATTAATTCTGGATAAGTATAAATTAATGAAGAATAATCATAGACTTAAATTCAAATATTAAAATAAAATAGTACTTTTAATGAATATTCTTTCTTTACAGAATAATAAACAAAAACTAATGCTTAAAGCATAGGATTTACATAAATTATCAAAATTAATAGAAAAACCTTTTTAAAAATATTAAAAGATTGTCAAAAAGATTTAGAATAATTTTATAATATTAAAGATACAATATTATTATATAATGATTATTCACAATTATAAAAGAAATGTTATTATTGTGGATTAATGAAACATGAAAGTATTAATTGTCCTTTATTAACATATTAACCAAATAAGTTAAAATGTATAAAAAGATAATTTAAATCATCTTAAAATTAAGAAAGAAAAAGTTTTAAGAGGCATTATCATTATGTTCCATCCAGAATTAAATTTATTGAAATAAAAAATACTATATCTTATGCTCAAGATTATTATTTTTCTGATTAAATTTTGAGTGAGAAAAATATAGATAAAAATCCAAGAAAAAATGAACCGATTTCTGATTCTCCAAATAATGAATTATTATCGCTGGAAAAAAATGTAAAAGAAGAAGTTGATCATACTTCAAAAAAGATTTCTAAAATTCGAATAGGAAGCATATCAGTTGAAGGAAATAATATGACAGTTAAAAGAGCAAGCAAATTGTAAAATATATAATAACCAAATGCAGAGTATAAAAGTTATGCAAACAATTAATTAGATTAATTCCTTTAAGTTGAAACTGATCTTAAAATTGATTCATATTAAAACTATCAAAAATATATGAGACATAATAATCTATTATAAATTCTTAAGAGCATGTAAAGATTTAAAAGAAAAACTAAAATAAGTTAAAAGAAAATAAAAATCATAGAATCAAACAAAGGTAGTGAAAAATCTTGATTGATTTATTATTAAGATTATTTATTAGAATTAGGTTTGATTATTTATTCTATTTAATTTTCTTAATATATAATTCTCAAATTATTATTAGATCTTATTTTTAATTTAAAATATAATATTATTTAATTTAAGTTTTTATATTGTATTCAAGAGAATAATAAATCTAAAGAATACTATTAATTTTAAATACAACATGTTTATAAAATTGTGTTAGCATTTAATTAGCTGATTATTATAGATTTTATAATTAATCAATTTTAATACTGTTATTATAATCTTTAATATTATTTCATTATATTTTTCATTCTCAATGACTATCATGATGTATATTAACGATATAAAATGCTGTTTCAATACTTGATACAAGAAATGCTCTATCTTTAACTTCAATTCCAAATTCTTTTTCAAGTGCATCATGAATATGAATGCATGTTGCCACATCAACATAACCTGCAGCATCATTCCAATTTGTATTAAATGTAATTGGAGTTGATTCCCACTAATTTATTATATTTATATACTCTCTCTGGGTCAATTTTTCTCAATCTTTCTCCAACTACTTTGATGATTCTTTTTGCTGTTACAGCTGGCTTTGAAATTAATAGATTTTTACATTATTGTAAACTGAACCATTAGGGAAATGATATGAATAGATGGGTGCTTAAGTTGATAAACTTTTAGCAAAATTTGATATCAATTTATACATTATTTTATATAATTTAATTTAACTCAATGAAATATTAATGATTTGCATTTTATCTAATAAAAATAATATAATGTTAAAATTCTTCTTTTTAATATAATTTGCTTGTTTAAGATGATAAATTTAGATAAGAAAGTATGAATAATTAATAAAATATGTGTACTTATTATATTTTATGTAATTAATATACGTGATCATTATTTTTTTGCTTAAGGTTTCTTTGTTTATGGTTTCTTAGTTTCTTTTGTCTATGGCTATTCTTTAGATTTTTCTTCTTTAGGTTATTATTTCTTTTCTTTCTTTTCTTCTTTAACTTCCACTTCAGCATCGTCTTTTAATTTTTTGATTCTCAACATACCTTATTTTGCAGATAAACCAGCAGGAGTGCTAAATTAATAGCTATTTATTAATACTTGACTTCCCAAGCTCCACCAGCTATTTACAAACCTGTTTATGTACATCTCCAAATACCAATAGCTTATCTTCTTAATGAATGCTAAATAATAAATAATTTAATTTCATACAGCTCCTGTGAATGTATTGAAATATCTTTGATGTTAGGAAATTTCAAATTTCTTGATAATCTTTCTTAATGATGCACCATATCTGGTTCCATATTTTCCTGTAATTCCAACCTTCTTTGTCTTCTTTGTCATTTCAAATAAAATTTAAAATCTTTAATTTATTTACTATTTAAATTTATTGTGAATATATGAGTATATACAAAATGTGTATATACTTTGATTGACAGTTATTTATTTATTTAGAGTATATAAACTCTAATTGTTCAATTAATCATTTATTTTTAAATTATATAGTTAAATTTATAAACCATGGCTTCATTTAAAAAATAATAATAAAAGACTCAAGCACCTTAAAAAAAGAAAGTAAAAAGTGAATTGACTGATGATTAAAAACAAGAAATTAAAGAAGCATTTGATTTATTTGATACTGATCGTTCTGGAGCAATAGATTGTCATGAAATTAAAGTTATTCTTAGAGCATTAGGATTTGAAGTTAAAAAGTAAGAAGTATAAGCATTGATGAAGGAATATGATAGAGATGAAACTGGCAGAATTGAATATAGTGATTATATAGAACTAAGTAACATAAATAATTCAAATATTAGTGACTAGAAAATATTGTGAAAGAGATCCTTAAGATGAAATATTCAGAGCATTTAAATTATTTGATGATGATAATTCAGGAAAAATTACATTAAGGAAATTAAAAAAAGTATCAAAAGAATTAGGAGAAACTTTGAGTGATTAAGAATTATAAGCTATGATAGATGAATTTGATAAAGATGGTGATGGATAAATAAATATTGATGAATTCCTAAGTATTATGAAATAAACAACAATTTATTGAATCAATTGATGAATATTACATCTAAAACTTAATATTATTATTATTTAATAATATCATTAAATTTTTTAATCATTTAGAAATTAATTAAATTATATATATATATATATATATATTATATAATTTATATTACTTTCAAATTAACTAATTATTATAAATTTATTTGTATTAACAAATATTATCATTCTATATCTATTTATTATTTTTATTTTTAAACAATATAACATCCTCTATCTACTAAAAATCTGTAATATTTAGCATTTGGATCCTATTTTTAGGATGTAATTGAAAAATTTTGAATCTATTCTAATCTCATTGCTCGAATTAAAAGTATATTATAAAGTTTTGGATATTTTGTTACACATTTTAATACTTGATCAACACAATCTATTATTTTATATAATATATATATATACTCTTTTCTTCAATTTAATCTAAAATTTAATGTAATCTTTTAGAATTATTTTAATATAATCCATTTTAATCATCTTCTTCTTGATATATATTATTTTTCTCATGTTCAAAACATAAATCAATAAAAATTTAACATAAGTATTCATCTTTTTAAATTATATCAAATATTTTATCTAATCTTAAATTAGTTTACAAATAACATTAAAATAAAATTTCATATAATTTATTTTCAATTAAAATATCTTAAAATTATTCTTCTGAAATTTAATTAGAAAATTCTTAAATGACTCTAAATTATTATTGTGATATTTTTCTTTCAAATTTAAATACAATTGATATGTCAGTAATGAGAAATTTAAACAAAGTATAAAATTCTATTTCTTGTATTTCACCCAATTTAGATAAGGCTTCAAGAATTAAATTTAACCATTCTGATTCATTTGTCCAAAATTTAGGAAATTAAATCTTATTTATTTGCCTTTCTTCATTAATACTAGTGTAAATAATTGTCAAAATATTAAATAAATGATGTTCATAACCCTGTAATCTTAAAAGTTATTCAATTATTGTTGATAAATCTTCTAATTTTGAATAAAATTAATATTCATATTATGAAAATACTAACCATTTATTTAAACACTCCTATATTAGTTACTTTAAACTATTTTCATTTTTACTAATATATTCACCAACACTTAAACAAATTCTAGATCTAATTAAATTTAAGATAATTTATTAATTTTTAACTACAGTTTTTGTGTATTATATCCAGAGATCTAATTTTTTTTAGTTTTCTTGCAATTATGTATTTACATCTGAATATTTTGAAAAAGGAGTTTCCATAAAATCCCATACAATTTAATTAATGACTTAACAAATTATTTATTCTGAAAATGCCTAAAATTCTAATTTCAAGAAAGCCGAACTAGTATTTGAATGAGTACAGAAATCTTTGAAACCTTCCTTTAACAAATTGAAAATGATTTCATTCATGCATCTTCCTTAAAAATGAGTAACTCTAATAAAAATGATAAATATTATTATTATACAATTGCTCAGGACGTTCATGATAATTTTCTTCAAGAATATATATTTTCCCATTCGAACACACTTTCAATTAAGATAATCCATTATTTAATGAAATACCTACACCTTATAGATTTCCATTAAAAAGTTAATGTTCTTTAAGGGATGATGATAATTTATTATGATAATAATTAGTATCCAAGATAGAGTATAAGACAACTAAATCCTAATCATTTTTAAAGAAAAATGATTTAAGTTTATTTCCTTATAATTTTACTTCATTCAAATCATCATATATTAATTTATCTATATTAGTAAAATCAGAACTTTAATCAAAAATTTCCATCTCTTTTGTTATCAATTTAATTTAACTAATTGTATCAATTTAGTCTTTATTTTCTATAATAGCAAGAAATATTAAATTAAGTCCTTTTGAAGTCTTTAATATATGAAAATTATTAATATTCACTTAACAATTTGAATTGGTTGATTCACAAACAAAATTTCTTTAAGATTAAGACTAATAAAAATGAAATAATTTAATACAATCAAATTATATGGGTTCAAACTACATTAATAAGATTTTATCTAATTCACTTATGTTTATTACAATATAAGTAGAGTGTCTTCAAAAACTGAAAATTTAAAATTAGCCCCTTTAATATAAAAGTCTAAATTGTTTTAATAAAATAGATTAGTGATAAAGTTTCCTTTTTTTAATAAAGGTTAGTAATTGAATCTATTTTCTTTATTATCTAATTTTAATGTTATTAAATCAAAATGATCTGTTAATATGTATAAATTTAAGTCTTGTTCAAGTATTTCTACATTTTAAAATTGTAATTTTTTTTTAAGTCTATAATCATCATTCATTTAAATTTTACAAGTATGTTATTATTCTATTATGTCATAACCAATAATGAAATCTTTCAATTAATGAGTAATAATTACTATTTCCAATTAAGATCATTTACTTTTAATCAAATTATTCATCCGCAAATTTGAAAAAGTAAATTTACACTTTGCCGCATTGAGTTTTACCAAATAATTAAGTGAGATCTATTTCATTAGCCTAAATTAATAATTAATAATTACATCTTACTATCCTTCTTTATAGAGTATTAAATCAGAATCTTTTTATATAGCAATCCAATCAAAATTACAAAATTAAACATGACTTTCTGGTTTAATTTAAAGTATTTCAATAGATCTTTTAAATGGAACATATTCATTCTAATATATGTATATATATGTACTTCATCAAATGATTTTGTTAAACTGAATTTCATATATTAATATTTAACACAATATTTACTTCATTAATAAATGTTATTATCAAAATAAAACTATGAAGATTTTTAATAATACAACATTCACAAAACAATGAAATAAGAAGAGTTCTAAATAAAGTAGATGAAACATGAAGTTATGAAGACTTCACTTGAAGAATAAAGATAATTACAAGAAGATATGAAAAGAAGAAATTTAGAATTAAAATAAAAAGAAGACAATGATGAAATTTAAAGAATATAAATGATAAATAAAGAATTATTAGATTAGTAGAAGTAAAAGAAACTATAAACATAAGAGTCTTTATCTAAAAAGTATTCAGAAATTATAGATTAAAGGAATTCTATTATGAATTAAAAAGTAAAGATCATAATTAATTTTATAGAGAAAAGAAGATTTAAATATTGAAAATTAACTTATTGATAGTGCTTAAAAAGCTTTATAAGAAGAAAGATAAATTTAATTGTAAAAAAGACTTTTATAAAAATAAATTTATGATGAATAAATGAAACTTATAGAAGAAAAGAAACAAAGAGAAAGAATTAATAAAAATTAAGAAAGATTATTATTTTAAGATTATGCAATTAAAGATTAATAAAGGATTATTTAATAGGAAGAAGATTATAAGAAAGTATTCTTTTCTCTTATTATTAGTATTATTAAAGATTGGCTGAAAGAAATGAGCATTTGTAGGATATTTATAGGAAAAATGTTGATGATCCAAAATCTTCATTAGACTATATTATAAATAGACAAATTAAAGAAAAGATGGAGAGAGATTAAGAAGAAATGAATACTAAAAGAATGAATGATAAGAATCTTAAAGATTAATACTTAAATACATTATCTTTATAATTAAAAGAAAAAGAATAAAGAAAAAAAAATCAAGATATTTTAATTTCTCAAAATCAATAAGAAATTCGAAAAGCAGCTGAAAGCTTTAATGATGAATAATAATTGGAGAGAAGAAAAAAAAGAGAATTTTAATCCTAATATTATGATTAATTAGCAAGTTTGGTAAAAAATATATTTTATTAAATCAATATAGGGAAATGGTTAAAATCAACATGATAAATTAATTGATAATAATAACTTATCATAATCATAGATTTATAATCCATTAACAAATCCAAATCCAAATCAAATATAGAATCCATATATTTTAAGATAACTCGGACTAAGTAAATCAAATCATATCTAATCACCTCATTTAAGTTAATCGAAACTAGCTTAATTAGGTTAAAGCAGTCTCTTCAAATGAGGTTTATGTTTAGGCGTTATTTAAAGTTCATTTATTAATTATATTAAAAAATTTATGCAATGCTCTTATAAATATTGTGGTTTAGCAAATAAAGCTTAATCCGATGGTGTGGTTTCATGTCCTCTATGTTATTAAACTCGATATTGTTCATAAAGATGTAAAGATCTCGATTGGTATAAAGTGTTGTTAATTTTAGGACTATTTCACATAAATTAAATTGTAAAGGAAAATAAGTGAGATTATCAAATGTAAATGATACTTAATCTACTGTTAAATCTATTGGCAAAAATATTGATGATTTCGAAATTATAGTTAAAGATGGTAAGTCTGAATTAGGACGAGGTAGTTATGGTTAAGTCAAACTAGTTAAAGATCGCTAAAATGGATAGTTATATGCAATGAAAATAGTAATTATAAGATATATTAATTTAGTTAAATAAAAAGAGAATATTTGAGTATTGGTCAACAGAAAACCTAAAGAGAGAGATTAAAATTTAAAGAAGATTAACTCATCCTCATATTGTTAGATTGTATCATTATTTTGAAGATAAAGAGAATGTCTATTTGATTCTAGAATTGGCAGAAAATGGAAGTTTATTTGTATATGTTAAAAGAAGAAAAAGGTTGCCAGAAAAAGAAGCATTTGTTTATTTCTTTTAAACTTGCTTAGGAATTGAATACCTACATAAGAAAAATATTTTACATAGAGATTTAAAACCAGAAAATCTATTATTGGATAAACAAGGAAATATAAAAGTTTGTGATTTTGGTTGGTCAGCTGAAGCTAATCAATAGACAAAAAGAACAACATTTTGTGGTACTTTAGATTATATGGCTCCAGAAATGTTATTAAATAAACCTTATGATTTTAAATTAGATATTTGGTGTTTAGGAATTTTATTATATGAATTAATTCATGGATAAGCTCCATTTAAAGGAAAAACTAATTAAGAAAAAGGTCAAAATATCATAAATTTATAAACCATAGAATTTAATCAAAGTTGTTCTTTTGAAGTTAAAGATCTTATTAGCAATATACTTAAAATTAATCCAGATGATAGATTATCTTTGCTTCAAATATTTGAACATCCCTTTATGAAAAGAAACTACGAAAGCTATGGAATTGATTTAAATCAATATCTAAATAAAGAAGAGAAAATTGAAAACAGATCTTTGTCTCCGGTTTAGGAATAATTAAAAGCCAGGTATTATTAAGATTTATTAATATTATAGAAACTTTACATTACCATAACACAATTCTTCTCATGAATTAAATAATCCTTCCCTGTAATCTACATTTTCAATTTAATAAAAATACTCTAATGTTCAAAATTACAAAAGTGTTAATTAACCAACAACTGGAACTAATACATCCATATCAACTGTATTCAAAAAATTTATTTTTAGTATTCTTAAGAAGATGAATTAAAAGCTAGAGTAAGTCGAGTTTCGTAAAGGCAATAGATAGCTTAATAATAAAGAGAAATAGGATCATATAGATAAGCCAATAGTGATCTTGGGTTAATGGATAGAGTTTTTTAAGCTTTAGGATGTTTGAATAGAGACAAGTAATAATAAAATTAATAATTTTGAATTATAAATATTACTTTAAGTGCAATTCTAATTAAAATTATTTTTTTCGTTTTAATATAATCACATAATTATATAATTATAAAATCTAAATATAAATCATTTAAAAAAGAGATTAAGAAAAGAATAATATTATTAAAAGGGAATTAAAAAAGAGTATATATTTTTAATATAATAATGGATTTTCACCAATTAATAAATGGATCATCAGTTGGTTTTACTGGTTTAGGTAATTCTGTACTATCAGGATATGTTGAATAATTTGAAGTATCACCCTTATTTCTTGTAAAATATAAGATAACATATATACTTTACAACTGGTTTATATTTTGGCTGCAATTTTTTTAATATTAAAAATTCCCAATCTAAACTTTAAAACCATCTATGAGTTTTTATGTCATTTGCTCCTCCTTTTAAATTTCCATATCTTTTTGTCAAATCTGCTACTAATAAATGTTTGACTAAGCTTTTTGCTTCCCTAAAGGATTGAATAAAAATATACTTGTCAAAGTTTCTTGGGAATTTGACTTTTCCTTTTAATATTTTTTAATATATTGCCATAGGATCTTCATCGTTAAATGGATCAATTCCAGCTAACATCTCATATATTAAAATGCCTAAACACCACCAATCAACTGGTTTCCCATGTCCTTTTTAAATATATATATATAAATGTATATACCTTTATTAAGTAGGATTTCAGGAGCTAAGTATTCTGGTGTTCCACACAAAGTATAAGTTCTAGAATCAATAAATTTAGCAAATCCAAAATCAGTTAATTTGAGATAACCATCTGCACCAATTAAAAGATTTTCAGGTTTAAGATCTCTATAAACAATATTTTTTGTATGGAGATATTCAAACATCAAAACAACTTAAGATGCGTAAAATCTAAATTAATTGAATATATACTAAGCTTCTTCATTTTCAAGTTTGCCCTTATTTCTAAGATAAGTAAATAACTCTCCTCCTTATACATATTCTAAAAGAAAATAGAGATATCTTTCATCTTGTGTAAATCCAAGCATTTTTATCTAATTTATAATGAAATCATACTAAAAATGGATGAGTAATATTAGAAAGAATAGTATTCTCTGATATTATGTGATCTACTTACTTAAGTCTTAAAATTTCAGCTTTTTTAAGCATTTTTAGAGCTACATATTCACCATTCTATTTATGTTTTGCTAATCTCACTCTTCCAAAGGACCCTGTTCCCAAAGTTTAAAGGATTTCATAATCAGTCAATTTTACTTTTGGTGCTTTAAAGGTGCCCTAGTCCATTATATAAATTAACTATAATTTTATTTAATATATATCTAAATAATGTGAATTATTTAGGTTCTGAATTTGAATATATAAAAATTAAAAATAAGTATATAGAAGTTTAATTCATTAATTTAGGTTATTGTAAAATAATCTTCAGAAATTAAACTTATTTTATATAGTTGCATTTGATATCTAAGATACATTATTTTGATTCTATTAATAAGTAACGCTTTAATTTCTGAAGCTTCTCTAAAAATTGAAATATGAATTAATACATCTTCTTATAAAGGTATTGGAGAAGTGTATTTAGTAAAGGTTTGACTTTTTAATGTTGAAAAACCAGGCATCTAAGCGGGTGCTTAAACTTTAGTTTCATTCAAACATTTATTTAAATACTATATCATTTAATTATTGGATTCAAGTAATTTCTAACTTTCTGCCAATTTATTTTTCAAATCTATATTATTATTTTCTTAATCTTTATATTTCAATTCTAAACTATCTTTTTCTCTTCTCACTATAATTAATATAGATTCAATAATTACATTCATTAATTAATTTATTGTTTTAATCATTTGCATCTTATAATTATTATACAGTTTATTCTTATTAAAGAACAACTGTATTTTTTAATTTATTCTTTTCCTTTTATTTGCTTAATTCATTTTCTAATTTTTCAATTATTTGATTTCCCTTATTAACTTCATCACTCATAACTGATATTCTCTATTCAAGTTTTTCAATTTATTTCTTTTAATTATTTACTTATTCTTCTAAAATAACCTAAATAATGAATATAATTATTACATTTTACTTTTTTTCATTGTCTACTAATTATTATTTATTTTTTAAGAAATCTTCCTTATCATGTAATGATTTTTCTAATCCTTCCTTTTATATTCTCAATTCTATAATTTATCTTTCTTAATTAAATTTAAGAGTATCTAGATCTTTATTTAATATTCTAAATTCTGAATTTTCTTTTGATAATTATTAAGATTCTTATTAAATTATTGCAAATCTATTTTTTAATTCTTTTTCTTATTGAATAAGTTAAACTTTTTATTCTGATAATTCTTAATTTATTTATTACAATGAAGTATATTTATTTTATAATTCAAAGACAATTTTTTCATATTTTTCAATTATAAATTACTTTTCTTTTTCACTTTCTCTTTTAAAATTAGTTTCCTTACTTAAAGCTTATTCTCTAAAATCATTGAATTTCTTTTATTCATCTAATTACATTTATTAAAGAACAGCATTATTATCTTCTGTAAATTTTCTAACTTCAGATTTCAAATTCTCTAATTCCCATTATTTCTCTTCTAATTATTCTGTTAATTTTTTGGTTTTTTTATGCAATTATTCATTTTCCTATTTTTCTATTGCTAATTTATTAGCTAAGAAATATTTAAGTATATCATCTGTTGCACTTCTTAATCTCAATGATAAATGAGTTAATTTCTTAAATTCATTATTTTCTATTACTGCAAGTGTTGATTCTCCATTTTTTGTTTCTAAACAAACATAGAAACTAAAATATTTTTATTTAATAATATACTTCACTTTTTCATCTCTTTAACTATTTATGCATAATTATAATAAGTCTGCTAATTTCATTGGAAATGTAGAAAAGTCTACATGCAAACTTTATTCATTTTTCAATGCCAAAAATTCACCTTCATTTAAATCTAATATTTGTAAAAATGAAAAGTTTGTATCATCTGTCAATTCAATTCTTAATGTTTATCCATGAGCTTATTAACTTGATTACATAATCATTTTCAAAGTTAATTATGTATTCCAATCATCAGTTAATTATTTAACTTTAACTGGTATTTATAATGTGAATAGCTCTTTTGATATCATTGTAACTTGAGTATTAACAAAACTAGCATTGACTGATTAAGGTTTATTGCTCATTTGTTCATATTTTTATTTTTAAGAAGACTGAAAATCATTCATATTAGTAGTAGATTTAGCAGGAGTCTATTGTACTCCAAATTCAATTCTCTTGAAATTTCCTCTATAGTCTTACATTTTATTTTTTATTTTAAATTTTAACTGTAAATTAATAGGAAAATTTTCATATAAATCAAAAACCGAATGCATTAATAGGTGATTTAGGAAAGTAATGTGATCTACTTTTATGCTCAGTTTTTATTAATTTTGAGAGTAATTCATTTTATTTTTAATATGGTCTAGCATAAGTAGTACTTCTATAACTTAATGTAGGACTTCTTTATGTACTGAGTAATTCTGTCATGCAGGTTTTTAATTTCATAGTTTCTCCTCTAGGTTTAATTGAATTTTAGAATGGAATTGTACTTAATTATATTTTTCTAGATTTAGAATCATTCATAAAATGAAACAATTTTAATTTTTATCCTTAGATATATTTTTCCTTAATTTAAGTTGTTGAATTCTTCTTTTTAAATAAAATAATCTTAGATTCTCTTGGTGTTTTACAAGAAGGAGGTCTTTCCATATTATCATATTCTTGAAATTACTTTTATAAACTTTACCAACTAAGGACATTTATTTCGAGAGTTTACGAGCAAGACTTGGACGCTTAGTACTCTTTCTTTGATTTTTTTTTAATAATTCAGCAAAGCTTGAGAGTGCAAATTCTTTTCCATTAATTTTCTTATGCATTTCAATTGTGGTTGGAAAATTTGTCATTTATTTTTGTTAATTTTATCCAAATAAAGATCCATAACAAGATTTTCTTCGATTAATGATTTCTCTATTTTTTGATCTTATCTTTTCAACTGCATTTTTGAATGGAAGTAAAATCGAAATTTTTTTTGCAGGCAATGTTCTTTCTGTCAAAGTTATAATATATGTATCTGTTAATAACTCTCTTAAAGAAGGAGGAGTAGATTTTGATCTGTTTTTATTTTTCCCATATTAATTTGTGTATATACTTATATTGTAATTTTATTTTTTCTCCTTTTGCATTAGATGTTCATTACATATTAAAGCAGTAATTGGTATTCTTTTCCCATTAAATTCAAAAGGAGGATAATCAACTGAATTCTTAATATGAACATTAATTACCTATTGAACTTATTTTTTTCATTAACTTATAAATTTATATATTATACAAATCTAACTAACAATTTTATTTATTTAAATTCTTAAAAACAGAGAATATAAAGAATTATATGGTTTTCATAGATATTATTTTGTGCCCTATTTATTTATTATTTATCTGAATAACATTTTTATTATTACTATTAAAAATATATTCCATTATCATTATTCTCATATATCTATGTATAAATCAATACAAATATTAAAAATTTTAGCTTAAATTCTTAATCTAGATGTTAAAAACTAAATTTCAATTGATATTTCCATAAATATATGATTGAATAATACTAATTCATTAGAATAAAAAAATGTTCATTTGCATCATCTATTTTTCTAAGAACTAATTATATAGGTAAGGTTAATTATAATTCATATATCAATATGATTTGAACACATACAATTTAGCTTAAAATAAGACATAATTTATGTATTAAACATAATAGTTATTTTTATATTAACGAATATACATAACCTTAAACCTGTTTCCTTTTTCAAATTTAGGATCCTGATGATATGAATAGCTTTATGTTTATTTATATTTTTAAATTAAATTGTTGAGTTTTACAATGTTGAATTAAGATAATGAAAACAAATTGTCAGATTGAATAAAATTATGAAGTTAAATGTAGATTAGATGATTACATTATATTTATTTTCTGATATAAATCTCAATTAAAATTTACATTAGAAATTAATTATATCTTAATGAGACATGTATTATGTAATATTAAGTATAAAGATAGATTAATATCTCAACAATCGTAATTCAGAAAAACGAGTTTATAAAAACTTAATTAGAATAACAGAAGAATTAGAAATTATACTGAATGATAAGTGATAGAATATATACTTCATTTATCATCATTGAGGTTCTAGTAAACACTATTTTTAGTAAAATCAATCATCATATTCAAAACTGTTTTTTCTATAGTCATTAGTTTCATTTTCTTATAAAAAAAAATCATTTGTATCAATCAAATGAGTAGTGGTTTCTTATTATTTTTTGCTCTCTTTAACAATCCTTCGAATAACACCTATTTTGCAATTCTTAAAATTTTAAAGATCAACTAACTATATTATAAAGTCTTACCTAAAGTTTCTGCCTTTTTCAATTGATAATAGTAATCCTCCAAAGTTTTTCTAGGGACTCCTACTATCTCAGCAGCCTTATCTAAAGTAAGTTTTAATTATCTTCCATTTTCAATATAAGTTTATTAGTATAAGCTTCTACCATATATATAAATCAAATACCTCCATTATTCAACCAAATACATAGCTTCATGTACATATCTTTCCTTTATTCGTTTTACTTTATTTTAGAATTGGATTTCATTATCCATTTATTATTCAAATGTATAGATAACAAAGAAGCATAAATATAAAGTATTTTACCAATAAATTCTGTTCAATAAATTAATTTGTCTATTTGAGAATGATAAATGAATTAAATAAATTAAAATGCAAATATTGGTGCAATATTTTATTGATTAAAATTTTAAATAAATTGACTAAAAATAAGATATCATCATTTTTTGAGAACACTTAATTTTCTATTAGAATTATCTTTTTCTATAGGTTTAGGTTAAAGCATTGTTAATAGTACTTTTGTATGTTACTCAATATTAGGATCTTCTAATTTAGCAAATTTTTTAAGTAATCTAGAAATGATATAAAATATAAATTGATTACTTAACACTTTTAAATTTTGCTTAATCTTATTTTTATCTTGATTCATGTTATGAAACACTCTAAAGATAAATAAATTGTTTATACTTTATAGTTCAATAAATTATCACTTAAATCTTAAAGTTATGAATATATTCTTTATCTTTCTTATATTTCTTATTTGTTTATTTCCATAGATGTTTTTTAAATAACTTCCTATATTTAATTTAAATCAATACATTTTAATATTATTTGAGTTAATTTTTTTCTTCAATAAATTTAGATTTCATATATAGAGTCATCATTTTATAATCATTTTATCTTTTTTATCTTTCATAATTATCTAATTTATCCTATTCTTTCAATCTTCTTAATTCCTATTTTAAAAGTATTTTATGTTCTTATTCTTATTTTCTTAATTTATTTTATTCTTCTATTTTGATAAATTTATCATTTAATTATTTTAATTTATTACTAAAGAATATAAAATTTAATTTACTCATGATCTTTATATAAATCATTTTAATTCTATTTAATTTTCTTCTATTTTTCTTTTAATAATTATTTTTTTTCTAATTCTGACATTAATTAAGATTAAAGTTACCCTCTAAATTCTTATTCTTTATTAATCATTTTACTAATCATAGCACTTAAATGTTCTTGAGATTAAACAACATTAATTTCCTTTTATTATTAAATTAATTATTATTCTCGATAATATTATTCCTTTATTCTTTCTACTTTAATTTATGCTTATTGTTTAGATAATTTTTCACTTTAATTTAATTTCAATTATAATTTCTCAAAGTCTTATTATAATTCCATATCTTCTAATTTATTTAGTACTTCTTTTCTTTAAATAACCATCTCTCTTCTTTATTTTATCTTTGAATCATCAATTCTAGTTCTGTACATAGTTTTTTATAATGAAGTATCTCCTCTTAATTTAAATTTTTTATTTTTTACTTATCAATTTTAGTATCACTATCTCTTTTAAATGATTTTGGATCTGTAAATTATGGAATTTTTTATAAAGGTGTTTTCCTTCCATTACTTGAAGCTTTTATCTTTTATTTAAATGCATATTGTCTTTACAATATTTAATCTAACATTTATGAATCCTTTTATTTCCATTTCTCTATTAATTATAATCTTTTTGCATCTTCTTATAATTTAAGTTATGCTTCTCTCTATTTATTAATATGATTTAATATATTTACCATTTTTTATTTTTTATGTTTATTATATCTATCAATCTCCTTTTCTATTCCACCTTCCAATTAATTAAGATCATAAACATCACCTGCAAATTGATCTTTAGTAGGAGATTCACTCTTTTAATGTAAGAAGGATACCGTTCTATTATAGATTGAATCAATTTATCTTCGAACTCTAAATTATATAAAGATAATTACTCTGATTAATCTAATGATTATTACAACTTAATTGTTTTAGATCTATCTAGGGATTCTATTGATGCATTATTATTTTATAGTTTTTATCTTTATCTCTAAATTATCTCTTTCCTTCTTTAAGTTATTTCAGTAAACAGTTCTATTTTATCATATTATTTATCATATACAATGAGCTTTGTTTAAATAATGTTAGTATCTAAGTTAAATTATTTCCTCATCTAAATCATTTTATTTGAAATCTGATTCTTCTCTTGTATACATAATTTTATTTACTTTAATTCTAAAACTATTGGATCAATGCCCAATTCTTAACATGCTTAAAATGTTCTTGGAGAATTAGACTTTATATTGAATTTTTAGAATCCTTATATATTTAAATGTCTTGGAAGACAACTTGCATTACTTATAGTATTCTCTCGACTTAATTTTGGCATCATTAAATAAGAAATAATAAAAATTTAATTTTTTTATAATTTTTATAAATATTTTTGGTTCCATACTAAGTTTGTAATAGTAAATAGAAATATTAAATCATAATTAATTTAATTTTTAGATTAAAGAATATATTTATTGTATTTTTTATAATAAAAAATATATTATGATCTCTTTAATAGATATATAATCATTAAATATTGAATTAAATTTTGTAATTGTTATGATTTGTATAATTAAAGTTTTGGAATGTATTTGAGTTTTTTTATAAAAATAAAATTTAATTAAATGTCACTAAGTTAACTGTCAGGAAAGCAGGGAATAAATTATGCAAGTAAGATGTTTTTTTAATAAGTTCAAGAGAACTCAGACATAAAAAGTCTCCAAATGATTAATAGTCATTTGGGTTATTTGAGGATATGAACAGAAACAATTTATAATATATTGAATCATTAATCTAGAAACGAAAACCTAGTGTAGATCTAAAACATCAAAGAGCTAAATCAACACTTGATAATAAATAACATTCATATAGGCATGGTACACCTATAAATGATATGGAGGAATTGGAAGGAGAAAAACTATTTGATTAATTTTTTAAATTAAACAATTCTAAAAGTGACAGTGATTTTATGAAGGAATCTATATAAAGAGATAGTGTAAATAAGAATAATGAGAATGATTTTCTTAAATTTGTTGAGAATGCTATTGAATATCATAAACATTCAGATGTTAGATTTTTCAGACTTTCAGTTAATAAATAATCTCATTTAGAATAAAAATTAAAAGAAACAACATTATCTAACAGACTCTTAGCTAATTAATTAAATTAATATAAATAGAAAGAAATTGATCTCAAAAGTAAGATTAAAATGATGTAAAAGGAATTTTCAATTTAATATTAAAAATTAGTCTAATAAAATTCTTGGCTTGAAGAATTATTAGCTAAATAGAAAATAGATAATCAAAATTCATTATTAGCTGTTAAAAAGACAGTTGAAATGTTATAAATAAAATGTAAATGTCAAAAAGGAAATCAATTATGTGATAAAATATTAAGAGATGTTAAGAATTAAGAAAGAGTAAGATAATAATATGAATGGGAAAATGAATCTAAACCAACACATTCATCTTCTGAATTAAGTAATAATACTTAAGAAGAAGAATTAGAGGATTCCACTGATTTCAATTATTAATTATATGATAAGAATAGAAGGAAATCTATCTCAAAAGTATGTCATAATTCAATATAATCATCAGAAGAATAATAGGAATAATTAGTTTAAAGCTTTATTAATGGAAAAAGTAAAAATCTAAGAGAGTTTCCTAAGGATATGTTTCTTAGAAAAAAATAAACACCAGATCCTTATTATATTGAAGAAGAGAATACCATTAATAGTAACTGAAATAAATATGATATTAAAATTATTATAAATGTTATTCTTTTTTATTTTTGAGATGATTACAGCATTGAAATATGAAGATTCAATATTGTTTCATTGGAAAGGTAATTTAACATCTGATTCCATAACAATGAAAGTTTTTACAAGACAGGAATCATTTGTTAAATTTAGGATTATTTCTTGGGATCTCAATAATATTTAAAACTTTTCATAGTATGTAAATGAATTATGAACAGACTTAATGTTAATTAAAGCAATGATTCACCAATTACACTTTAATTTCAGAATCTTTAACCTAATACATAATATTTCTATATATTTGAATTTTATGATATTGAGAACATTACATCAGAATATCTAATGACAGTATACAATAAAGAAAAAGATTACTAATTTACAACAGAGTTTGATTAACCAATGTTTTCCTTCAAAACTTTTGGATTGATAGGATAACCATATACTTTTAATTTTAGTGCATCAGGTTGTGCAAGATCTGCTTCAATCAGTAAAATATTTCTTGATATATATTAAAATACTTATCCATAATTCTTTTTTATGTTAGGTGATTTACATTATAGAGATATAAATACTGATTCTATTGATGAATTTGATTAAGCTTATAGACAAGTTTTTGGTTCCTCTACTTAGAGATATTTGTATAACAGTTAAATAATTATGTAGATATTAATAAGTACCTATAGAATATCAATTTGATGATCATGATTTTGGTAAAAATGATGCTGATGGAACAAGTCCTACTAGAAATGTAGCTAATTTATTATATTGGAAATATGTTCCTCATGGTAATTTACATAATTATTTACCTCTATATAAAGATGAAGAATTGACAAAATATCCATAAGAAGTTAAGCATATAGATTTAATAAATGAAGAAAATATTGGATCTTATAGATATTAAATTATTGGAAGAACCATATTAATTACTGTTGATTTAAGAACATTTTAAAATTTAGAAGTTTTAGGAGATTAATTTGGTAATTTCTCAAATGAAAGATCAATATTAGGAAAATAATAAAGATAATGGTTATTAGCAATTTTAGATAGAGTTATAATAACAGATTGGATTTAAGCAGTAATTTTCATATCTTCTGTTAATTTTCATGGAGAAATTTGGGATGTATTTCCTAATGAATAATTATTAATAGCTGATAAATTATAATATATTTAAGAGGTTTTAGAAAAATAAGTTTTAATTGTTAGTAGTGATTCACATATGACTGCAATGAAAAATGGATAAAATTCTTTTATTCAAAGTTTAGGTCTAAAATACAAATATGGATTATAAGAAACAATGTGTGGATCATTAGATAAATCAGGTTCATGTAAAACTTAACCATTAACATTTGGACCATGGTTAGGTAAGAATCATTACACTAATATTGAAATTTAAGATACACATTTAAGAACTTGCATTATTGTTAGAGCATTTGAAAAAACAAGTTAACTCTTCTTTTATAATACATGTGATGATAGATTAAAAGGTCTTGAAGGTAAAGTTAAATGTCCATTTGATGTTTTAATGAGAGTTGTTTATGTAATTGCATCCTTATTAGTTTCTTTTGGCTTTTTAATAATTATTTATATAATTGTCAAAAAATGTCATAAGAATAGCATGAAATATAGCTTAGTGATGAGAGAAAAATGACTTAGATAATAAAATTTTAATTCATTTTGTAGATTTTTCAATTATAAAAATTATATATATATATTATTCTTGAATTTATTAATGGATTAAGTGTTTATTACTCCTAGTCAAAGAAGTCCTAGAGCATCATTTGGACCTTTTGATGTTATAAAATAAATTTATCAGAAAGATAAAATGCCATCATTCATACAATCAGAGGAAAGCTTAATAAATTGTTTAAATGAAGGATAATAAAGATAGACTAGTCCTTAAAGACATACTTCTAGAACGAGGTTATAATAAACTTATATATCACGTTCTTCTATTTTGAAATTACACTTGAAACCTAAATTTATGAAATTCATACAATAAAAATAATTCATTACAAGATTTTTTTAGAATCTTTATTAAAGGGCTTATGTTAAATAAAGTAATAATAATTATCTGTAGGAAAATTATTTATCTATAAATCTAAAAAATAAAAACGATTGTATATATAGTTACATAAATTTATAGAGGAATCATTGTAAAAAGAAAATAGTTATGTTATATAACCGGGATCTTTCTTTTTAATTTTTTGGGATCTTGTTGGAATTAGTGTTATAGCTTTAAGTTTATGGTTATGTCCCTTTTTAGCATGTTTCTTATAGTAACATAAAGAGAGATAAGATGATTAAGAGATTTTCAAATATTTGATAGCTATAATTGCATTATATGCAGTAATGGATTTTACAATAAGTTTAAATAGAGGTTTTATTTAAAAAGGAGAAGTACTATTTTAATCTTTATATAGGTAATATATGATAGAGTGTAAATTATAAAAAACTATTTCTAATATACTTTCTTTACTGAGATTTTAAATTTGATTATGTGGTCTTTATTTTACTTTGATTATTAAGTTAATGAGTTTATAACAATAATTTAAATGCTCATAATTTTTAAATAAATTAGAAAAAAGATTACTATTTAATATGAATAATTTTATTTAAGAGGAGGATTAAGTTAAATCTTAGATTTAATTAATGTAATATTAAGTGTATATTTTGTTGCTCATACAATGGCATGTTTTTGGTATTATATGGGAGAACTGACTAGTCATAAATTTGGTTATTCTTGGTTAATTAAGGAACAATTATTATATGAAACACTTTGGTTAAGATATGCTTATTCTTTGTATTGGGCAACAATGACAATGGCTACAGTTGGATATGGAGATATCACAGCATAAAATCATTATGAAGTTGTATCTTCAATTGTAATGATGTTTATTAGTAGTTGTACATTTGCATATTCAATGAATTCAATTGGATATATATTGAAATTAATTTATGATTAAAAATAAAGATATAAGTAAATATATTGATATTAAATAATAGAAAATCTCTTATTTTAATAAATTAACATATGAGAAATAATAATATTGAGCCAGAATTATAAAGTAGAATAAGAAATTATTTGCAATTTCATTTTTAAGAAGATGTTTTTGGAAGTTAAGAAGATGTATGCAAAATTATTTAGATAAAAGATAGATAAAATATATGCTTATCTCCCTTCAAGTCTTAAAACTGAACTTACTGTTGATATCAAAATGACAATAATGAAAAAAATTAAATTACTACAATTTTTTTCATTGTAAACTTAACAATTCATAAGTTAAGAAAGTGAATTATAGACTTATCTTCCAGGTGACTTTATAAATGATTTTGATTCTTCACTGTATAAAATTTGATAAATTTAAGCTACTTTTTTCATACAGGATCTGCTACAGTGATGGAGAAATAAAGTAATTAATAAATAGAAATACTTAATGAAGGTGATACTTTTGGAGAATATAGTTTTTTTACAGGTTTTAATGTAAGTTTAAAAGTTAAAGCTAATACACTATGTAAAGTTTATAAAATTGAAAGATCAAAATTTTAAGAAGTACTTAAATATAATTAAAGAGATTTTGAAAGATTTCATTAAATTAAAGATGAAATTATATTTACTTAAAATCTCTAATAAATAAATTTAAAATGTAGATTTTGTCATCGATATCATCATATTAGTTTAAATTGTCCTAACAATTTCTATTAACCAGATATTGAAAAATTAATAAAATAAGATTATTTCAAATAATAATAAAGAAGAGAAAGAAATATTAAAAGATAATCTCGAAGATAATTTAATACTTTATTAGCTTAAGAAGAAATTGAAAATTGTGCTAAATTATTTGATGAAAATGAATCATTTAAAATACTTAGTTAAGATGATTAAAGAAATTCGTATACTTTATATGAATCTAAATTAGATCATAAAAGTTATAAAATATCTTCATAAAAAAATATTTTAGATAAACCATCTAATTCATGCTAGAATATTGATGAATGTAATAATATAGATAAGTAGCAAATGATGTTAGATGAGTTTAAAAGTAGAAACTTAAATGTTACTGCAGAAATTGATTAATATTATTGTTTTACTGTGTATAAGTAAAATAATAATATAGATAATATGGTTAAAGAGTATGAAAAACAATTTAAGAAATATCCAAAATCTTTTCAATAAAAAATGGACCAAGCAAGTAGATATACATTTTCTTATTGGGCAAAACTTAATTCAGCTAAATTAAGATAACTTTTAGAGAAACCTCAATGATAATTTAATGTTATATCTTATTAAATATTATTATACTTCTTAATTTATTTTAAAATAAATTAACCTAGAAGATATATCTATTATTTAATAGAATAAAATATTTATTTTAGAATATCTTTTTAACTAAAATTATGAATAGACATATATATTATTATATATTTACAAAAAAAGTAAGGGTTCTTTGATAGTATTTTAAATTTAGATGAAGATGTCTATTCTACTAACATTTATTATTTGATTTCAGAAGTTTTAAGGGAAATTTCTCATGATATTAACCCCTTTTAACTTTATAGCTTCTTTAATTTGATGCCAATTTTATCTTTCTTAATTTAATGTTTATTTACAATCAGGACACTTATCATGAAAACTTGTAGTTTAATCACAATTATTACAATATTCTGATAAACAAACATGTATTTTAAATTTTTCAGGTATTCTTTAATCATTTTTAATTTTAAATGGATCAATCTAATCTTTAGTAAAAGTTATTGTATTAAAAGAAGTATTAAATGATATTCTCATTATCAATTTTGTTTTAACAAGATTAGAATTATAAAATTCAATTAAAATATCTCCATGAATAACAATTGGATTTGGTGACATTATAAAACAATTTGTTTAATTTTCTTAAATTATTTTAAGTATTTAAGTGTCTTTTATAAGCTATTAATTTTGATATATTTTAGCAGATATTTTACTCCCATCATCAATATTAAGTTTTGGAACTCCTTCAATAATAATTGAACTTAAATATTTAAGACTTGGATAAATAGATTCTCCCTACAATAATTGATTAAAATATTCAATATAACGAATTTGACATGGTTAATTAACTCCCAAGCCTTCATCATTGAATCTCGATTTTTCATAATATTATAGAACATCATTTACTGAGTTAAACATTCCACAATATAAAAGGTAACAGCAAATTAAAGTACCTGTTCTGCCCTTTCCTGCCAAACAATGTACAACAACAACATTTTCTTATTTCTAATTAAAGAACTCTTGCATGGATTTACACATATTAAAAAGTAAATGTAATTGAGGAGCATGATGATTGTTCCACTGATAATTTTTTACCTGATTTTTAAATTTAGAATAATCATATGTCCGTGACGATAGATTCATAATTAAGTAATTATTACCATGTCTATTCTCTAAAAATTGTACAACCTAAAAATTCTACATAAATATTACCTTATCAATAGGATTTCTGTAACAGCTTTCAAATCCATCTGCTGGGAAAGCCATTGCAATTATCCTATCACAAACATATGTCAAATCTAAGTTATAGCCTTCTGAGATGAATCTCTTTTTTTTTCCTGAAACTATTGTTCTAATATAATCCATATATTATGTATATTTTAAATATTATTCATTTAAAATGATCTTAAACTCACTTATTAATACCCAAAACATTTTTTTTCAAAACCCCCAAATTAGAATTAAATTAACCAAAAACGTCACTAAATAATAAAATTAATAAAATATTATGACATATATCTTAATATTCTTTTCATAAGAAAGAATCACTTGAATCATTAAAAAATCAGATGGTTAATAATCATTAGAAGATTCTTTCTATATAACTATCTAATATAGCTTTCTCTATATTAGATGAATAATCAGGTTTGTGTGATATATTTTCCTTTTTTTCATTTTTTACTTAAAATTGAATCCTCTATTCTACTTAACTATATAGATCATTTTGATATCTCCTAAATTCCTCTTATCTCTATTTTCTTAATGTTTTTTTGCATCCTATCCTTTGTAAATGTTTTTAAAAAGTTTGTTTTATAACTCTTCAGACATATTTAATTATTTTCAGTAATATATGCTTTTAAATTTCTAACTTTTAAGAAATAAAAGTTCATGAATATATTATTCTTACACTTAGATAAGATCAAACTTTAAGTTGAAGGAAAATCATCTAGAAAATTTTATTTTTTTAAAAAGGTTATTATTCTCTATCATCTAGAATTATAGTATAAAATTTTTAATTATTTTCATATATATTAACTTTATTTCTTTAATAATAATAATTCTTTGTATTATATTATTGAGCATCGGGAATATATTGAAATATTCATATTACTTTTTTTATGGATTAACTTCATCTTATTTCATTCTTTCTAATATAAAATATTCTTTTATTTAATTCTTAAGCATTTCCTGAATTATTTCTTTAATAAAATCTGTCTACCTTAATAATTTTACTTAAATTCATTTAATAAATATAATAACTATTCAAAATCTTGACTTTCCACTCCTTACACTATAATTTCCACTTCTACTTCCTGATTCTTATGGTGTTTCAATACTATTCATAGATCTCATTCCAGAAGAGGGTTCATCACTTTATTCCTAAGGTATTTATACAAGTTCCTTCCTTTTTATTTCTTTCCACATTTCAGGTTCATTAATGGCAATTTCAAATAGTTTTTGCTAAATATTTAATAATGAAATTACCATCATTGTTTTAGTTGATACATAATTATTTATTTATTACTCATTATTTTTGATTTATTGTTATCTGACTAATTATTAAGCTTAAATTCTTTAATTTTCAGATTATAATAATCTCTATCTCCATAATTAAATATTTTAATCATCCATATTTAATTTTTCACCTCTTTTCTTTTTAGCTTCAATTTCTTTAATAAAATCGAAAAATTCTTTCATTTCCTCTATGTTATCTTCTTCTTTGTCTTCAAATTGAAAATCTAATCTAAGTTTTTACTAATTTAATTATTTCTGCATGACTCTTCTTACTTCTTCTCTTTCTTATATCCATTTATAATATTATTCTTTTGTTAATTCTACCAAATCATTAAAAGTCTTTGTTTTTTCCATATTCTAAAATAGAAATGAATCAAAACCTAAAGATTTTAAATGATATTTTCAGATAAATGAATATTATCTATATATTTTAAACCTGGTTTCGCTTTTAATAATCTAATCTCATAACCATTAATTTAAGAAACTGGATTTCCTTTGAAATCAATTTTGTCAAGACTTGGCAAAGTTTGAATAACTGCACATAATTCATCAATATATTCTCCAGGAACTTAATTATATCCCATTTTTAAATCCTGTAAGTATTAACAAGTACCCATTAATCTTGTAATTGAAATTAAATTATTTTTTTGAACATCTAATATTCTAAGACGTGGAGATTAATTTAATTTAGGTAGATATATGAGTTAATTTCCAGATAAATTAAGTTATTCTAATGATGGAAGATTTTAATCAGCAATATATGTTATTTTATTAAAGGATAGATTTAATACTTTTAATCTTGGTAATTGTAATTGAGGAACTTCTTTGATAAAATTAGTATTTAAATTAAGTTATTCTAAATTGGGAAGTTCTAAATTTTCTATTATTTGGATTTAATTTAATTAAAGCTCTAATAACTTAAGAAGAATCCTAGACTTGTATAATTTAATTACATATGTCTAAAAACTTCTTCTATTTAACCAAGACTATTCTATTCAAGAATCATTTCTTATATTTTATCTACTCTACAATATTGGTCAATGTTTTTAATGCTTACGAGATTTCTTGTATTTAAATCTATAATATAATAATCTCCTTTCAAGATATAATTTCTCTCAAAAACTGCTTTAGTAAGTTTACTCATAAAAATTTTATATAATAAATATATAAATTATAATATATATATTAGAGTTTCATTCTTAAGAATGCTCATAATATGCAATTCCATACATTATGGCTACAGCTGCACAAAAAGCAATGAATTAGAGAAAGGATATTTTAATATTTTCTTCTTTTAATACTTCTGGTAACATATCAACACAACTGATATAAATGAAATTACCAGCAACAAACGCTAATACAAGTGTATCATTTTCCATAGAAGATACTCCTAATCCAATTATAGCACCTATTAAGGCACTACAATTAATTAATCCATTTGAAAATAATGCTTATGAATTTGTAAACTTATTTTCTAACAAAATACTTGTATCACCTATTTCTTATGCTGTTTCATGAATTATTATTGCTATTAATGTAGCTATTGTACTGTCAAAGTTATCATCATTGGCAGTTGCAAAGATAACTCCTAATGCTAAACCATCCATAATATTGTGAAGAAAATCTGAAACTAAGTTTAGATAACCTAAAGTTGGTTTATATTTCCAACTCTCAAAAGAGAATAATTATTATGAAATTGGAAGCTATTATATTTTATCAAAATGTAATTCTTAAATCCTTACTACTTTATCAATAATATCAGGAGAATCACTAGAATTTTTATTTTCCATATTAGTTTCTTATTGAGCAATATCCAAATTTTAACCTTCTGGCTAAACCTTTTAATTCATAACATAAGATTATAACACTATCATAGATTTTTCTATTAAAAAAAAGCTCAGAACTCCCAATAGTAATAGTAAAGATGTCAAAAATTCTTTAGAAATATCTTCTTCTTCCTCTTCAACAATTTCTTCTTCATCTAATAATCTTCCATCCTCTAATTCATGATCATGATCTTCTTCTTCATGATGTTCATGATTTGAAAATGAATGAGGTATTAAATGTATAAAAGCATCACCTAAAATTACAAAATTATTTACCTAATAATGCTCCTATTGCAAATCCAATTAAAACTTTCATTATTTACTTTGCTGTTTCTCCTTTACTAAACTTTTTCAATATAATGATCATAATCGAAACTACAAATCCAATCATACTAACACCAAAAGATGCTAATATTCCATATCCCCATCTTTCTGAGCTTGTTGGTGCACCAAATACAGTTTATATCAAACATAACAAAATTATGAAGCAGTGGTGATTCATGAGCACAAATTAAATATTATTAAAATTTAAAAATTTCTTTAATTACTATATATATATTCAATTATATTACAAATAAATATATATAAAAACATAATATTTGTTGCGTATTTAATGATGTACTAAAAAAATAAAAATGAATTCATTTAATCATTGTTATATAAAAGAAGGATATCTCTAATTATTAGATAAATAAATAGATATTAAATTAAATATTATTTTTATTAATAAATTTACATGACTGATTTAGAAGAAAACCTCTTTTAAAAATCTGAAGTTATTAAAACCTAATTTTAAGCTCTTTAGGAGGTATTAAGATCTAGTAATAATCAAGAAAGTATAGAACTTTGTTGAAGAAATAAAAACATTAAATGACTAGTAATAATCTTTATAGATTGCTACTTTGTATTATTGTTTATTTACTTAGATAATATAATGATATACAAATTTCAAAGAAACAATTCAAAATAAAGGCCGAAAAAACAAAAGAATTAATAGCCTAAATGGAAAAAATAGCAAGAGGAAATGAATAAAAAAATGTTGCCAATAAAATTAAATAATAATATTTGAAAGAAGTTGATAGATAAAAAAGAATTATGAAGAGCTTTGTTAATTCTTCATTTGAACAAAAATTCTCAAAAATTTCAGTGATTAGATAATCAAAGGCTCAAGGTTAAGAAACTCAATAAGAATAATTGAAATATTTTGTTGATTAAAATTATGTGAAATTAGTTTCTAAAGATTAGAGAGTATCTAACAATGAAAGAAGCAATTTATCTTAAGTACATGCTGAAGAAATCAATAGAATAAAAACAGTTTCAATCGATGAAGATTATATTGAAAATGATATTATTGACTTAGAAAATATGTTAATTGATGAAAGATAAAGAGAATTAGATTTAATAGAAAAAGAAGCATTTTAATTAAATTAAATTGTAAATTAAATGGATGAAATGACAGATTAATAAGGTTAAGAATTAGATATTGGATAATAAAATTTAAATTAAGTTAAAACTAATATTATTGGAGTATCTAATGAATTAGTTGAAGCTGATTAAAGTTAAAAATAATCAATGAAAAAGTATAAATATGTAATAGGTGGTCTTATTGTTGTAATTATAGTATTGATTATTGTATTTATTGTAAAATGAATAATAGAATTAAATAATAAAAATATATCATGTTTCTGCTGCAAAAACACCAATTAAAATAAATAATACAAGTCCTACTAAAATTAATAAGATATTTTAAGTTTTATTTTCTGAAGGATACTCTTATTATTCTCCTTAAAGTCCTTAATTATTTATATTAAGATCTTTTGAATTACAGTAATTCCATTATTTTAATTTATTTCTTATTTCTTAAAGTTATTGATATTAAATATTCTTAAATTCTTATTATAATTATAAAGAATTTACACCCAATCTTTTGATAGTTTCATAAAAATACTAATATTTTAATCATTAATATTACTGGTTTTGGTTTATTGAAATTTATTCTACTAATTTATTCTAATTGCATTTTAGCTTCTTGAATTTGATTCAATTCTTATAAAAATTCATTTGCCTCTTTTATTTTTCCTTATTTTTATAAGTCTTTCAACATTTCCATTCCCTTATTCTCTGTAAATTATTTTACTTCATTAATTTCTTAAGGGACTTCCTTAGAATAATCAATTTCATAATTTAAATTAGCATTTTCGATTAAATTTATAGGATTAAATTACCTATTATTCATTATTTCTATAGCTTATTTATATGTGCTATGAATTAAATCATCATCCTAAATTTATGAAGCTTTCTTAAGATCTTCAATAGAGGCAATAAGATTATCATAACTCAAAGGAGAGAGTGATAATAAAGCCTTATAATTATAATTAATATAATTACTTTTCCTCTTCTAAATAAAGCTTTAGCAGAATTTGGATCATAGTGTAATATATAATTTGTGATTTCTATAGTTTATTAATACAATTTAAGTTTGAGATGAGTGGCTGACATATTATTCAAAATGGCTATTTTAAGTTCTATATTACTAATATTGTGTTACAATTAAGTTCAATCGAATCTTCTAGACTTTTCCCATTATATTGAATCAAATATAGAGTATTATTTTTGAATTCTCTGAACTCAAAAAATTAATAAAGCTCTTCATAAATTTGGCAAGCAGTCTAAAAATCATCTTTTTGATTATATATTTGAATTTACTCATTTTATAAAATTGATTTCCTCTTTCCTTAATTAATTTACACACAGTTATCTATATTTGAAAGGTTTATTTTCTGAGATTTTAGAAAGTATTTGACAATTTTATAAATTAAGGCGTTTCTTAATCAGCTAGACTCTTTTTATAAGCCTTTTAATACATTTAATAATGAATACATAAATAATCAATAATCATTCTTTATGAAATTCAATGGATGGTATATGAAAATATAATATAAATTTAGAAATATTCTCTTTAGAAAAGAGATATTCTAAAATTGAAGATATGATGATATAATTTCATTAGAGTTAATTAAATATTAAAGTATAGTCTCAAAATTAAGATTCAATATTGATTAACACGCTTTATTAATCCAATATTAAATAGTAGTTAGATAAGTCTTTATTCTTTTCTACAAATTTCGATTTCTTAGAAAAAGTTAACTACTAATTCGGTTCTTATGTATTTGTTAACTTTTTCTACATCCTTTAATTTCATTATAGTATTTTTAGAAAGCTTTAGCATAGCAATTAACAATTTAGTAATATATTTTTAACCCATAAGTTAATAAATATTTAAGATGAGCATTTAGTATTAAAAAGGTGTATTTTACAACATCATAGTTAAATAATATGGACTAAAACAAATACCCAAATCATTTAGTCCAATTTCTTAAAGATGCTTAAATAATTTTGGAATGGAAGTCTTTAATTTAAATTTCAGTTTTGCTAAATTTTCAAATAAACCTGGAGTTCCAGATATATAATTGTTTCTATGATTCTAGATTAATTCATTAAATATTTTCTATGGTTAAGGAACTTAAAAATAAACTAAAGTTCCAGCAATGAAGTTCATTCCTTAAGCATAACCAACATCTGGATCATAATCTGCATAATTAAGTAGGAGCTGTCTTAATTAGTCTTAGTTTTATTTGACTTTAAAATATGGAATTTATTAATAAGTTCTTCCAACATCCCTATCAATCAATTCTGCATAATAAGCACTGGGTTCTTGAGGGTTAGGCATTTCAAAGTCTTTTAATTAAGAGAATACATGCATTAAATTGATATGACTAAGTATATATTGTTATATTACTCTGATGTATTAAGAAAAGCTGAATAAAACAAGGCTAAAGTTAGATCCTTCTACCTGAAATCATTTATAGATTTTTCTTCGAGAATTTAAGCCCAATCTTCTTTTTATATAGCATTGAATGATAGGTTGTGTCTTGGTGTTTATGAGTTTGTGTTATTTTCATTTTCAGTGTCTGAATTTTTGGAAACAAGCATTTTGGTAAAAATTTTAACTAAATTAATAAAATTGTTAAAAGAGAAATGAGGAGTCTATATAAATTCTTAATGATTAAGAATTTGAGAAATACACAAATTTTATTAAGCATTTTATTTTCCATAAAAAAGTAAATAAATGACTTATTATTATGTATTTAATATTATTGATAAGTGAAGAAAATTTAAAGATTTCTAAGTCAATTTAGAACTACTAAATATACTCTATACATATATAACACTGAATATAAAATTACTCATAGATTAAAAAAATAAATTTTTACTGAATCCTCATATAAATTGTATTCACACAATATTTTAGGATGTATAGATTATTGGGGAAGTATTTCCTTGATTAAAAAAATATATAATTTTTATTTAGATAAATATTTTAATTCAATTTTTACATAATCATATATATATTAATCTATTAAATATGATATTTTCAATATCATTGATTTTATTATGTAATTAAGCATAAATTTATATAAATGAATATATAAAATATAATAGAAAGTATTTTATTTGATTGTGAACATTGGTTCTAAATAATAAAATATATAATTTTGAATTAAATTATTATTCTCATCGTTAATGAAGAAAATAAGTTCGTAGATTCAATCTCTTATGAATAGAAATAGCTTTTAAGAACCTTCATTAAGCAATGATATTAAATCTTCAAGAAGTAATCCTAAAACAGCTAAGACAGAACGACCTTAATCTAAAACTAAAAAAAATGACTTATTAGATTATTTTAAAAAAGAAAGAAATACAATTACTTAAATGGTTCACTCCGTAAAAAATACTTTATAAGGAAGCAAAAGCATTGATATTTTACATACATAAAGTTAGAAAAGTGAGCGTTAGAAAAATGGATAATTAAATGTATTTATTCTCATGAGAATTCTAGTTTGTTGATTTGAATGTTTAAAATGAAGACGGTAATAATACAAAAAGGTAAATACTTAAATAAAAAAATTTATCTCTTGCTATAATTTCATTAGAAGTATACTTAATGAGTTTATTCTTTATAGAATCAACTTTTCAAATAGTCGTAAACTACTAAATAATCTTACAATCAATCCCCTTAAAATTAAATTAAATCACCGATAATAAAATAAAAAGATTAATATTTATTTGATATGCAAATAGTATAACTATTGAAATAATATAATGTAGTTAAAAAATACGAAAAGCTCCTAAGATGAATATTAACAGAATTCTTAAATAAAATAAAATAAATAGTCAATTTTATCTGATGATCCATCATATCATAGATAATCCATAGAGGATATGCTTTACAATAAAAAACACTTTAATCATGTATAAACTTAAAAATAATATCCTCATAAATAATGTGAAAATGAAAAATCTAAATAAATTAATTAAATTCATTTTAAAACAGAAATCTGTTCATCTTAAATTCAATCAAAATATTAAAATGCAGATGAAACATTAAATTATGATTAAGATTAATAGTTAAAGATTATATTATATTATAAATAATAAAAGTATTGAATATTAATTATTTAGGTATCATTATTTATTTAAATATTAAACTAAAACTACTGATGATCTATTTAATTATTTAATACAATAAATAGCTAGTATTGAAAAATAATTTACAAAATTAGGAGGAGGTACAGGTTCTACAGATGGAGATTCTATTTAATAAGGTATTTTAAAGTTAATAATAATATAAGAATTAAATAAAATATGTTAGTTCCAAACAGTATCAAAGAATGTACCATATGATTATTATTTGACATTAAATGAATTGACATTAGATGTCTTTAAAGGAATTACTCTATAAATATAGCCTTTTTATTCTTAAACTATTTAAACAAAAAGAGTAGGATTAAAAGATTTTACATTAGTTAAATGTATAGGTGTTGGAGGATTCTCAAGAGTTTATATGGTAAGAAAGAAAGATAATGGCAAATTTTATGCTTTAAAACTTATTGACAAAAAATTTATATTTGAAAATTCAAAAGAAATCATTGTGTAAAATGAAAGAGATATTATGTCTAGAATGAATAATCAATTTGTTACACCATTACATTATTCATTTGAAACAAAATATTATATAGCTTTTGTATTAGAATATTGTGCTGGTGGTGAATTATTTTATCATCTAAGAAAACTTAAAAGATTAAATGAATAAGATGCTAAAATCTATTTTGCAGAAATTTGTTTAGGAATGGCTTATTTACATTCTAAAAATATTGTTTATAGAGATATAAAGCCTGAGAATATTCTTTTAGATTTATAAGGTCATTTATTATTAAGTGATTTTGGATTATCAAAACCAGAGATGACACCAGATGATTTTGCTTACTCATTTTGTGGATCACCTGAATATATGGCTCCAGAAATGCTCATGAAAACAGGTCATAATTATTTGGTTGATTGTTATTGTTTAGGAGCATTACTCTATGAATTAGTTACAGGATTACCTCCATTTTATTCACATAATACATAAGACATTTATAATTCAATTTTAACTGAATAAATAAAATTTCCAAATTATATTGAAATATCTCCTCTTTTGAAAGATTTAATACATTCATTATTACAAAAAATACCTGAAGACAGACTTGGACATTATAATGGAATAAAGGAAATTTTAAATCATAAATGGTTTTAAGATGTTGATTTTGATGCAGTTTTAAATAAAAAAGTTAAACCTCCATATAAACCCTATCCTTTGAAATATAATTTTGATGAAGAAGAATTCAATAAAGGAGATGCTGAATTTAGAAAGTAATTTCAAATTAATTTACAAAAAGAATTTTAAGTATTATATATTATAATTTTAATTTAAGAATGTTGATGATGCCAATTATTTATTAGATAATTTCTATTATTCAAGAGATGCTGTATATGGATAAGAAAAATCAAGAAGAACAAATGTAGTTAATCTGAATCAATTATAAAATTAAGCTCTTATTGCTGAACCATTTACAATAAATTAATAAACTAAAATTTAATCACCATAATCAGAATCAAATAATGAATAATTATTTTAATAAACTTCTGATGAATCAAAACCAATTAATGAAACAAAGGGAAAAAATGACATATAAGATAACTCAAAAAAATAAGAAATTATGACTAAATCATCATAACTTTAACATTAAACTGCAAAATTAGGTCATACTTATTCAAAAACTATGTAATAAGCATAATCATCACTTTAAGAACTTAAAGTAATTGTTATAATTTATATACTTTTAGCAAATAAAATTATTAATTGATTAATCTAGAGCTTAATAAACTTCAGATAGAATTACTACTATGCCTGATTAAAATAACAAAAAAATAACAGAAAGATTTAAAACAGAGTAATTTGGTAATTTAGCATCTCCAAAAACAACTACTGCTAGTTCTTCTTTACATAAAATGAGTAATTTTTAAGCATTATTTGGATCTGAAAAACACAAGAAAAAATTATTTTGATTAATTAAAGAGTAAATAATAATTTTGATTTTTGTTAATGTAAAATTTAGAGTTTTTGTATTCCTTAATACTCAATAAATTATTATTTAACTTCAATTGAGTAATTTATTAATGGTATTTATTTTTTGACAGTAAATTATTAAGTATTTACAAGATAATACAATGGAGTAGCAATAAATTAATATATATCAATTATTCTGTGCAACATTAATGTACTAATAATATCATTTTTTCTTTTATTCAATCTTTTTAATATAGAATTCTAATTCTTTTCCTTCTAGAATATAACCATCAGCTCTTCCTGATTAACCAGGTCTTGAAGTTATTCTAACCAACAATCTTTGATTAGAGAATTACTCTTAAACCAATTAATCAATCACATTTTCTTTTACTCTTTATGCAAGTTTTTTTTAAAGAGAATTTGATTTCTTAGTTTATTCAGCTGGTGCATCCTAATGTCTTAATATAATAATTACTTTTTTATCTTTCTTTTTTGGTCCCAATTCAACATTATATTTTTTGGCATACCATAATTTGAATGGTGTAGCATCAACTTAAACAATAACTCCTCTTGTTAAAGTTTTTGTTCTCACTAATTCATTATTGGAAGGATGATAAACAACCTCAACAATTTTTGCTTTTTTGGCAACACCTTAACTTGCCCAAGAGAAATTGCCTTCAGATAAACGAAGAGCTCTAAATTTGAAATTTCCTCCTCTAACTCTAATTCTTCTTACTCTTTTTTCTCCAGATATCAATTTTGTCATTGCAGCTTGTCTTCCCTTCTCAAATGCTCTCTTCTTTTTGTGAATTGGCATACGACCTCCTGTAAGTCTTCTCTTATGTCGACTATCTCTTGAAATTCCCATTAATTATAATTATATTTAATATAAAAAGATTTTATTTAATTTAAAATATATTAGAATAAATTTAATAGCTTCTCAATGTTTTTTTATATATAAGAACTGCATTGTATACACATTATGTCTTTTCAATAATAAATTCTATTAAAGTCATTTACTTTAAAATGTTACATATTTAAAAGAATTCAATACAAATAATATCAAATATTAGTTTAGATAGGACATTTACATGTAAGATATTTAATCTATTCTTAAATTTTTATTGTTTGGATATTTTTATTAAGCAGAATCAAAATTTTAATTATTATATTATTAATGTTCAAAAATATATTATATATTAAACCAAAATTTATCTAGAATCAGAATTAAAACACAACTATAAAATTTTTGATGTTTTGTATAATTTACAAAACAAATTTAAATTAAATCATAAACATTTCTTGCCTCTAATCTCATACTTCTCTTGCAGTTTTTATTTAGTGTTTTTCTCTTAAATATTTATAATATTTTTACTTTAATATGTCAAATAAATGATACACTTATTTCAAACTCATAGGTTATTAAATTTCAAAATCAAAATAATTTAAAGGCATTTATAAATTCATCTTAGGCATTTTAACTTTTATTTCATTTAAATTAAGACTTCCTTTTCTTTATCTAATCTATACTTCTTATTTATTAGTAGGAGTGATTGTGTTTTCTTAAGTAAATTATATAAGAGATTCTCTATCTGCTTTAATAGAGACCATTCTTTTATGTTTGTCAACTTGTTAATAGCTTACATCATAATAAGGGAGACTTGGCAGTTTTTATTAATGAATTTCTCTATCATTAGTTGAACCAAATGTAATTTATCTTGTGTGTCGATTTTAAAATTTTTTAGGTCTTTTTATACATAAAGTCTAATTTTTCACAATAAAATTTTTAAACTCTAACTATTTTTGCAAACCTTTATTGTTGTTTGTTATTAATTAGTGTAAAGACATGTATAATAAATTTATTAATGAATGAAATTTTGGATAGATGATTTGTTAAAAAAATAACAGAAATTTTATAATCATTTGTAATAAGTCATTTTGACTCGACACCAGAATTGATGATACATAGATGCTATAATAAATGGTGCAATTAACAACAAAATAATTTAATTGCGCAATTTAATTAATCATCATTTAAAATTACGTCATTTTATATGTCATAAATTCAACATTTTTCTTATATTTAAAGGCGGTTCATGAAATATGAACAATTATAATATAAATATGTCTGGTATTATGATTGATATTATACATACTACATCAAATAAACTATTAAATTTTGCTTCTATCTAAGTATATATTTGTGAGTAGAACTTTGATTACTTAATAAAGATGAAATTTAAATAATTTAACTATTTGATTTAGATAATTTCTATCCTAGGTAAGATTTCTAAAAAATGAATAGAAGTAGAAAAAATCATATTGAAAGAAATAAGTCAATTAAATTGAAATTTATTGTAAATATTCAATATTCTAATAATCCATCAATGACCCACTTATTTCTATCTTCTTGGAATGGATGAGTTCTTATTGGAAAGGTTTAATTATTTTAAGGTTCATCTTAAACTGCAAATAAGTATTGATTAGGGTTAGTTAGTGATCTAATAGTCCAAAGACCGGATTCTTCTACTTATTCAATTAACCATATATTTCTGAGATCTTTAATTGGATGAAATCTAACATCATAATCATGAAATTGATTTAGTTCCTTTTTATTATCAACAAATAAGTAAAATGAAGGGAATAAAAATGATCTAATAGCAAAAGCATCACCAGTCACTCTATCAAGTATAAATTTAGAATTTTAATTAATATTTTATTTAACATTGACACTAAAATCATCTGTAAATGATTTATGAGAATCACCAATAGTAATAAAATTTTATGGTAAATGTGCAGGATTAAATGTTACAATAATTTATTGATGTTTTAAAGGATATGGAGTTGTAAAATTTGGTTAAGTGACAATATACCAATGATTGTTTTCATTTTCTTTATTTTAAGTACGTACATCTAAATCCTTACCATGATTATTAGATTTATCTGAAGCTACAAATAAAAAATGATCTGGATTTGTCTCTGATCTTATAGTGAATACACTCCATCCATGACATTAAATAATCCAATTATTTCTTGCTTCTTAAAATTAATGTGTTCTAACATCAAAATCATCTTAAAATTTTCTTGTATCATCATTTGAGCAAAATAAGTAATGATTTGGTTTAGCTGCTGATTTAATTATATAAACATTCTCTTTGACTTATTGAATAATAAAATAAGTATCATTAGATTTTTCTTGTACACATCTAACATCAAAATCATCTTTAAGAGCCCTAGAATTATTTGTACATGCTTCTAGATATCTAGTTGGTGCAGCCACTGGTCTAAAAGAAACAAGTAATGGAGAAGATCCAAGTTCCATAGATAATTTTTATTTATTTTGATTAATAAAGTCAACCAAAATCCATTCAATTATAACAGTACAATAATGTAGTATACTATTACTATAATCAAAAACATCAACTGTAAATCAAAGATGTATATTTGATTACTATATATTTGATAATAATGACTTATAGAAAATGGTAACTAAATATAAATTTTCTTTAAATTCATAAAAAAGACTTAAGAATTGAGAAATAAAGAAGTTTTAGACCTCCTCTTCTCTATTTGCATAGTGAAAATACAAATAAATTAGGAAATAATGATATAAAGAGTGTATTACATTTTATAAATAGTTAAACAAAAAAAAGATATTTTCTAATGTGAATGAGGATTTTAAAAGAAAATAGTTCTAATATTGAAGAATAACAAGGAAATTTTAGAAAACATATGATATTTAATATCTTATATGAAATACTCATCCATTGAATCCATCGATAGCCCATTTATTTCTTTCTTCTACAAATGGATGGGTTCTAACACTGAATTCATGTCCATTTCCTTCATCTTGAAGTCCAAATAAGAAATGATTGGGATTAGTAGCTGATTTAATGGTCCATAATCCTGGTCCTGCAGGTTCAATAATCCAATTATTTCTTGGTTCTTTATGAGTGTGGAATCTGGCATCAAAGTCTCCCCATTAGTTATAGGCTTAACCATTAGCACAGAACAAATAGTATAATGGACTGGCAGCTGATCTGATTGTGAATACATTTCCTTAAACTCTATCCAAGAAAAATTAGGTCTTATCTGTCTTTGCTCCTCTAGCTTTGACTGCAAAATCAGTTTAGAATTATTAATGTGGTTCTGCAAATGTCAAGAAGTGTTATGGTAAAAGAATTGGTCTTAATGAAACAACAGGTGGTTGATGTAAAAGAGGATATGGATGGACAATGTTTGGTACTGTGACAATGAACCAAAGATTTCTTTCTTCATGATGAGCATGAGTTCTAACATCTAATTCACCTTGATGAGCATTTGATCCATCATCAGCAGCAAAGAGGTAGAAATTTGGATTTGTTTCAGATCTGATTGTGAATGTACTCCATCCAACATTTTCAATGATCCAATTATTTCTTGGTTCAACAAAGTGATGAGTTCTAACATCAAAATCATTTCCGAATTTTCTAGCATTGTCATTTGAGCAGAAAACGAAATGATCTGGATGTGTAGCTGGCTTAATTCTATAGACGGCACCATTGACGTGTTCTAATAAGAAATAAGTGCTTTCAGAAGCTTAGTTGGCAATTCTGACATCAAAATCTTCTCCAAGGGCTCTTGATTTGTTTGTGGCTGTTGCCAAGAATCTACTTGGGACTGTGAATGGTCTTATGGATACTACAGCTGGAATTTGTGGAGTTTACATTTTAATTGATTAAAATTTATTTAAAAGAAAATCTTCTTAAATACCGACATTTTAATTATGGAATGATTAATAATTCTATATATTCCTTCTTATGATTAATATTATGTATTCATAAAATTTATGTGAAAGCAGATTCTAAAATTTTAATTTTTTTTTTTATTTTTTTTTCTTTAATCTTCGAATTACTTCTTATAATTTCTCCATTCCTTAAAACTATTAACACTTATTTGTTTAAACTATCAATGGCTCCAAAATTTAATGATTAATAAATATTGCAAATGTATACAATATGTACTTAAGAGATCTATTGAGATAAGACCTCAGATCATTATATTATGAAGCATTATGAAGAGCAATATCAAACTATCTAATACTGTGGGTATTTTAAGTTTATAGTGTGAAAAATAAGTTAATATATATTACACATTTTTTCGCTCATACTAGATTTTCTATACTCTTAAAAATGATATCAAACAATATCCAAGAATTAAAAAGCCTTCACAATTCTCACAATTTATTCTAAGATAACTTAGCAATATACAAATAATGAATCCATCTCACAATTATAGGAAATAATTAAATTAGATATGCAGAATAATTTCTACAATAATAATATAAATGGAACTTCTTTTACTTATATAAACAACTGTTTATTGAAAGAGACCCATTTTTAATTAAGATTTATTAACTTATGCAAAATATCAATAATAAAAAATATTAAGTATAATCAATTAATTAGAAATAATATTATTAATAATATCCTAAAAACGAAGATTGATATTATATTAAAGAGACTTTAAAATAGGATCATAAAAATTTGTTATTTAATTTGTATATAAAGTAATATAAAAATTATTAAAATATAATTTTATAACATTTCAACAAAGTCTCTATTAATCCAAAATTTCTATAATCCATATTTAATATTTTTATCTAAACTAATATATTTCTTGTAATGGCTTATTTATATTTAAAACAAATTAAATGTATTATTATTAAAATACTTATAATTTATAGTATTTTGATAAATGAAATATATAATTCTGTATATAATTGACCTTATTCTTCTTTTTCATAAGTGTATTATTTTTTTGTATTTTCTTATTCCTTATAATATAAAAAATATCTATTAAAAAATATACATAAATATTAATAATCAAATAACTTTCAATCGTATTCTAAATAACTACTATCTTTAAATAATTTGAAGATCATCTAAATAATTATTTTCAAAAATTACCTTCTAAAAGGATACCTTAGTTATTGATTATAATTCAATTTTCATCAGGTTTTAATTGATAAAAATGATGATATGAAACAAATATAACTTAAACTTGAATTCAGTTTGATTTATAAATCAATAAAATTGGAAATAAAACAGAACTTCATCCTTCAGAATTGATTCATCCTTTTTGATATATGTTTATGCTAAAACTATCATCACATTATTAATTTTCTCTTTAAATTCAAGAATAATATTCTGATTCATTCAAACTTAAAGATTTTTATTAAAATCAGGTTTCCTTCCATTCTAATTTAAAAGGCTAATGTATTCACGTTTAAGGACTACTAAAGCTTTAATAAATTTATATCTGTTATAAGGTGAGTTTTATCCTCTAAATATATAAATTAAAAATCATGAATAGTTTTTGATCTATTAAACCTTAAAAAGTATCTTAATAATTAGAAGATATTAATATTGGATAATTAATGTATAATTAAATTAAAGCTTTGAAAATAGATGGCTTTTATTATCTCATATATAGATATTAATATTCAAGTAATATTAATGAAATAAATCAATCAATTATTTAACATAAAAATTGATATATAAATACCTTCAAAATTATTATTCATTTTCATTTTAATTTGATATTTTCTATTTTCTCTAAGATCTAGAAGTAATTAAAAATAAAAGGAAGCATAGAATTCTAATTTTGAATAATTTCAAATTAATTATTATGATATTATTATAGATTATAAGAAATCATTCTAATGAGTCAATTCAAAGTACCAAGATAGTTTAAATGATTAAAAGACATCTTTAAAATTTTTAATGTTATAAAACATATAAAATATTATCTATGTTTTGCTGTCTAATATGATATTGTTAAACTCTAAAGTTTTGAGTTATTAAATTTTAACTAAGAATAAATTCAAGATCATAATTTTTGATAATTGCATTTAAATAATGAATTCAAAACTTTTAGGTTATAAAATAGATTTTTATAAAATATAAATTATATAAAATTACTCATTATTCATTAATTGATATTTATTATAACTACTTGTTAAAACAAAATCTTTGAGTTAATTTAATTAAAGAAATTAATTTTTAATAGAACTATTAAATCATATTAAATAAAGCACAAGTATAATTCTAAATATTTTATTAATCTTGAATTCATTATAAATTAAATAAGATTTATTTGAAAGGATGATTGATCATTTCAATTAAAATTGGTTTCTAGAAAATCTGATTATGTATATTTTGATCAATTTTTGAGAGCATAATACAAAAAACAAACCATAATTATTAAAATTATGGGGATTAATTTTAGTTATTTTTTTTGCATTGGTAATTCTATTAGTTAATCTCAGAATAGCTAACAGTTCTAAGATTATTACCATCTTAAACCAGTTTAGAGACTATTATTGCTCATCAAATTCCAGTAAGACAATAAAGATTCTCATATTTAGCCAAGCCATATTAGAGATTTAACCAAATGAAACCGAATTTAAATAAATATTAATACACTTTTTGTACTTAATTATTGAATATAGAGATATAAGGGAACTAATATTAGGTATAGTTCACCTTCTTTTGAAAAATATTTTATTATTTATTAATTTTATACTGAACTATGATTCTGAATGAAATTTCTTTAAAATTTTATAATAAACATAATATTAAAGTATGAATTTGATAAAAGAATTTTAATGAAATATTGGACTAAATTTTCTTGATTTCATCAATTTCTCTACTGAACTTATATAATTTAAGATATATAAGCATAATTATAGTATTTAGATTATCTGTATATCATAAATATGATAAAAATCAATATATTTTTCATTTCTTGAAAGATGATTTCATTTAATAGAAACTTTAATTATTTACACATGAATTAGTCATTTTGTTTACAAGTTTCTTGATTTTATCCCTCTAAGTAAGTTGGGACTTGGATTAATTTTCAATTGAAATATCAGTTTGTTAAATGATCTTAATCTTTTTAATTGAGTTTGTAAATGTAAGACTTTAAGTTTCTAATCGAGGAGAAAGTTGAATGTAATAATCATTCTTTAAATTTTGAGTTTTAATGTTTTTTGAAGTATCCTATTTAAGAATAGATAAATTATTAAAAGATCTTGTCATTTAATTGATTGGTTTAAGATAAGTTGATTTTTTGATAGTCGAGGACATCGTTGTTATTTAAATAGAGGTTAAGCAATAAATTTAATAATATTTTAATTTAGTAACAATTTGTTAATGATTAAAACAAGAACAAAACCTGTTTGTAAAACTCACTTTAATTTATCATCTAAACAAATAAGCAGATATAGAAAATATATACTGAATTTAGTTAATCGAAAATGGATGAAATAAGTAGATGATGTTTCAACGGATAAATAAAAAATAAGATTTACTGAGAATAAAGTACATCATTTTGTTCCATCAGATACAATGATAAAGAAAGTGATAAAATTTGATTGTTATCCAAAGAAAGGAATTCTGAAAACTAAATGAATTTGTGATATAATATTTACTGTTTTTTTAACAAAATTTATGAATAAAACGATTACATAAAAATCAATCATAACTTCTACGTTGACCTTAATTTTTCCAACGAGGTGGTGTAGGTGGTCTTTTTTTTAATGCTTCTTCATCCTCAATCCAATTGTGAGCATTCAGATTTTGAGGATATATTAATTTTGGTACAATCTCTAAATTTCTTTTTAGAATAAGCACTGCACCTGCATTCTTATGTCTACCACAATAATCAGTTGCACTAAAAACTGTTAGTAATTAACCTCCTAATTAAAATATTAATAATATATTACCAGCAAATCTTTCAAAACCATCCATTACACATTCATGAGCACGTATAATAAGAGAAAGATTATTTTTAATTAGAAAATTTATAACTCTATCTGGTCCAAATTTTACTATATTTCCAGTACCTGCAGGATCCCTTATAATATTTGGTTAAATTCCAAAATCTTAATCTGTATCAGTTGGATCTGACCATAAAATATCAACCACTAATTATTATTCTGGTGTTGTAACTTCATGAATCACTTCTAAAGGTCTTTATAAATTTTCTATTTCTGCTACATAATTTAATTAACTCCCTATTCCTCCATGAAGACAAATTATCTTATCTTCAACTATTGCTGCCAATGGTAACCATTCAAATAATCGATTCACTCTTGCAAATACTGAATCTTCATCATTAGGATCTTCACCTAATCTCTATGCACATTCCTCTGAAAATCCAAATCCATTATTTATCCATTTATCTTCATGATTTCCTCTAATCAAATGAATTGATTCTGGAAATCTTACTTTTAGAGCCAATAACAAACAAATAGTTTCTAAAGAATGATTACCTCTATCTACAAAATCTCCAAGAAATAGATAATCAAATGCTTCTATATCACTATCCTTACCATCTACAAATGGAGATCCCCACAAATCAAAGAATCTCATAAGATCTGAATATTATCCATGAATATCTCCAAAAATCTTTATAGGAGCTTTACATCTTAAAACCATAGGTTATTCCTTTAATATAGCTTCTGCTTAATCACATAACATAAGTATATGTTAAGCTTAAAATAAGAATTTAGCATTTTCAGATATATTAATAAAAGTCTTAGGTTATAATAATGTGCTTATGAATAAATGAGCAATATTATTTTCTTATGCAGTTTAAGGCACTCTTGGTTTTCTATTAGGAGCTTTAGAATCACGAGTTTCTTCAGCAACTACAGCTTAATTGATAAATTTAAATTAAGATTTATCAGCTTAATTTTAAGCAAATGGTTTTTATTATTTTTGAGTATTTTAATTGGTTTGGCCTGGTTTCTTTTGAATTAATGAATTATTTAAAGGAGAAGCTTAAGTATCTGGGGATATTGGAGTCATTTAAGGTGATAATGATTGAGGTGATACACTTAATTAAGATAAAATAATACTTTCTTTGAGCCTATTGATATTAAGCCAATTTATTAGTTAAAGTTTCACTTGGTAATAGTAATCTATTTAAATTAATTTTAGAAATAATATCAGTTGGAATATTAGGTGAATCTAATTCAAATCCTCCATATACAAAAATACTAGTGTCTACTAACCATGATGAATGTCTAAATCTCTAAATACTATTAAATTTAGACCATTCTGATGTTTCAGTATCATAAACATCTATTGTCAATGTTTCTCCTACATTTCCAGTTCTACCACCAATAACAACAAGCATGCTATAAACAAACAATGTAGTATGTTGATATCTACCAACAGGTTATTCTTTATCAATTTTATAAGGAGCTTTGACCCAATCCCATCTTCCATCTCTATGTCTTCTTAATCCCCATGCATCATTTAATGCTAATTAATCATTCGATCGTCCTCCAAATGCCACAACCATTCCATTAGCACTACCATTAGTGCAAATACTAGCAGAATGATATACTCTTGCTAATGGCTATTCTGATTTACATTCTAATCTAGCCCAAGTAATAGGACTCTTCTCTACATTTACACACCCTTGAAATTAAATGTATTATTAATACAGCAATCATTGACTGGCTCTTATCCAGTATTTCCTCCAAACACTATTAAAAATGGTTTAGTAAAGGTTAGTGTATGTCCATACCTTCTACCTGGTGTAGTTCCTACAACTGGTACTACAGTCCATTAACCTAAATCATCATTTGATCTCAAATCTAATAAATAAAGATCATCTGATGCCAAACTACCACCTAATATAATTAATCTATATATATATATTACCTCCTGTGGCTCCTCCATAAATTACTATTTAATTTATATCTACACACACTGCTGAATGTGCTGCTCGAGGAGATGGTGCTGTACCCTAAACTACTCTTTTCTTTATTTTAAATACCTTCAACTCTCTTCCATTATTTACTTTACATATCGAACGAGAACGTATCTCCTGTAATACTATATTTTCCTGTGTCTCCAGTTGCCCCTTTCATTTAATTATTCTCTTTTACCTCCAAATAATATCGCTTTTCCCTTTGCAATGTATGTTATAGTATGTCCAAATCTAGCTTATGGCAATTATCCAAAAGCCTCAACCTTTTCAAAATTATTCATTTATTTATTATATTTCAAATTTTAAAAATATACAATACCTTAAAATATCATTTATTTTAGATATCATAACAGAATTTTATAATGGATCCAAACAATCCTATTTCCCTTAATATTATCCACCTCAATAATTATTATAATAAAGAAGAAAGCTTAATTTTATTCACATTCCTAAGAGAATTTCGAGCATGGATCCTGGAGCTTGCGAATTTAGACTTGTGGGAATATTTAATTTTGACAATAAATACTCATTTGTGTTCACCCAAGAGTCTAAATAGTCTTCCTTTATTATTTATATTACTTGAATCACGCGACGATTACTTTTTCTATTATTATTCTATTTCAATTACCTGATCTTTTTATGCTATTTCATCATGCAAAGGTAATTTTTAAATTTTTATTTTTATTAATGAATTAGTTAGATGACAATCCACTTAAATTATTTATTTAATAATTTTATGTCAAATGAAGCAGTAGCTGGTTTTATAGCCATAAAAACTCTATAGAATAGGCCATTACGTTATTTTGATGCAAATTTCAATGAATTTAGAGATAAAAATATGACAATGTATATATAGAAGAAATATGCTGATCTCAAAAGTTTTATTAAATAATATTATATATAATAGAAAGAACAGGAGTATCAGAACTTCCATTCTAAACATTTTCAAGCACATAATTATAGATTAAACCAAAAGCTAATGATGGATTAAAAGAAGTGAAAGCAAATTATGAATTAGATGAAAAAGTTATAGAAATTATGTAAAAAGTCATAGATCAAGAAGAATTAGAAGGCATTTTATAGTAATGTTAAGGATAAACAACAACAAATAAATAAAAAAATTGGAAGAAAAAAGCAATATCAGTACCTTAGAAATTAGCTCTACTTATGAATGATCAAATTGAATAAGCAGATTTAGATGTTCTATTTAATCAATATTAAAGATAAAATTTAAAATCTTCTGTAAGTTTCATTTAAATTATTTTATTTTAGTTAGATGAACTAAAAATGTCAGTCAAAGATCCAAAATTAATCTATAAAAAATTAGGTAAAGAAGGATTTTAAAAAGTTGAATTTAATGACTAAGAATAAGTTAACTTTTTTATGAAGAAATTATGTGAGGAATAAAAATTAGATGCATGTTCAGTTTTAGAAATCAGAAACGGTATCAATATTTATGTTACTTTAGAGAATATTAAATTTAAAGAGGATGCTTGTGATGAAATGGAAAGATGGAGGAATATTGTATAAAAACGTATTACATAAGAATAAATGTAAAAGATTTTAATTGATGAAGAAATGAAATAAAATAAATAATTAGTTCAAATATTTAAAGATACAAGAATTGATTAATTCGATCCTGACTTTTTTAAAAAGAAAGTTAAAAGCAAAACCATGAAAAGAGTTAATGAAGCATAAGATAGTCAATATCATAAATTCTTTGTTTAAACAGATACAAATAAAGCTACATTTGGAAAAGATGATTTTCTAAGAAAGAAATTTAATTATACAACACCTAAATCAAAAGTTGAGAATACACTCAGATCCACAAGACCAACTACTAGTGTTAGTAGATCACATAGAGTCTTACATAGATCTGATATCGAATTTAATAAATTTATTAAGTAATGTAATATTGTTGAACATACTTTTTAATAAAGTAATACAAAATTAAATGAGAGATTTCAATAAATGGATAAAATGATGGATAAAGCATGTTAATATTTAGAAGATGATAAACCATAAGAAGAAAAAGAACCAAATTAAGATTTTGAAAGATTTAAAAAATAACGTCTTTTCAAAAAGAAATTTGTTACTTATCTAATTGATAAAGTAGAAAAATAGTCAGATCTATTAAGTTAAAAGATTAAAACTGTATAATCAAAAAAATTGATTGAAAAGGTTCTCTCTGAAGATTTATGATTGACATTTTTATTATATTTATTAATGAAACTAATCAAAAGTTTAGTTTAATATGCTTCTATAATAAGAGTATGTCCTCTTTAAGTAAATGACGTAAACAAAACCTGAAATATTCTTAATCATTTTTTTATAAATTTATGAAAAACTCTTTAAGAGTATCCTAAAATATATATTAATAAATATAATTACCACAAGATTGATATTTAAACATGGATCTTTTAAATAAGTTAAATCTTCTTCAGTTGTTTCATCACATTCTTCTCCAACTTCTTAATTAAAATCTAAGAATTCACTCATATATAATGTTGATCCTGTCTCTAAATCTGCTAATCCTTTATCTTTCTTTTCTTTTGGATCTAATAACTAAAATAATAAATATCTTAAAAAATACAGCAAATCTATCAGCAATATCTTAATCTTCATCATCTTTAATTTTTTCTAAATCTACATCAACTTAATCTTAATATCTTTTATCATTAAAATCATCATCATCATTATCAACTTCCATACGATCATCTTCTAATTATTAATCAATATTTTCTTATTTTGAAGGTATAATTTCATTATCTAAACATCTTATAAGTAAAGATAAGATTTTGAATGGTGCATATACATCTTTTATTTTATTATATATTATATTACCACTATTAATATTTTGATGACTAGGATTATAACCAATAACTAATAAATTCTCTAGAGTTTTATCTTTAACTAAGAATAATTTCATTAAAGCTGAAAATGTGGCATTTTTAGTACCCTTTCCTCTAAATAAAGGTTATTGTAATAACCATTTATCTATTAAAACTTTAAGAGCCATTCTATTGTCAATACTCCAAGAAATCAAAAATGCTATTGATTCTTTAGGTTTTTCAATTATCATTCTAGCATATACTAAAACTAAGGATTAAACTGTAGATGGCATTCTAGATCTGTATATTTTAAACACAACTGCTTTTAATAAATTCAGATCTGGATTTCCATTTAAGAGATTATTAATTGTAATCATAACTAAATTGCCTGCAAATAATGAAGCTGATTCATTTGCTGAATTTTAAGGTACTTCTAATAATTTTAAATTAACTTTCATAACATCTTAAACCAAATTCCTATATTTATATTTAAATATATATTACATCTTCAAAATTTATCCTGTTTCTATTATAATAAAATTCTTGAGACATTAACTAGTATGAACTTATAATTATGGATCTTCATTAATCAAAATTAAATTAACCATTGAAGGTAATAAATTAATAAATGCATCTTATGCTTTACTATCTGAACAAAATTTGATAAATGTTGATGTAATATTCATAATTGCACTCATTAATGAAATATCACTTTATTTTATTTTACTCTTATCTTATATTTTATGAACATCTTCATAAAAAACCTAAAAACAATCTAAAATGAATGGACAAAACACCTTTATATATAAATAATTAAAATTACTTCAAAAATATGAGGATATGCTTCCTTACATTAACATATTCTTACTATTAATTCATTAAATGGTTTTATAACACATTATTCTGAATAGAAAACACTAAAAAACTATAATAACACTTTAGATCCATTCTTTGCTAAAGTTGTAGCTAAAGTAGGTGAGAATTTAACTAAATGGATTGTAGATTCTAAAATAGAAATCATTTAATCTTGAGTTGCCTCTTATAATACAGACAATACTGATTCCATAAACTCTGATTTATATTCAAATGGAATATTATATTTGTGAATTTTTGAAGCATAACTAATATATATTAATATATCTTACTTTCCTAATGCTTTGACTGAAATGATTCTAAGTGTTATTGGATATTTTGAATCTAAATATACTATAACTGATTCAAAAAGAGGTACAAATAATTCTTTGAATTAATGACTAATCAAATCTGAATATCTTGTAGTACTCCATATTGCTCTAGCTTATAAACTATGTGAATCTAATAATAAATAAATATTATTAAATTTTTACTTTATTTTTCTAATTCATATAAAATATTCTACATGCACTTTTTAATATCAAAAGTACTCTAATGTTTTTATTAAAAAACAATTATGTCTTCTGAAAAACTACCCAATAATAAATAACCAGTTTCTTTTCTTTTTTATATAAATGATTTAAGATAATGATTATTATTGATAGTAATAATAGAACCTTTCATAAATTACATTACACTATCTTGATCAAAATCTTTAGATTATTATCCTTTTAATTCCTAGAAATTTAATTTAGATATAATTGATTGAGCTAAATCTATGAATTCTTTTTCATCTCTATTAAGTATTAACTTTTCTCCTACAATAAGTATTTATTAAATAAATTAATCACCATATTTCTCAATCATATCATTTATTAATTTCAAAGCTAAAGTTCTTACACTCTTTTAAAGTAATTCTTCTTCATCATTCAATATAAAATAACTAGGATCTTTAATCCATTATTTCTCTTATTCTTTAGTAGCAGTCAAAAATGTTGAAAGAGTATTCAATAATGGGAATGTTCCAAATTTTATTAAATTATAAAGAGCTGGTTTTGTAACTAAGATGGTAATCAACTCTATAGAATATGCACATAATCCTTCAATATGATTCTCATAATCATCATCTTCATTAAGATATTTATACTCAATATCTAATAATAATATATTATTTGTAAATATACCATTTCTTAAATTTATTATTCTTTAACTACTAAATGGCAATTCTTTTGCTTCTTCCATAAATAATGCATCAATATGTTCTACATCTATCTAATATACTATATGTCCAATGCATAATTATGTTATGGAATTGAAGAATTTCCAAATTGGAATTAAAGACAGAGCCAGTGATTTTCTACTATAAACTCCAAAATCTCTAAAAATTATTATTAGAATCTTTAAAACTAATTTCTTAATAAAAATATGTGATTTTGGTGATGTTTGTAAGGCTGATAAAAATAATGACTATATTTATATAAATATATATATGATACCATCCATATTTAGAATGTATTATCCAAACATTTATTTACTAAAGAATTATCAGTTCCATCAGCAAATGATATTGATCTTAAAACCAAATACACCATTAATAATATTTTCTCTCTTAACATCTCATTTAATTCTGGCTATGCAAATATTCCAAATCCCTTCTCAAGTACAAAAGGCACAATCTCTTTTAATAAATTCTAATGCTCTCCATTTGTCTCACTCAATTTACCAAACAATTATAAGAACAGTTCTAAACTAGATTCAACTGCATTCATATCGTCCATCCAATTTAAAAGCTCCATCAATGGACTTGGCCATATGTGACTTGGATCTAATACAATTATGGAAACTATTATTGATGACTTATAAGTATTAATTATTAATTACAATCAATTCTATGATAGGCATGTTAGAGACATTCATAACTAACCCATTTAAAAGAAGTTCACGTATTATTTTACGAGATGGTTATATCAACTCCCATTATTCGATCAAAATATTCCTAAACAATATTCCAATATTGATTCTTATTTCAACTGGATAATCAGGAGATACTAAGATTTTTGTGCTCTCAACCATAAAATTGGAATAAGGAGTATGCAAGATGTCATATGCTTTCTCCAAATTTTCAAGTGCTTAGGCATATATCTATAATGTGATTTCAGGTGTAGCTTCTGCCATTTTAAATTTTTTTTGTATTTTTTATTTTATATAATATTTATTCAAATTCTATCCTCTAACTGTTTATTTCTACATATTATCTATTCTTTGATTAATTGAATACAAAATTAATGTTGTAAATTCAAATTTATACCATACTTGCTATTATATTGTATTATCAACAATTTTCCATTTTTGAATCATTTAATATTCTTTATTACTTAACGATGCAATAATTTAATATTATTGATTTATTTAACATATAACTACTATAATGATCCATACACACTTTTTTAATTAAAAATAAATTACTATTAAAGAAACTGAATTCATTTTTATAATTTTTACATTATTTAATTTAATTATTATACTCATCTTATCAACAAAAAAATGTAAACATCAAGAAATCAATCAATATTTTGAATAATATACAGATATCATCATTATATTTAAAATTATCTATTGATAATTCAATAGTTTTAGGATATTCTTAATAAGTTAATTAAAGACATTCTTTTTAGATTCAGATTATTTAAAGAATATTCAAATAATTCTTATTCAATTAGAATAATTTATTGTTTGAAAAATTAATTTATCAAGATAGCAATTATAATCTAATTATATTTGAGAATATAAATTGATTGAGTGATTGCATCTCTCAATTCATTTAAACCATCTATAGAATGTTATTTAGTCGATCAGAAAAGAGAAAAAACTAATAAAAGCATATAATTAATATTTGATAGCAACTATATTATAATATATTCTTATTATAATTTTTGAAAGAATAACTTATAAGTATTTATTCTTTTTAGATTTATGTGATGTGTATATTAATTAATTCTTTATAATATAGACTTTATATTAATTAATTAATCAATATTATTTGAGTTCATTTAGATATTCAATGGAGTCTTATAATATACTAGTAATGACAATTATTAATATTTTAATAAATGAATTTAATTGTACTTTTTATATTCTGTGTCATATTGTGTATTGCATCTAGTTTAATGCCAATGCCAAAATCAATATCAAAAGGGGATTAGGTTGTCAAAATTGAGAATAAATGTTCAATTAAATATTAAGCAAATGAAAATTAATATCCAGATTTCATTATGGAATTACTTGAGCATTTTCATACTTTGATGACTCCAAAATAATGTAATTTCAAAGAATCTTTTGGTTTTACAAATGATTTGGGTGTAATGAAGATTTTCATGCATATTGAGTCCTTAGAATAATTATATGGGATAGATACTACTTAATAAGAATCATATAGGTTATAAATTGATGATCAATTAAATATTTAAATTCAAGTTAATAATCATTGGGGTTTAGTTAGGGCCTTAAATACCTTAAATCAATTAAGTGATAAAGGAGAGATTAATCATCTTCCATTGATTATAGAGGATGAACCTACTTACAGTTATAGAGGTATTTTGATTGACAGTGCTAGACATTTTCTATCGGTATAATTGATAGAGAGGACTGTTGATTCTCTAGTAATGAACTCAATGAATACAATTCATTGGCATATAACAGATGATGAAAGTTTTCCTTTACTTTTAACAGAATATCCTGAAATTACACATTCAACTAAATATTCAGAAAATTCATTTTATACAATTAATGATACTACAAGAATAGTAGAATATGCTTCAAAGAGAGGAGTTTAAATAATTCCTAGTTTTGATAGTCCTGGACATTCAATGAGTTGGGGAATGACTAAAGAATTAGCTGATATTATGATGATGTGTGGAAGTACAATAAAATAATATGGTGTATTGGATCCAACATTAGATAAGACTTATCAAGTTCTTGAATCAATATTAAGAGATTTTTATCAAATGTTTAAGAAGGTTAAGTTTGTTAATTTTGCAGGTGATGAAGTTAGTAAGACTTGTTGGGATCAAAGACCTGAAATTAAACTATTTATGCAAGAAAACAATATTAATGATTATTATGAATTATAATCTTATTATAGAAGAAGATAAAAGTAATTATGGAAAGAAGTCATTAAAGCTGAACAAGATATTATTTATCTATATAGAAAAGAAGACAATTTACCACTTGATAAAGAAGACATTATTCATTGGTGGGGATATACTGATCAATTACCTGATGTTGCTGATAAACCTAATAGAATTATTTTAATGGATTATTTTCCATTATTTATTGATGCTGGATTTGGTAATGCTTTTGGAAATCCTTATTCTGTCTATCATACTTGGAAGGAGATATATAAATGGACTCCATCACTTCCAGAAGGATCATTGAATATTATAATTGGTGGAGAAGTTCCAATGTGGGGAGAAACCAATAATCAAAATACACATTTCAATAAATTATATATGAGAACATCTGTCATTGCAGAAACGTAATCTAATATTTAATTTTATTAGTCTATGGAATCCAAAAATAAAGGAGACTGAAAAATTTGCATCTTTTGTTAAACGTCTTATTGAAATGGAAGATAGAATGACAAAATAAGGTTTTGCTGTTACTCCTGTTACTCATGGATATTGTAGAAAAAATACAGAGCTTTGTTTTCCAATTTTAAATGAAAATGAAGAATAAATAATAACTGAATGAATTCCTTAATTATATTTAATAAATGAAATTTATCATTGTAATTACAATCTTAATTGTTGGTACTTATTAACTTATGCCAATGCCAAAATAATATATTAAAGGATCTAAGAGTATGAAAATTATTAATAAATGTGGAATACAATTTACAAATGCTTAACAATATCCAGAACATGTAATTGAATTATTGCGTCATTATCATTAATTAATGACATCAAAAAATTAATGTAATTTTGAAATGTCATTGAATTTCAATCTTAAAAATTAAGGTGCTTTGAAATTTCATATTTCCCTTTAAAATGATGAATAATTATATTGGGTTAATAAAACTTAATAAGAAGCTTATATTTTGAAAATTGATGAATATTTAAACATTTAAATTGATGCTCATAATCATTGGGGTTTAGCTAGAGCATTAGATACAGTGCATTAATTAACTGAAAATGATAAAATTGAATTCGTATCTCTCTCTCTAATTATAATAGCTTCCACTTATAATAGAAGATGAGCCAGCCTATACTTATAGAGGAGTGATGGTTGATACAGCTAGACACTTTTTGCCTCTTAAGACTCTCGAAAGAACTATTGATGCTTTGGCTATCAATAAAATGAATGTAATGCATTGGCATATCACTGATGATGAAAGTTTTCCTTTACTTTTAACAAATTATAGTCGTATAACACATACATCTAAATATTCTGAAAATGAATATTACACAAAATCAGATGTTTCCTATTTGATAGAATATGCATCGATTAGAGGAGTACAAATTATACCTGAAATCGATTCACCAGCCCATGTATAATCTTGGGGAAGAAATATTAGTGATTTAGAAAATATTATTTTAAATTGTGGAAGCTCTGTCAAATAATATGGTCAATTTGATCCAACTTTAGATTTAACATATGAAGTGGTTAAATCTGTCTTATAAGATTTATCAGATATGTTTAGCAAAGTGCAGTTTGTTCATTTTGGTGGTGATGAAGCTATCAAGAGTTGTTATAATTAAAGACCTTCAATTTAAGAATTTATGAATAAAAATGGTATTGCAGATTATATAGAATTGTAAACTTATTATAGATAAAGATAAAAAAATATATGGAAAAATGAAATTAAATCTAAAAAGAGAATTGCTTATTGGTATAATAAAGATGATAAATTACCAGCTGAAGATGATGATATAATACATTGGTGGGGTTCTACTGAAGAACTTGAATTAGTATCAAATAGAACTAATGATTTTATACTTAGTGATTATCATCCTTTGTATTTGGATATTGGTGTTGGAAATGCTTTTGGAAATCCTTATTAAACTTATTAAACATGGAAAGATATTTACAAATGGACTCCAAAAGCTCCTGAAGGATTTAAAGGTAAAATAATAGGAGGGGAAGCACCTTTATGGGGAGAAACAAATAATGAAAATACACATTTCTAAAGATTATTTATAAGATCATCAATCTTGGGAGATACGTATATATTATAAATTAATATAGTTTATGGAATCCTTTTTCAAAGTAATCAGAAAAATTTTATGAATTTGCTGATAGACTTGGGTAAATGGAAGATCGAATGAACAAATATGGATTTCCAGTTTCACCTTTCACTCATGATTATTGTAAAAGACATACCAAAATTTGTTTTCCTATCTTATATACAGAATAAGAGTAAAGTGTTGAACAATAGCATAAATTTAAAGAATTATGAGTTTAAATATATTTTTTAATAAAATTAAGGAATGGGTTGTTGTGCTTATAAAGGATAAAATAGGAATAAAGAAAAGGTTTTTTGTGAACCAAATATATCAGATACTCAAAATTATCGATAATCTTAGGACTAATCACTCTAACCTAAATATCAAGAATAAACCATGGAAAAAGTAACTTGTGAAATATAGATTGTTTAAAAAAATAATTTAAATCATCTGATTACTTTAAAAGAGAATCAATATACTGTTTACAATAAGGATGATCTTAATGTTGTTGATGATCAATTTTTTTAAGATAAACATTAACAAAAACCTCAAGAAGTTGAAAAAGCTAATTCTGATGACGATTATTGATTTTATTCAATTAATCTATTTATTTACATTAAATATTCTAGCATTTTTAATTTATTATTATCAAAATTTTAATTTGTAATTTACAGCAACTTTTCACTAAAAGTTAACTAAATTCACTCTGAAATTCATTTGAAATCTATCTTTACTCTTAATTTTCATAATTTAATTATCAATTTCCAGAATGCCTCGTTGTCCTACAGATATCGTATACTCTGAAAAATATAAAGATGCAGAATTTGAGTATAGACATGTTATACTACCTCATGAATTATACAAAAAAATCTAAAAAATAGGAAGACTTCTTACTGAACATGAATGGAGAAGTCTTGGTGTAAAAGGATCTCCTGGATGGGTTCATTATGATTATTACAAACCAGAACCACATATTCTAATGCTTAGAAAAAAATTTAATTGATATATAGATCCTATTTTATATAAATATATATATATATATTTTAATTAGATATATTTATTATAATCTAGTATTTTTTTATTCTATTCTATTATCTTATTACCATATTTATACAATATTATATTTTAAATTAATGATATTTTAATATATAGTTGATTTATATTTTAGAAAACTAAAACTTTAAAGATTTTAAGAACATATTAATACATTTTGCATATTTAATCATATAATACATTTTATATAATTAAATACCACATTAAAATCTTATTGCATTAAAATAAAGATTAAATTAAATAACTTTTTAATCTTTGAAGTATTATAATTTAATTTAAAATGTTTAAGACACATATAAATTTGATTTCTATTCTAGATAGATTAATTTATAATCTAATTTATTTTCCCTATAGCATTCCATTTATAAACCCTCCAATTTTTTTAATTTCATTTTTATTCATTAGATGAAATCATAAAATACATATTTTTACATTTATTTTAGGATTCTTAATATATCATCAGTATTAATTTAATTGTAATAGAAAATGTGACTTAAATAGATGCATCTGTTAATACTCTTAAATGAATTAAAATAATGAATTTCTGATTTATAATTTTCATTTATGTACTAAATAATTTTAAAAGATATTTTATTACTCAATTTAATCTTAAATTCTCTTTATGATAAGCATTTCAATAATTAATTATTATTAAATCTTGCTTTTAAATTCAATTATATAATTATTTCCTCCGAATTTAAATAAAATATGTTTCTTGTATTAACTAAGTTAATCTATGAGAGAAACAATTAATTATAGAATAAAGATGTAAATATAAAGTTATTTACCATATTATTATATTTGATGATCTTTTTATAAATGATTTATATAAAAATCAAGTTAATATTTTAATGAAAATCAAGTTGAGAAAATAATATACATATTAATATATTTAATTTATCATTGTATTATGGTTTGGAATGTTTAAATTTTATTATTAAGAAAACTAAGATATAATGCCTATTTTAATGCAAATTAAATCAGATTTATGGAAATATTGAATATAATATGTAGAATAATAAATAAAATCAAGCATGCCCTAAATCTCTTAGAAGTAAATTTTAAATGTATTCTTAGCAAAGGAAAGTACATTAACTAAGCATTCAGAGGCATTTAGTANTATATATTTTAATTAGATATATTTATTATAATCTAGTATTTTTTTATTCTATTCTATTATCTTATTACCATATTTATACAATATTATATTTTAAATTAATGATATTTTAATATATAGTTGATTTATATTTTAGAAAACTAAAACTTTAAAGATTTTAAGAACATATTAATACATTTTGCATATTTAATCATATAATACATTTTATATAATTAAATACCACATTAAAATCTTATTGCATTAAAATAAAGATTAAATTAAATAACTTTTTAATCTTTGAAGTATTATAATTTAATTTAAAATGTTTAAGACACATATAAATTTGATTTCTATTCTAGATAGATTAATTTATAATCTAATTTATTTTCCCTATAGCATTCCATTTATAAACCCTCCAATTTTTTTAATTTCATTTTTATTCATTAGATGAAATCATAAAATACATATTTTTACATTTATTTTAGGATTCTTAATATATCATCAGTATTAATTTAATTGTAATAGAAAATGTGACTTAAATAGATGCATCTGTTAATACTCTTAAATGAATTAAAATAATGAATTTCTGATTTATAATTTTCATTTATGTACTAAATAATTTTAAAAGATATTTTATTACTCAATTTAATCTTAAATTCTCTTTATGATAAGCATTTCAATAATTAATTATTATTAAATCTTGCTTTTAAATTCAATTATATAATTATTTCCTCCGAATTTAAATAAAATATGTTTCTTGTATTAACTAAGTTAATCTATGAGAGAAACAATTAATTATAGAATAAAGATGTAAATATAAAGTTATTTACCATATTATATTTAAAATATAATTCTCTTGATAAGTTTGGATAATAAAAAAAGTACATAAAATATCTATTACTTTTAAATAAATTCAGAAGTTCATAGTTATGATAAAGTAATTTAAAAGCATTCATATTGAGTTAATAGGATCAATATCAGTTTTATATAAAAAGTCTTTTGAAGTAAAAATATTTAATTTAAAAAGTACTTTAAATTTGTGTCTAATAAATTAAGAAAAAGTATTTATAATTAAGATAAACATTAGAAATTTTTAGATTTACAAGAATTTAACTAGGCATAGACAATTTCCAAATGAAATGAATTTATCAATTGTAATTTGAATAAAAATAAATTAAATGATAATTTAAGAATCTTTAAATATTTAATGCAGACTGTAAAGTTATCATATGATATAGATCTAAAATCTATATTAATAGGAATAAGGAGAATTTACAAATTAATGGTCACCTTTTAAAATATTAATACTAAAATAGATTTACTTGATTATAGCTTAGAAGATTAGCAAAATTAGGTAATTCGTTATTACATACAAATGCTTAAATTAAATAGATTTTAAATAAATTACGTTATAATATTGACCATAATTTAATTTGAAAAATAGAATTCAATAACTATATTTATAATGAAAATGGAATGAAGAAGAATAAAATCATTTAATTGTTTTAGATTTATTCAGAAACAACAATTAGGATGAATTAAACTAAAAAATCATAAGATACTAAAAAATTAGAATATAATAATTTTATGTAAATAATTATAAAAGAAATTTGGAAAATGGATTGAATTACATGAAGATTTGATTTCTGATTTAAATAAGTTATAATTATGTTGAAAATTAATCTTAATTATTACTGAATAATTTTATAATTTTCAACATATATTAGCTTCTCTTAAATAAAGAGGTGCAAATACTTAATATTAAATTGAAAAATTAATATCTTTTTAATAGGCTATCAAAAGATTAAAATCAACAAATTTAAAATACACAAAATGAATTCCTTTCTAACTTGATTCTAATTTATGGTGATATTCTTTGAATCTTGTGCAGATATTAATTGATTTATAATCTGATTTCAAATTAATTCTTCTGATTAAAATATCTTAATATTTTTAAATATATTGATTCTTAATATTTTAAATTAACTCCAAAACAGTTGATTCTAAAAGGTAAAGAGATAATATATTATAAGAAAAAATATCAAGATAATTTAGAATTTAAAAATTATTAAATCAATATTAAAATACATCATAATTTCTATTGGTAATTAATTATTTGATCAAATGTAAGATAATTGATATATTTTTTATCATTTAATAAATTATCTACAATTCATGATGAAAATGATAACACATAAATTAATTTAGGTTTCGGTCGTTAACATATAAGAATCAAAGGGTGATCAATAACTAAATTTCTATAAATGAATTAATTGATTTAAAAAAGTTTAATAACAAAAATATTATATTAGCCAAATTTAAAGATGATTATTAATTTTTAAAGGTTTTTGGAATACAATTCATCCAATATTAAAATAAAACCATTCAAGCCATCCTTTTATAGTTAAATCAATACCGTTATATTCAACTTTAGTTTAAATTTATACCAAAGCATAAGTATAAATTATTTGTTCATTTTAAATTTATATTGAATGTTTATTAACAGTTGAATTAAGAATTTAGTAGTTATGTAGTTACATAGATTGAAAATAAGATATAAAATTAGAAAGTATGTTGCATAAGAGTGATTGTTTTTTTTTGAATTATAATATTTTCAATTCTTACAGAAAACATTAAAAATATCTTTTAGTTTAATAACTCTTTTACCCTTTATAACTAATTTTAACATCTACCTTATAAAGAATTTTTACGTTAATAAGAATGATTAAATTGATTTAAATAAATTGTAGAATTAAAGATTAAAGAATTTAAGGTAAGTGTTATTTAAATTAAATTTAGATAGTATGATGTTTGATTTATAAGATGATTTAAAAGGATATAATATATTAATATTGAATATTATGAATACTAATCAATAATTTCTTTTCTTTTTCTATTGTTTTTTTGTTTTTTTTGAACAATTAAATCCAACAAATTCAGATGCTTATGATTCTTCTTAGTTTATTTTATAATCCCATGAATCTTCATTTAATGGATTAATTTATGGAGAAACTTCAAATTATTATTAATTAAATGATTCTTCAAATTTAACATCAAATTATGGTGTTTAAAACCATTGATAATCATCTTGACAAAATGCACTTGTTTAACAATTATTATTATTCTCTTCAGATTTTGTTTATGTAGGAATTTGAGATTAATTTAGATTTGATTAATTTGAAGTATTTTCAGTATTCTTTTCATTTGTTTCAGCATTTCTTTTTTCTTACATTTCTAAGAATTTTTATTTTTATAAAGTGTTTAACATACCTTTCTTATATAAAATTTCATTAACTTAATATTTGATATCATAGTTTCTTATAAACTCATCTTACCAAGCTTTAGAGGCTTTAAAGTATTTATCATTAAATAAAGATATTGCTTAGTCTTTCAATTAAGTTCTTCTTATTCTTTTTCCTTATTTAGCACTTTATTCAATTATCCAAACACATAATTTTTTTTCTGCTTCTAGATTCAATTTTTTTCTTCCACAACCAGGTTTTCGATTAATACCTTCATTATACCATCTTCTAAGATTTTTAATTGATGTTTTATATTATGCACTTAGTGTAGAAAGTGTATCAATAGTATTATTATATTAAAGAACTTTCATTATTTTTTACTTATCTTCGAATGTAAGTATTCTGTATTTTTTTGATGATTACTCTAATTTTGACTTCTTCTAATTGATCTCTTATGAAGACATCCAAATATTTATATTAATTATGATAAACCGCTCTTAGTTTTGATTCCTAAATTGCATCAAAAAAGCATGGGAATATTTATATCTAATTCTAATCAATTTAATAGGTTGGTCAAGTTAGTGATAATAATCCTAAAGAAATCAATTAATATCCCTCTTATCATTGTTTTAGAATGTTTTTGAGGGATTAGGACATTCATTTTATGGAAAAAGATAGATTTACAAGCTTCATATTTTAATAAATATTTTAATAGGTGAAAAATGTTTGAAAATAATGCAATGAACAAAAACCCATATTTCATGTTATTTAATGATTATGATGTTATATTATATTATTTAAGTATTGAAAATTCACCTTTTATAAAATTTTTAGTAATATGATGTGTTTATGTAAATGCATGATGTTTTTTTAATGTGTTTCTTTAAAATGGGGATTTTAAAGAAATTATTATTTTATTTAATATATTTGATGATCTTTTTATAAATGATTTATATAAAAATCAAGTTAATATTTTAATGAAAATCAAGTTGAGAAAATAATATACATATTAATATATTTAATTTATCATTGTATTATGGTTTGGAATGTTTAAATTTTATTATTAAGAAAACTAAGATATAATGCCTATTTTAATGCAAATTAAATCAGATTTATGGAAATATTGAATATAATATGTAGAATAATAAATAAAATCAAGCATGCCCTAAATCTCTTAGAAGTAAATTTTAAATGTATTCTTAGCAAAGGAAAGTACATTAACTAAGCATTCAGAGGCATTTAGTATTGGAGAATCTAGAATACTAGATCCAAAAGATAATTTAGAATTGCAAGTTCTTCGATATCCACATACTCATATGTTTTAAAATCCCAGTGTTCAACTTATGCCCAGCTTTCCAAATTTCTTATTTAGTAATTAATACAATACAACCATTGCTGATCAATTATTACATTCTTAAATGATGCCTTAAAGCAATGCTTTCTAGGCTATGCCTTTAAAAAGTCTGGCTGCTGAAGGAATGAGAATAGTTTGTGAAATCGATATTTTAATGTTGAGACACTATTATCAATTAAGAGAATAGGTAAAAAGTTCTTTAAATTTTTAGATTTTTAACAAACACAATTAATCAACATCAAAAAGAATGGATAACAACTCAAATCAAATCGATTGGATTAAAGGTAGATTCCAATATCGATTTAAAGAAAGGATCAGTAAAATGATGTGCAAATTAGTAGATGAAGTTAAATCACTTTTAAATAATAAGACTGAGGATGATCAATAAATAAATATTGAGAAATTAAGATTCTCACCAGAGGAACTAATTTAACTTGATAAAGAACTTAAAGAAAAAAGAGAAGATTCATCTGAATACTTAGATCCTTATGAAGTATGTAGAAGAATTGCTAAACTAATAGAGATGTATTTTAGGAGTTCTGATTAATGATTTTTATGTTCCCACAATTTATATTTATTTTTAATATTAATTATTTTTATTCAGCTATCAAGATGGAACAACTTATTGAATAATATAAAGAATTAGAAAAATGCAATAATGAAGAATTAGAACATGATAAATCAATAACTCATTTATTATACATAGAAGGATTTAAATGGGATGATTTAGATAAAATAAAAAAGATTAATAAAATATCACAATCTAAAATAGAAAAAAGAATTACTCTAGTTTAAGATGTAAAAATTAGTATTAAATATAGTTTGGTTTATTAAGAAAAGAAATAGAACCTTATACAAAAACTAATCAACATTTTTAGACTTTATTAAAAGATATTGATATGCATATAAATTCCATTATGTTCGAAATAGATAAATTAGAATAATTAAAATAGAAATCATAAAGATTCTTACGACTTTAAAGTTAACCCAATATCAAACCAGAAACTGCACCTACTGATGCTATGGCTTAAACAGGAGGATTATTATCAAGTACTAGTGATGGTCAAACAAGAATGTATTAAAGTAGTTTTTAATTTTACCGAGCTTAAAGAGATTAATAAATTTAATCACATAATTAAAAATGGATAGAAAAATAATATACAATTCAAAAAAAGTTAATTGAGAGTGAAAAAGAATTTTAGAAATTTAGATATGAAATTGATACAAAATAAAAAAAAGCTGAGATGAACCTTTAAGAATTTTAATAATGGTAATCAAAAGTATTAAAAGAGTAAGAAGAGGAGAATTCTAAAAAATTGTATTAACATAAAGAAAGATTGTTAAAAGATTAAGTTTAAAGATAAGCTATTTTAGAACAAAAAATGTCTAGAAAAGAATTACAATTATAAAAATAGATGTCATTATTAAAAGATTTCCATGAATAATAAAAATAATAGAAAGAAGAACATTTTTAAAAGATTTTATAAAAATCTATGGGAGCATTAAATGATAAAGACAAATTTAATTTATAATAAAAAGAATAAATTGAAAAGAAAGAATAATAAAATTTACATAAGTTGAAGTACATTGAAGAATCTAAGTAATGGACTAAGTAATAGTTATAGAGATAGAATGAATTAAAATAAAAAAAAATTGATAGAGCTAACGTAAAGTTCTTTAATATTTTAAGTAAATTCTAGTTTCTTAAGATCTTTAAAGAAGAGAAAAATTTGAAAATAAAGAAAAGAAGAAACTTGCTTATATGGATAAATATAAAAAGTTATTTGATGAGTATTAGAATCATATTAACAAAGAGAAAGAAGATAAAATTCATTAATTTTAAATAGTATATATAAAATTTATATAGTTTAGAATAAAGCTATAGATGATGCTAGCAAAGAATAATTAATTAAATATTAATTTGAAAGAAAATCTCAAAGTTAAGCTGAAGCTTAAAGATTAAGGGAAAGAAGAATAAGAGTTTATTAAGAAGAGAAGGCTGGGGAACATTTAATGAAATAATTAGAGATTAATTAAAGATTAAATCAAATATAATAAGAATTAGAAATGAAGAGAAGAATGTAAGAATTAATGGAAGAAGAATAAAAATAAAGAAAGTTAATGATAGAGTAATTAATTTGATTCTATTATAGAAATGATGAAAGACAAACTATAAAGGAAAGAGAAAAAAATGTTAGAAAGTTAGAAATTGAAAAAGAATAGAAAGAAAAGGAGATGAAAAAGCTCAAATATTCTAAGTTTTGATTAAATATATTGTTAAAAAAAATTAATAAAATTTGATTTTTTATTTTTGAATTTAATGAATAACCAACTAAACAATCTCAACTGCTAGTTTTGCAAAATTAATCAAAATAAGTTTATCTAGAAAGAAATACATTAGAAGTATTTTGATAGATATGAAATTTTAGATATTTTGAGTAGTTCAATTTTTATTTTGCAAAGCCCATAACAGAAATTTTAGCAAATGTTCCTGTAGATCATGTCATTCTATTTAAAGACTAATTATATTTACATGATGAAAATGAATATATGAAGCGATTTTATTAAAGGGAGGAACAAGACCCAAGAATTAAATTACTAAGCGATTTTTACTATGAGTAAAATAAAGTAACTAATATATGTTAATTAATCTTTTTTTAAAGATCCCATAGCCCAATTTGTGTAAAGTTAATGCTCATAAATTTATGGAGAAGAGAATAAATAAATTACTAAAATTACAATAAAAAGCATAAAATAATTAGAATCAACAACCAATTACTAAAAAAATGATTCCAGATCATATTTTTAGTGAAAACTATGTTGAATCTGTATCTGAGTAGTATCGACATACTTATTTAGTTCCTATCCCAAGGAACAAATTTCATGGGACACCAAATCGCATAACATCTATGAGATTTCATAAAGCCTAGCATAGTAGTCACAACCATAAAATAATAAAATCCCATTATAATATCCTATACTTAATATATCTGGTGATCAAAATAAATTATTTAATTGTGAAAATGATTAGGATATAGATACTATTATTTGTGAAGTCAATATATAAACATCTCGTTAATTGTCATCCATTACTAAAATCCCTCTCAAAAAGAAACTTCCATCTAGTGCAAATAAAAAGAAAAATCAATCAATTTAATAGCCTTAATAACCTAAAATACCTATTCCACCTTTGAAACTCTAAGAAAGTGCTAAATCTTCAACTACAACCCTTCCAAATAATAAATCAACAACAATTTAATCTTTAATGAAAAAATATGATTAAATATTATAAAAACGTTTTTAAGTGAAGGAAATATTAACAGAACGTAATGAAACTCGTTGTGCTGCTGGTTTTGGTTCCAGTTGTGGAATAGGTACAAATAGAGGAGATAATGGATCATCAAAAAAATAAATTACAGATGAAATGTTACTTAAATTAATATCTAATATGAAGAAATCAAAAAATAAATCTGACAATTATCAATTTCATGCTTCATATAAAAGTGTTATACCTCATCAATAAATAGGTCCAGCCTAATCATGTACATTTGAAAAAGAAAATGAAAAAAAGAAAAAATATTAAGTTTATTTAGTAATTTATTATATTTAATAGGTAGCCAAAATAAATTAAAAAAAATCCTTCTTAAATGTCATCACCAACAACAGTATAAAAGTATTTTAATAAAAATATATTAGTACATGTTCTCCTTCAATGCTTCTTAGATCCCTTTCAAATCCTTCAATGGCTCCTTCTCCAATGAGGAGATTAGAAATTAAAGTTAATTTAAATAAACTTATATAATAATAAGAACAAGAAATAGGATATTGGACACAGAGATGTAAAGTACGTTGAAACTTACTCTATCAATTAATTTTAAAATTAATTATTGTTATATAAATTTGTCTTCTTTACTTCCTATCATTATTTAAGTTTGAAGAATATCAATTATATATTCATATATCAATCCAAATTACATCTTAATATCATTATATTAATAGACTAGATAATATATTTTATGTATTATTTAATGTATTTGGATATAGGATTGATTATAATATATAAAATAATAATAGATAAGCTTAATTTACATTATAAATAGACTATCACCAAAATTCATATAAATATTTATAATATTTTATATAATAAATTAATTTTAGAGCTAAATTGTAATTCATTAAAACTAATCTAAAAAGTTTATTAACTAACATTTTTAAATGTAATGGATATTTAATAAATAAAATTGTTTCTTTTAACAACTAAATAATTTATTTATTGATATCAATCTTTATCACTCTTTGGCATATTACTATTTTAAATCCCAGCACTCCAAAAATGTATATACTTTAGGATTGAATAATTGGTATAAATGAAAATATGCCTAATTCATTGCTAAATGCCATAATCCATGCCAAAGCCTCAAATAATCTTTATATTCATCCAATCCAAAATAAAATGCAACAAATCCAATAACTAAATAAAATAATCCTTTATGAAGGTAATCTTTATTTACAATTTAACCTCTCTTTCGATAAAATGTTTATTTGATTATAAACATTATTAGACTTATTAAGATTGGAATGACAGTAGCCCAAACATTCCATGCATGTGATTCTTATATTATTACAACAATAATAAAATTGATCCATTAAATAGATTTTCTTGTTCTTCTACTATTTTGCATTAAGTAATTGAATAATTCCATCTAAATTTTAGATCATTTTGTATACCAATCCACAAATTGATGCAATATTGTCTAGTTGATGCCAATCTACTTCTTTAAGAATGATTGGCTCAACTCCTATACTTTCAGACAGATGATACATGAATGAGGACACAAACAATAACACAGTTAGAAATAATGTATGTGCATTCTTAATTTTGTATGTGTAAATGATTTAAGGTATCATTACTCCATTCGAAACTGCAGTAATAATGACCATTAAAAACATTTCAAAAGGAGTGTGTAAATACTTATTTGTTTTTCCTGTATCAATCATAAATAAATACAAAAATTAATAATAATATATGTTTATTTATTATAAATGATAAATTTAATTAAGAATAATATATGGATTATCTAAACTTTACTATCATATTATTGTAATTCATAATTATATAAAATATAAAATAAATATAAAAATTATTTTATACTAATTATTTAATAAATCAAATTCAATACAAAATATGAATAGATATTTTATTAAGATTAATCAAATTCATATCAAAAATTAAAATTATCTTCTATGTATAATCAGAAATATAAAATTAAAGTCTGATAATTAAATTGATCTATTTCAGAAATTTAATCACTAAAAATATTCCAAATCAATTAATTAAATACTTCCTTATTGTTAAATTAATTAATTTCATGTATCCCCAATATTTTCAAAGTATTTTATTCAATATCACTTAAAATTTACTTTTAATAAATTATCTATATTAGGTTGATTCTTTATAACTTATATTAATTAATTAAATAATAATCAATCAAAATAAATATCTCTTACCATTCAATATAATGAAACTAAATTAGGAATTTTTATAAGTATGATTACTATTTTCTTCAGATTTCTATATAATTTAATTGATAATTTACAATTTATTTTAAAATCTACCTAAATAGATTATCTATTAAAAATTAAAATTATTAAATTTCTAATTTTTAAATGCATATTTTAAATACACAAATTAACAGAAATCCTGATTAATTCTAAATGAAAATTAGTTAATTCTTTTTATATAGAAATGTAATTTATATTTAATAAACTTGCTACATATAAAATTAAAATTATAGATAAGTATAATCATGATTATTTAGTTATAATTATATTCTTTAAATAAAATAAGACCTAAAAAAAAGCTATTTTATAAGAAAAATCAATATTAATTATTTTGATTTGTAATTGATTAAATTTTTCTTTAGATGAAATAAATATGAAATAATTAATTATCTTGAAGGGATTTTTAATGGTTAAAAATAATTTCTTGGTATTTTATTAATTGTTTTATAAATGAATTAACATAACTTGGATAAAATATTAATTTTGAAATAAAATCGAATATTAATATATCCTACTATTGTTTTTATAGCATAAAATATACTAATTGATATATAATTATATAAAAAGAATGTCCAATTTGATATCTTCATAATTTAACTCAAAATTTTAATGTATAAAATTAGTTTTATTCTCCTAATCTTTGAAAATTAATAAAAATATAATAGATTCTTTCTTAAATTAAAATATTACTATTATTTTAATTATTTAACCCTTTAATAAAGGAGGTATATAAAACTTATTTATGAAGCATTAATATCTTTTTTTATTTAAAACTGGATATAAATCTTAATGTGAAATCATATTATTATATGTTTCTTTAAAAATTTCAATTATGATAATGTTTCTTTTATTTCATTTTTTTTAATCACAAACTTTCATGAACAATATGATTTTGAATTCTATTTTTCAGTTTATTGTTATTTAAATCTTATTTTTAGATATAAAAGTACTCCTTAGATTATATAAACATTGAAGAAAAATACTTAAAATATATTTCTTAGGATAGTAATTATATCTATCATTATTTAAAAAAAAGCATGAATTTATAGATTCACTATTAGTTCAAATACATTTATATACCTAAAAGTACCTTTTAATTTATAAGATATTTTATCTATAAGTATTTGATTTTCAAACAAGTTAATTTTAATTTTGCAAAGAAATTAAATCTTAAATTATATACTATATCAAAATCAATTATTCAACAATAAGGATAACAAATTTCCTGATGGTACGCTTACTTTACTATTGAGTCCTCCTCCTCCTCCCAATAATTATAAATAAAAGGAAAAGTCATTTAAATGATTGCTTTTTATTTCTTTCTGTATATTAGATTAATTAGCAGTTAAACTTGTAGTGAATATTGATTATCCTTTATTTGATTTTGATTCTGGAATTTATCTGATTGAAGGTTTTATGCTATCATTCTAAAATTAATTCTATTCTAAATTATTCTAATCAAATTTAGAATATTATTATTTTTTAAAACTAAATTCTTCTTTACAGAGTCTGGGTATCTCTGTATGTTCTTTTGCTCCAATATTCTAAAATGTTATATTTTAATTCCTAATATCTTAGTTTTATTATCCAAAACTAGGTTATACTTAAAATGAATTTTAATTATGTAATAAATTCATATTAATTTAATTATTTGAGATTTCTTAATAAAATGGATTATATATTTGGTTTGATTATTAAATATTATTGACTGAATATATAGGTTGAGAATTAGATGTAAAACTATTGGTAAAGTTTTAACAATTAAATTTATTTTAATATTATTATTATTACTATGTTTAATTAAGAACATCAATTTAAAAATTTGGAATTTCATATTTATTTTAATATGAATCTTAAACGAAATGAGATGATTATTAAGAAGTAATGACTTAATTATTTGAAGGAAAGAAAGGTAATAATGTTTCTTAGTGATTTTGATTATAAAAATTTGAATATGCATCATAATTATGATATTTATCTTAAAATTAACCTAATGTATTATTTCCTTAAATTATAATTTATTATTCAGAATTTTTATCCATTTAATTAAATTCAGAATATTGATTAAGTCTCTTTATTTCATCTTCATAAGAATTGATTTCATATTTCTAATTATAGTTTAGATCATCTTCTGCTTATTTATCTTAATATTAATCTTTAGTATTTGTAAAAGTAAAATTACTTGTCTCTTTGTCTACTAAATCAGAACTAATTAATTCTTTAACATGATTATTAACATCATGATAATTATATTTCTAATCTTCATTAATTTAATTTGCATTTTGGCTCGTGAATGAAAAATCCTGATTTTATTTGTTTTTCTGTAAATCATCTTTATTTTTACCACAAACTATTGAATCAAATGTCTAGACATTATCTATATAATCCTGTTCTTAAAATCTTTCATATTCCACTTATTCTAATACAGTCTAAATTCTTTCATATTAATTTGTTTCATTCTATTCTTGATTTTCTTATAAATCAACTTTTTGAGGACTCTTTATAATAACCTCTTAATTTTCATTTAATTTCCTTTTCTTATAGGGATATAGAGTCATAATGAGAGAATTAGATTAATCTTCTATTAATTTTACCAAACAGCTTTATCTCCTTCTAGCATTATACTTTTTTACTAGCTAATAGATATTCCATCCAAATAATCCTAAAAAAGTGGCAGCCAAAGGAATTTCCATAATTAAGAAAAATAATAATATTCCCTTTAAATTTTATCATTATAAATCTCATCATTTGCATTTCCAAAAATTATAATGAGATAAATCAACAAATTCACTATTTTAATTAATCTATCTAATATTATGATAATATATAATTACTTATAAAAATAATTTATAAATATTATTGTAAAATAGTAGAAGTTTATAATAATTTTCTTTTACTTCATTAATTTATTAAAAGTTAAATATAATTATCAATTTATTGAGTTTTATAAAATATAAAAGAGATTTAACTATTATTAAATCAAAATACTAATTAATTTTCAAGTTAATCAAAATGATGATCCAATTTATCATTTTATTTTGATAAATAATAAAGAACAGTTGATTATACATTTCTTAATTATTCCATTTATTATGTTTTCAATTTTAATGATACTTTACTATTTGTACATAAGCTTTTTTATTAATTATCTTATCCTTTTTATTTCATATAAATCTTATTTGGGCGAGGAGTATTTGGATCTTTAAAAGTAAACTTATCCAAACTTAATTTAGAATCATTTTCTTCTCTTGGTATAATTTTTAATTTTATTTTAGGTATTTTATTTGTGATTTCTTTTTCTAAAGTTGGTGTTCTATTATAAGTATGTACATAAAAATTAAAGTTATTTTTATTATTCAATTCTTATAAAACATCTTTCAATTATGATTTCTTCGGTTTCATATTTGGTTATAAAATTTTACGATCTGGTATATGAAAGTTATTCATAGCTTTTAAAGAAACAGGTTTTAGTAAATCTAATGATTTAATTTTAGGTAAGCTATAATTATTACTTAAATTGTCAAAGTTTAAATGTGCTTATAACATATTTTAATTATCAAAATTCATACTTTATAAACTGCTATTTTTATTATTAGTCATTAAATTAAAGAACTTTTAATTATAAAAATAATCAATCTTGTAAGATAAATTCTTAATACTATAACTAATACATAAACATTGAAGAACAAGTAAACAAAAAAAAACTTAATTCATTTTGAAGTACTTTTATATTATTTTAAAAGTAAGGTGATATCTATGATTATATACATACTTAATGATTTATATCAATTAATTTTATGGAATAAGAGTTAACACAATTTATTTGTGTTTATTTAATGATTGTTGAGAAAGAAATTCTTAATTCCATATAATTTATAATTAATATTAGAATAATTATTTTCACTTTTGCAATTCTTTTTTTTATAATATAAACTGAATTTTTTAATAGAATGTGCCATTTACTTAAATTCTGCGTATTAGCACAGCTGGAATGTAGGAGGTTGTGTATTATACAGAATATTTAAATATTAATAAATAATATGGGGGTATGTGACAAGATTTAATTGATTTAATTTGCTCTAGAAAAAGGTGAAAGAAATGTCATCGTAATCAATAATATCTTTTATTTATCTGTAAACACATGTCTGAAGAACACCCAGCAGTTGTTATTGATAACGGATCCGGATAATGCAAGGCCGGTATTGCAGGAGATGATGCTCCAAGATGCTGTTTCCCTGCAGTTGTAGGAAGACCCAAACATCAAGGAATTATGGTTGGTATGGACAGCAAGGAAGCCTACGTTGGTGATGAAGCCTAAGCTAAGAGAGGTGTTTTAGCACTCAAGTACCCAATTGATAATGGTATTGTCAATAATTGGGATGGTATAGAATGTGTTTATAAATTATGTAGATATGGAAAGAATCTGGCATCATGCATTCTTCAATGAATTGAGAGTCACACCAGAAGACCACCCAGCTCTTTTGACTGAAGCTCCAATGAATCCAAAGGCCAACAGAGAAAAGATGACATAAATCTTATTCGAAACATTCAATGTACCATCATTCTACGTGGCTATCTAAGCCGTGCTCTCACTCTATGCTTCAGGAAGAACAACTGGTATTGTCGTAGATTCTGGAGATGGTGTCTCACACACAGTCCCAATCTATGAAGGTTATGCCCTTCCACACGCTGTCCTCAGAATTGATTTGGCAGGAAGAGCCTGCACCCAATACTTGGTTAATATCTTGAATGAATTGGGTGTTTCATTCACATCATCAGCTGAAATGGAAATTGTCAGAGACATGAAAGAGAAATTGTGCTATGTTGCTCTTGATTATGAAGAGGAAATGAAGAAATACAAAGAAAGTGCTGCCAACAACAGACCCTATGAATTACCAGATGGAAACGTTGTTGTCATCTAAAATCAAAGATTCAGATGTCCTGAATTACTCTTCAAACCAAACTTCATTGGTCTTGAAGTCTCAGGTATCCATGAATTAACATTCAAATCAATTATGAAGTGCGATATTGATGTCAGAAAGGATCTGTAAGAATTTTAAATTTATATTTTAGTTATGGAAATGTTGTCATGTCAGGAGGTACAACAATGTTCCCAGGAATCCCAGAAAGATTGAGCAAAGAATTAACATCACTTGCACCATCATCAATGAAAATTAAAGTTGTTGCCCCACCTGAGAGAAAATTCTCAGTCTGGATTGGTGGATCAATCTTATCATCATTGTCAACATTCTAAGCTATGTGGATCACAAGAGCTGAATACGACGAAAGCGGTCCAACCATTGTTCACAGAAAGTGTTTCTGAGAGATAAATCATATTAATATATCAATATCAATATAGATAATAGATGTATTTGTCTAAGCATAATTAATAACATAGTTATTTTATGCAATAATTTAAGTATAAATAGGTTCAAATAATATCTATATGCTCTTCATTCTATTATTTTTATAAATCTACTCATTGTTTTTCATATTTTATCTACATGAAAGCAAAAATTATGTATTTTTAATTACTTTAAAAAATAAGTATAAGTTGCTTATCTTCCCAAATTATAAAATATCAATCAGACATCTATTAATGCAGAAATCAGTAGATTTTTTCAATTTATTATATATACTTTTACAGAAACCTTAAAAATTTTATTATAAAATAAAGTAAATAATAGATTATATATGATTAAATAGTTATAAAATATACATAATTGATATATTATGAAATAAGATATTAGTTTTTCTTATATATAAATGTATTTTTATTGAGTTCTTTTTACTAAAATTTTCATCAGATTCTAGCCTATTTGTATCAGAAACTTAGAACAAACAAGAATTTAAGGGAATCAATAAGTTTATTTTAACCTTTTTTGATTTCCAATAATTTTTTTGGAGTTATTTAAGTATTAATAAAGGATAGGGATGACAAAATTACAGTGATTTCTATTCGTTTGTAGTAATTATTTTATAAATAAAATATTATGGTTATTATATTATCAAATATTAAAATGACCATAATTTTTTTTGCGTATGTTATGTCATGGAATAGCATATAATGAAATTGCAATTCCTGTAAAAAATAGCCATAAAAAATAAATTGAAATAGAATATATTTTAATAATTTGATATCTGTTTATATATATTATTCAATATCTTAATGATAAGAATGCAGCAGCACCAGCTCTTATCCATTATTCTTCAGAATCTTTTGAGGGAAGCTCTAGAAAAGTGACAAAGTTAGTTGAATGTCCAGTTGTACTTAATGTTCCAGCTCTTAAAATTTAATTATTTTAAATACCTTGAAACAACTTTATATAGGGGACATTAATAAATAACTAGATCTTTTGGATACTCCTTTTCAATACAAGGTAATAACCAAACTAGTGGTAATTCAGAATATAATTCCTTTGGTCTAGGATGAGTAATATAATGTTTCTTATAATCCCATCTTATTCCCTCCAATGAAATACCAAATACATAACATCCATCTTCTGGTTTCTCTTCTATATCTTATGGTGAAAGATTATCAAGTATCTTAAATTCATAATTTAGTTTATCTATGGCAATTACATGTCTTCTTGCATAATTCTGTAATGATCCAGTAAGAAAAGCTTATGGGAAGAAGAAACCTTAAATGTTAAACAAAATATTTTACCACTAATCCAGAAAACTTTGGGAGTTCCATTGTCAATCCAAGATTAAAGGAAATTAATTCTTGCTGAGAGATCATTTGTCCAACTAGAAAGAGGTTTTAAAGAGAGAAATCCTTTATCAGCCCACATAAGAGGAACTTAATTATCGAAAAGTGAATTTGCAAGACTTTCAAGTTCATCAGACATGACAATCTGACCTTTTAGTGCCTTTTTAACATTAATTAAGGATTCTTTCATTGCAGCCAATAACCTATTATATCTAATAACTTCTTAGACTAAAACAGTATTCATAGATTCTTCATATGAAGTAGGATATTTCTTAAATATATCATCAAATGGTAAAACTTCAGGTGTACGACTTTAAACAAAGGTAGCAATTTCTTCTATAGTTTCTTCTCTTGATTTTCCAGTAGTTGATGATTGTCTTGGTTAAATGGAGAGAACAGTTTCTAATAAAATTCTAGTTGTATTTTAGGAATTAGTAATTTCGGCATTTTCATGCATTCCGAATGCTTCTGGATCAGGATTTAAAGGAAGTTACTCTATATAATTGAGATATCCTTCTTAATTGGTTGAGGCTAAAGAAATGTAAATACCTGATTCTGAAAACTTATACCCATCTCTTAAAGCTTCATGACAAATATATTTCTTAATAATTGTCTTTATTAATCTAACATCTTTATCATCAGTGACTCTACCACCATAATTAATTTCAGCTCCTAAATATTAAATTACTTTGTATGGAACTTTATCATACTCATCTAATAACATTTTTAATTGTCTTTTACAGACTGTTAAATCTTCATTTGTAAATTCATATGGTATATTCCATCCTATTGCACCAAACTTTCTTCTATCTTAAATAATTGCATGGAAAAGACAAAAACCAAATAGTAATTTTTTAAAAATGTCTTATTTTGTGCAATCACTCAATTCTTTATCATCTAAATTCTTATATGTTCTCATTAAATTAGCTCTAATTCCTTATGGTGGTTCAATTGTCATTTTAACAGAATTCTATAATACAGGAATTGGGAATGAATTTGAAGGCATTGATGTTAGCCATAATCTAAAGTCTTTATGTATATTTTCATTCAATTCCTCACAAATACGTTCTAAATCATTCATCCATGAAATAGCTAAATGACAATTCTATAAGAGCACCCAACCTCCTCTTTAAATTGCATCTTTAACCATTCTCTCAGCTTTAGGTCCTTAACCTTATCCTAAAGATATTGAATCAAATCTTTTGGCCATATTTTATTCATCTGCAAATTTAAGAAAGTCTGCAACTGGATCACTACCAGCTGATAAAACAAAAATTAAAGGTGACATAGGTGATGAATCTTTGTAGCATTTCTCTAAATCAAAAGTTGGTGGAATTGTAAATTTAGGATTTAATTATTAATCAATATAATCTTAAATTGCAGGTACTAATTTATCAGGTCTTAAAGCTTTTAAGAAGATTAATTTCTCAAATTAAGTTAATTGTCCTTACCATGGTTCAGGTAACTATTCTTTTTATGGTAATGAAGAATCCCAAATTCCTTTAAATTAATCTGTATTATCGATGAAAAACTAATCAAATCCTTTAAATGCTTCAAGAGATGACATTCCTTTAATTTATCTATATATGTCAGGCCAAGAATTATCAGAAATCCAGGCAGTAGGATTATGAGCTATCTTTATATCTCCTTAAGGACCTGCTAGAAGGTATCTCCATTGTTTATCATCCATCATTTATGCACCTTATAAAATTTTAACACATAGCATAAATGAAAATAGTAATTTATGTCTTTCAAATAATGATCTGCATATATTCTCATAAAGTGAATAAGTGAAATAATCATTTAAATTTTTCAGTCTTTCTTCAATAACAGA